TACAAAAAAAAAAAAAAAAAAAAAAAAAAAAAAATTAAAAAAATAAAAGAAAAAAAAAAAATAGAATAAAATTATTAAAGGAGGGGACTACAAAGGATCCCGAATCAACATCATATCAACACTGCATCCTCCACCACTAACACTACATAAACGGAAGCAACAAGTAAATAAAAAGGAACCAAGAATAGAAAGTAAGAAGGATGAACTAAAAAGAAATGGTTTGAAAATGCCATCTCAAGAAACTTATGATATTAAAGGTTATGCGATCGAATTTTCCTACTACGCTACCAACATATTCTTTCATCGTGACTAAGAGAATTCTTTTCTTCATCTTTTTTTTTTCCCAATTTGGTTTCGGTATTCTAACCATGATTATACAGGAGGAGGAGGAGGAATGGTACTGAAATGAGACTTGTCCGAAGTTTATATATTTATCTTTGGTGTAATGGATCTACCCCAGCACTTTGTATGTTCTCCGTGTGTAAATTATAGATAATAGACTCGCTTTTGTAAAGAATAGCACGCACAATCATAAGGCGCTTGTAATCAGGCAACAATTTCATTGTTTTACTTTATCTGTATTCAAAAACAAAAATGGTTCATACCACACCGGCCATAAGGTGGGGGATGAACTATTTTTGTTCTAAAAGGCTAGTAAGCTTATACCCTTACTAATTTCAAAACAATCGGGATTATTGAAAACATGACACTTTTGAGGCATTTTACAGTTTTCATTTTTTTTTGTTTTTTCATTTTCGCATTCCTGCACATTTTGGGAATTATCGGAATAACTTTTCAAAATGTTAAGCTAATGAAGAATTTTCGTAAAAAAAAAAAAAAAAAGGGAAAAAATGCATATGTATATTCTTCTAACAATGTGATTGGCCTGGAACAATTATTGACACCAACGCACCATTAGATGCATCGATATAAGAAAATCAGGCAATAAAAATGTCTGTATTAGTTTACAGTTAAGCTGATCCGCATTAGATGATTTGTCAAATGATAAGGGAAATAAGCTGACTAACGTGTTGCCGGAAAAACTTTCAACAATAACAGGAAAAAATTGTTTTTCTTTTCTTTTTAATGTTTTAGATCCCGGAACACCCTTCAGGGAATTAGTGTCAATTTTAAAAGCTCACATATTATTATTTTTTTTTGTAGCCGACTCCAAAGTGAGCTAAATAATAGGCTTTAATAATTCATGGAGAAAGCTGTGAGAAAACAGTACAATCTCTACTGTATAACAAGTAAGGTATTGTAATTCAATTAGACCATTATGATCTGGGAGAAGACAATAATAATGGCTTGTTGTGTACTATTTTAAGCGAACACAAAGAATACCAAAAAAAAATAAAAATATAATAGCACTTAATATTTTTTTTCTCCTCGGAAAAATTTTATCTGACACTTTATGCAAGATGTGTTAAAGAAGACATTCCGACAAGAACGGAAAAACAATTTGATCATGATATTTGTATTTTTTCCTCCAAAGTTTGGAGAACAATGCTCATCGACTCCAACCACCTAATTTTTAGTCTTTTTTTTTTTGGCGGAAAAAAAAAATTAGTTTGGGGGAAAGCTGGCTTTAGTTGGGGGGGGGGGGAAGCATGTTTTATTTGGAGAAGTAATTTGATCTAAATGTATGGAGAAAAATTCTTGCGGTAATAAAATTAAATTTTAAAAATGTGTAGCCTTTTCTCACAGTATAAATATGGGGATTGAGGAAAGAATATGGTTTTTTTATTCATTGTTCTTGGTTCTTTTTTATTTTTTTAGGTTCTTCAGTTTTACCTTTATTAACTTTGCAAAGACAAAGAGATACCATATATCATGTCTCAAGAAAGCGAATCAAATACTTCCTTAGCTGACCCAAATGCAGTAGAAAACAAATACGAGGATGAGAAGCCTTTAGACGTGCAAGAACCCCAACATCATGAAAGGGATACAAATCACAAACCATTAGCATCTTTCGCCGGTATAATTATTATGTGTATTTTGATTGCCTTTGGTGGTTTCGTGTTTGGTTTTGATACCGGTACCATTTCTGGTTTCATAAATATGAGTGATTTCCAAAGAAGATTTGGTCAAAGAAATGCTGAAGGTGAGTACTACTTTTCAAACGTTAGAACAGGTTTGATGGTTGGTTTGTTCAATGCTGGGTGTGCTTTAGGATGTCTTTTCATGTCCAAACTTGGTGACATGTATGGACGTAGAATTGGTATTATGACTGCTATGGTTCTTTATATTGTTGGTTTGATTGTGCAAATATCTTCATCACACAAATGGTATCAACTTACTGTTGGTAGAATATTGACAGGTGTCGCTGTTGGTTGTTTATCTGTCTTGTGTCCTTTGTTCATTTCTGAAGTTTCACCCAAACATTTGAGGGGTACCTTGGTTTGTTGTTTCCAGTTGATGATCACATTGGGCATCTTTTTAGGATACTGTACAACTTATGGTACCAAGCAATACTCGGACGATGTGCAATGGAGAGTACCATTAGGTTTGTGTTTCGCTTGGGCATTGTTCATGATTGCAGGATTGATTCCTATGCCCGAATCACCACGTTATCTTATTGGTAAAGACAAGATTGAAGACGCAAAGAAAGCTTTAGCCAAGGTTAACAAAACATCACCGGAAGATCCTGAAATTTACGAAGAATTGCAATTAATTCAAGCCGGTGTTGAAAGAGAAAAATTGGCTGGTAGTGCTGGTTGGACAACTTTGATTACTGGTAAACCAAGAATATTCGAGAGGGTTTTGGTTGGTGCCATGTTGCAAGCATTGCAACAATTAACCGGTAATAATTACTTTTTCTATTACAGTACCACCATTTTCAAAGCTGTTGGATTGGACGATTCATTTGAAACATCCATTGTTATTGGTGTCATCAACTTTGCCTCCACTTTCTTAGGTATCTACCTTATTGAGAAATTAGGTAGAAGAGTTTGTCTTTTGATTGGTTCTGTTGCTATGTCCGTTTGTTTCCTTATCTACGCATTGGTTGGTACTCAGCATCTTTACTACCACGGATTCAGTGGGCCTACTAGACACCCAGATGGAGATGCTATGATTTTTATCACTTCCCTTTACATTTTCTTCTTTGCTTCGACATGGGCAGGTGGTGTTTACTCAATTGTTTCTGAAATTTATCCATTGAAAGTTAGATCAAAGGCTATGGGTGTTGCTAATGCTGCTAATTGGATCTTTGGATTTTTGATATCATTTTTCACTTCTTTCATCACAAGTGCAATTCATTTTTACTATGGTTTTGTTTTCTTTGGATGTTTGTTGTTCTCCATCTTCTTTGTTTATTTCGCCGTTTACGAAACCAAAGGTCTTACATTAGAAGAAGTGGACGAATTGTATGCAAGTGGTGTATTAGCTTGGAAATCTGCTGGTTGGGTTCCTCCAACTCAAGAGGAAATGGCTACTTCTACAGGGTATGCGGCATATGCCAAGCCAGAAGAAGAACATGTATGATGATAAAAATAATATTCTAAAAGAAAGCCCCCCCCCCCCCCCAAAAAAAAAAAAAAAAAATAAATAATAATAAACTCTAACAGCACAATGGTTTTCATACTGGACTATTCAGATGACAACAGTGTCTGAATATAAATTAATTATCACTTTTTCCGATGGCATAATGACAAGACTTTTACTTTATTCTTGTCTTAATAGAGACGAGTTTTCCATCCTGCGGAAATAGTAATTATTAGTTTGATCTTATGGGGCCTGTTAAGATAATCTTGTTTAGTAAAGTGTACCTGGCTATAATAGTGATTTTTGCCCCCTGTCCTTCTGCCCTTTCTATTTACGTCTTTTGTCATTTCCTGTTTTTCTGCTCCCCTTTTACTGCGAGATCTAAGCCCCATATAAGATCTACGCATATAAAATTTACTCCCATATAGTTTCTTTTTTTATTACCCCGGAAAATGTGCATAAGTCACACAAAGCTAAACTCAATTGTATACGTAAATAATTTTTACGAGTAAAAAAAAAAGACAAAGAGTAAACTATGCAAAAGGAGTAATGATTAGCCGATAGTTACAAATGAAGGGCCAAAAAGAAAAAACAAAGTGCTTATATGTGAAAGTGATGACTATTGGAGGGGGGGTGATTCAGTATTCCTCAATCGCAATTAATAGTATAGTCTATGGTATTTAGAGATTTACTCATGAATTATTTTTAGTTGCTAATTTTTTTTTTTCTTTTACAATGCAAATCTCTGGCCTAGCCATCCAGGCGGGCAGCGCATCGCGGCTCATAAGCAAGAGTGCTTGGGTTTTTAATTAAAGTAGTGTCTCTAGTCTTTGATGTAAGTAAACCTATCAAATGCAGATGCTCAAAAGCACAAACCACACAAAAAAAATTATTTTTAATGAGGATGGGGCAACTTTGGAAAGCAAAATTAATGAAAAAAACAAAAAACAAACTCATTATAGGAACTCCTTAAGTTTCAGGTGTATTATTTTTTTTTCTCAGTTTTCTTGTTTGAAAGTGAAGACATGTATAATACCATTTCGGAAAAAGACGAATACTCTTTTTATACCTATTTCCACCTTTCTTTGCACAGTTTGGCATTTGCTTGGCTCTAATTCAAAATGGGGGCCTTATTCATTGATCGAAAAACAAAAAATGGCTTCTGTTTACTGTAAGACGGCCACTTTTACAAAGAGATATGTTTCTTTGTGGATTTTCTTATGAGAAAAAATAGGTGGGCTAACTCCCACATACGAAACTTCTCTCTGCATGAAAATGGAATGAAATTTTTATTTTTATTTTGGCCACCACAACAAATCGGTGCTTGGTTACGAAAAAAAAGGGTCATAATTACATGATTACAATTACAATCTTACTTGTCAGAATATATCGTATCTGCGCTGAGTACCCTAGAATGAACACATACATCTCCCTCCTCCTTCCTACCCAGCGGATTCCTTATTTCTGCATTATCATTAATATCTATTTATACGATTTTTCTAATTCTATAAATTTTTCATATATTTGGTCACCTGTCATGTTTGTAATACTGCGGTCATCCCTCGTTCTTACTGCATATGTTCCATTCGCAATGTCTTTGTCCCCTAGTAAGATAATATATGAGTAACCCTTTTGAATAGCTTCTCTTGTGCGGAGCCCTACTGTTGCTGGCCGTTTGTCTACATCAACATAAAAATTGTATCCAGTTAATGGAGATATAGCATCGGTTGAATTGAAGATATCCCCGCATAGTCTTTTTTGCAATGCCTCTGCTTTCTCAACGTGTGAGTCATTAACTGGTATCACTATTGCCTGCCTGGGATTTATCCAAAATGGCCATTTGCCTTGATAATGATCCAACAAAATAGCAAAGAATCTCTCAAGTGATCCAAATACTGCTCGGTGTATTAAAATAGGTCGATTATCCTTAGCGCCATCTTCGGTAACGTATTTAAGTTCAAACCTTTTAGGTAATTGAAAATCTAATTGAATTGTACCAACCTGATGTTTTTTTTCAAACGCGTCAGTCAATAGTACATCAATTTTTGGACCATAAAAGGCTCCGTCCCCCTCACGTATTTTCCAGCTTCTTCCTTGTCCTTCTCCTTGTCTAGTTGTTGTTGTTGTTGTTGTTGCATTCAATACTGTCTTCAATTGTTGTTCAGCAGCGTTCCATGTCTCAATATCACCAATAAACTTTTCTTGGGGCCTCGTTGATAAGTAATACTCAATGTCATCAATACCAAAAACGGCATAGGTATCTTTTATCAAGTTAATGGTGTTTCTAATTTCTTGGTCTATATGTTTCATCTCACAAAAGATATGCCCATCATCTTGATGAAACCTTCGTACTCTTGTCAAACCACTCAACGCTCCACTCGCTTCATTTCGGTGCAAGGAGCTGAAATCCGAATATCTCACAGGTAGATCATTATAGCTCCTCTCAAATCTGGAAAACATAATGCAATGGCTAGGACAATTCATTGGCTTCAAGCCATACTCATGCTCTTCACTAAAAGAACAAGACTCTGGTGTGTGTGACTCTTTCTCCTCCCTGGATAAATCGTTTCCAATAACTTTGAACATATCATCTTTATAATTGTCCCAATGACCTGATTTTTTCCATAGTTTTGTTTTGAATATCAAAGGTGTTACTACTTCTTGAAAACCATACTTGAGCTGTTGGTTTTTCATGAATTGAACAAGCTTGTTGAGTATTCTGGTTCCGTGCGGTAGGAAAAATATCGATCCCGGCGAAGTTTCGTCTGTCATGTACAACAATTGTCTAGTGGAAATCGCCTGATTTGAGTTAGTCGAGGATTGGAACTCTACAGCCTTACCATCTGTCTTACCATCTGCCTTACCATCTGCTTTGATATCTGCCTTACCATCTGCCTTACCATTTGCCTTGACATTTGCCTTGACATTTGCCTTGACATCTACCGCTCTTGTCGATAATAGCCTACAACTACATCGCCCCAATCCAATACTCTTTCGAAACATTCCACCAACTGTATAAAAGTCTTTTTTTACCTTGAAGATTTTTCTCAAAAATAATAAAACTCTTTACACTTACTTTTGGTTTTTTCACTTAACTTCCTCTTGTTTTTTTCCTTGACTCACAGAGCCTCATCGCTATATTTGAAGGTTTCAACTCTTTTTTCTGTTGATTACATTGACTATACAAAGAGGTTTTGAATACATCAGTCAACTGGTAACAGTAGCTACATCTTCATTTTGCTCAGCTTTAACGACTCTAGCGTCAACTTTTGTACTCTTTTCTTCTCCAACCTGTGTAGGTGGTGCAGGTTTAGGTTCATATACAGTATATTTCATCTTGAACCCAGTAAATGTCTTGAACAGTTTTGTTTTTTTCACCCATCGCTTACATGGTTTTCCCGATTTATCCAAAGTATATAGCGCGCTGTTTATACTATTCATTGTCAATCCTGATGTTGAGGACTCTTTAAGTCCTGCATTAATTTTATATTGACTAATATTTGACGCACCGCCTGATGCGGTTCCCACACCACCACCACCTACACCACCTATACCACCATTGTTGTTGTTATTATTATTATTAGCCAGCCCAGCATTATTCAGGTTGGTTTCTGGAGGCGCCGGTGACGATTTTTGCAGGTTTGTTGTTGATGAACTGCCACTTGCCGCTCGCCTTTCCGCTTGTGCCAATTTCCGTAGTTGTGTCTTTGATACAAAAGTAGCAAACTTTGGCAATGTTGTCAAATATTTCAGAGGAACTTTTAACCTCACCCATAATCTCCTAGCCGCAACCATTGCTGATAATGAAAAAGAGGCAAGAAAAAGAACAGTAAGAAAAAATTGTGGTTTTGAAAAGCGCAAGGAGAAAAAAATGATAGATAAATAGATTTGGTATACAACCCTCTTGCTTAATTATTAAAGCATGTCGAGTACAAATCCTCCAGCTCGACTCAAGAAAAGAGCTCCGTCCAGGTTGGACTATTTTGAAAACAACTTGAAGTTAGATATTAGAGCACATCAAAGAACTTATGAAGGTGCTTATACAAGGAGTTCTATTGTATGCTTATCGTTCTCAATTTTGATAATTAAGCTATTTTCAAGAGAATTCTTGCCGATAGGAACTATCTACACTATTTACGGATGCATGCTTTATTTTATCGGGGTTTATAAATCCTCAGGGGTCGACCTTTATTATAGTTCAGACAAGAATATGGAGATGTTCAAAACAGCCGGTGACTATGTACTAGTTTTAACAATCATCAGTCTATCTTGTTACATAGCTCTATTAGTATTGATTTTGAAAATGTAAGGAAACACCTTCTTCCTCCTCTTCCTCCTCCTCTTCCTACTCCTCTTCCTACTCCTCTTCCTCCTCCTATGCCAAAGCCCCAATGCCTAGAAGTATTACTTGCAAAAACAATTGGAGAGACCAAAATCCCACCCTTCGTACTCGCATTATTCTAGCTTCTTCATCCACCACATATTCAACGAAATTGTCGTACACCTCCTCGGAAATGTCATCCATGAGCAAAGAGTCGTAAACTGTCCAGGATCCATTAAAGTCCTGTATATTCTTCACAATCCGATTATGGATTTCAATAAAAGTGTTCTTGGAGTTGATATATGCCACAATTGGACGTATCAAAGCATAGTTGACGTATGAAAGCTCGGGTGCTTTGAATGGAACAGATGCCCTGACATTGTTTAACCTGATAGTCAAGTCTAACACAAAGTATTTGGTTATATCAGTATAATCGTCACTAGTCAATCTCGTGTGCATGTCAGGGTGCTTGTCATGCACCTCTGGATTTCTGTACCTCGTTGCTTCTCTTTTAATGGAATTTGCTATTGAATTAACAATCTCAGTAACACTCACCTCATTGTGCTCTTGAGGAACCATAATCTCTCCTAGCATATCAACTTTTCCGTTAGTGATCCAGCCAAAAGGACCCTCTAACCCAGTATTTAAATGATCGATATTTAGTCCATCAACCCGCAAGCATGTTATTCTTTTCCACTGGGTAGACAAATCCCCCAAATCCTTGTCACTTTTCTGATGTGTGAAATCACTTAGTCTCTGCTTTTTGTGAACTGTGAACAAAGAGTTATCATAAGAACCACTCATAACATTGGCATTCAAAAAATCGTAAAACAACCAGTGTTTTCTCAACTTTGAAAGTTCACAATTATATATAGCCACGTCAAATGGCCTAAAGCCATTTGGTTGCTTCAACTCAAATAGTACATCCTCCATTTTAAAGTCCTCTATCTCAAAATCCCCAGGATGATAGATGTTTTTATAGTTTCTGGCATCATCATCTGGATCCCAATGTACATGCGTTCGGTCAACTACTCCTCTCAACCCTTTTATCTCCATTGTTTCAATCATTCCTGTGCCGTTCACCCACTTATTGAAAGAAAGCGAAATGTTCACCTCCTCGATCGTCAAGTCAAACTGAGTATAGTTCCCGTCATCCTCAAACAAATATTGTTCTCCCTCTAGTAGCCCGTGCCCGTGCCCGTGCCTGTGCTCCTCCTCTTCATGCTTTTTTAAGCTTTTTTCGTAAGCCTCTTGTTGCGACCCCTTTGAAAATTTTTTAATCTTCTTCGGCCGCCTACTAACAAAGCACTTTCTAAAGCTTATCTTTCCATCTGACCAGCCAGGAACTATAGCGCTTTCGAAAGTTACTGTCATATTAGAATTTTTGGTGATGAACTCACCCAATGTCTTGGCCACAAACTCTTGTGCAAATACGGTGTTTGCTGTGAATATTATTAGCGACACAAAAGTTGTTGTAGCAACAAAGAATAAAAAGATGTTTCCGACAACTATCCATGAAAAGAATGCTGAGTAGTCGTCAGTGTTGTAGGGACGATTGGACTTTTTTAGCAACCATTTGATTCTCACTTTCAACCTGGAAAGTACGCTGTTTGCTTTGGCCAAGAGCTGCTCTTTCGTAACTATGTGCACTTTTTCGTGGGGACTCAGTATACTCTTTTGTGACTCGTTAGGTGTATGGCTAAGCTTCTCATGGGGACTCAGTATACTCTTTTGCGACTCGTCAAATGTATGGCTAAGCTTCTCATGGGGTTGTCGTTGTTGCTGTAGCGTGATACTGGACCTGGTGAAATTTCTCAATGGCGCGAGATGACATATTGCTTGATGTGGCACTTTTATAGTGTTTGTTTGCTTAGATAAAAAACATAGCTGGCGCAGTATTCGAAGAATTGATGTCTTGTTAGCAAACAACCTATTCATTAGGTTAACTAACAATATGAAGTATCAAAAAATGAAAAAAGATGCCAACGAAAACGCGGTTATTGATTGCACGTTTTGAACTGAAACTTTTAGGTTTTACTTTGATGGTTCGGGGTTCTTGCTCGATATAATTTTTCGAGTTCTCGCGAAGAGATAGGAAAGAAAAAAAAAAAAAAAAAATTCAATAGTGCCTCGAATCAAGCCCTTCTCATCGTATTACTGCTCCGTGCTTCCTTTTTCACCATTCCTTCTTGTCCTTCTTGCTCTTGCTACTCTTGTTTCCTTCTCTCGCCACTCTTTTAGTTCCTTCTTGTCCTCTTTTTCCGCTTTATCAGAGAGGTTGTGTAAGGAAACCTTCAAAGTGCTGCTCCACTATCGAGTAGCCGCGCCCAACACCGCCGACTTTAACAGGAAAAACTCAGTGTGTACATATTCAATCGACTCAATTGAGTAATACTAATGATAGAGAAAACAGTTATGCTAATTTCAAGCTCTACAGTGTGTGGACAAAGGGTAGGGTTCAATGTTAAGGAATATTATTTACGAAAGATGTAAACCAAAACCAATATGTATTTCTCGTTTAGAATAGAAACTCTTGCACAAGATATTGTGACACTACTAGCAATGCCACAATGAGCCAAAAAGTCTCAAGAGTAATTCTCGTGTGTAAATTTTGAGGATTACAGGTAATTTGAGAAGCACCAAATCACTAAAATCCTTCAACTTATTCCTACACTACTTATTTTGCTTAAAAAAAGATTCGTACTTCATATTTTCTTTCCAGTATTTAAGGAAACAATTAAAACCCCCTAGGCTTGACCAAACCAACAACAACAACAACAACAACAACAACAACAACAAAAAAAAAAAAAAGACGGGGCAAATACCTAAACTAATTTTTGTAAAATGTCTAAAAAACCCAACATCTTGTTCTAAAAATTAAATGAATAAAACGACCTTAACTAAATCTAGTTTTTTGTTTCTTCCTCTCTTTCTATTTTTTTCACTTGCGGTTTGGGAAATTACATTGATTAGGGAATTTTCTTTCATCCAAAGGTTGTGGGAAGAGACCATGAGAAGTCAATCTTTGGAAATCCCAATCACCAGCACTTTCGGTTTTCCAGTTCCAAAATATCCAGCCACCGTTATATTCAAAAGCGTCTAATTGAGCTTCGATATATCTTCTCACATTTGTCTTATGCTCCTCTGGCCATGTAGCAATATCCAAGTACGGAGCACATGAGCCCATGTATGGAGCATTGTCGTGTTTACCTTCGTAACGAGCACCTCTACCAACACCATTTAACCAAAATGCACAATCGTTCAAAGCTGCTGACCATTCACCGGCAACGGTCCAGTGGTACTCCTTTTTAGTGTCCCATCCCCAATTGCATGCGACCGAAATGTGTTGGTCTATTGTACGCTCTATTTCTCCAGCAGTAAAAACTTGATAGTGGTGGTGGTCCAATACAACGCTCCATGCATTTTTATCAACGGTTAAGAAATCGTTCCAGGATCCAATTGGTAGGAACGCATCATGTATAATGACTGGAGTCGTTGATCCCGTCTTTCTCAAAGCATTATATCCGTCCTGGTAAAATTGTTTAATCTTCTCTATATCTAAAACTGTTCCTAAAGGCTCGTTAAGTAACTCAATGCCAATAACAACATCTGAGTACTCAGTACCTCCATATTTTTCAAAAATTGTATTCAAAACATTCAATGTGATTTGAGTGTTGTTACCAGTTTGCCATTCCAACTTGTCTCTTAACCCAGAGTTATCAAAGCCATTTTGAGAACCAGGTGCACCATGTAAATCTACCCACACTTTCAAATTATATTTTCTTGCCCATTGCAAAGCAAGGTCAAAATACTTTACTTGACCTTGAACATATGGATCATCTGGCAATAACTGGAAAGCCCAGTAACCAATTGGAATACGAACAACATTAATTCCCAATAAGCTAATGTCTTTGAAATCGGCCTCAGTGTACCAAGAAGACCAATGTTGCTCCATAATCAACTGCGCAACTTTTTTGCCCAATTGCTTAGTTAAATGATATTCATCAGGTGGAGTATTTACTGGGGACAACCAGGACCCGAATAATGAAGGGGTAATATATGGTTCTAATACAAACCATCCACCTAAATTCAATCCCCTAGTGATACTCGTTTCATAATCCCACGCTCCTCTTTTCTCAATGTGACTATTATTTGGATTGTCTCCTTTCTCAACCACCACCAAAGCACTTAGACACCGCGAAAGCAAAAGTACTGCTAACGATGAAAATACAGCTAATTGCATTCAAATAGGTAAATGGCAAAAAAGAACTAAATAAAGATTCAACTGGCAAACTTCTAGTTGAGTCGAGTTGAGTTGAGTAAAGTTGAGTTTGGATCTCAGGAAAAGCCAATTATTATATGTAATACAACAATGGGTGCAAAAAAAAGAAATAAACAAGACAAATTAAAATCAGCAAATACGAAAAGATGGCGTTTTTTTTTTAAGTAATAATCAAGTTGGGGGCCAGCAAAAGTAGTCTTCACCTTTACTCTCTTTCTCTCTCTTTCTCTCTCTTTCTCTGTAATCAATGATTATGACTTGAGATCTTGGTTTTGAAAAATTTTAATAGTCTGGAGTGATCTAGATTCAAATGGGAAAAGAGTTCAAATATAATAAAAAATATATAAAAATTTGATATGCTTGAAATATCTTATCCCTTCCAAATATAAAAATAGAACAATTGTGAATTAGCTAATAAAGATGCAAATTTGTGGAAATTGGTTGGGTGCAACAACTTTAGCTGAGTAGATTATTTATCAACGCTATGTTATACAATCAACGTATAAAGGTTTTGTAGAGACAAAATCTCGATATTTTGGGGCAAATTCTAAAAAAAAGAAAAAAAGAAGCGGAGTGGATGTTTGTGTGCGTGTGTGTGTGTGTGTGTGTGTTAAGAGAGAGAGGGACGATGGTAATGGTAACCATTATATACGATAGGTATCAAGTACTACCAAGAAAGTAAACGCAAATGGTTTGTATCCCCACCAATAACTCCCGTGGCCAATTAACACATTGATAGGTTTGATATATTTCTATTGTATGCTTTCCTCTATCTTTGCTTCTGTTACAACTATACATTTTGCAGCAAGTGCTTATGTAATCTACAAAAGACTTTTACCTAGTGTGCAGGAACAACTATTATTTTAGAAAAGAAGAAGACGAAATAAGAACCTAGTTTCAAATTTTATGAGGTAACAACAATTGAGATGACACCGCCCCCCCCCTCCCCCCACCTATTCTACCAAAAGTAATCAGCGGCAGTTGTATCATGAGTATGTTTCCATTTTAACCGAGTATTTGGGTTTCTAGAGGTGTAAGTTTTTCCTTATCTTTACTCATGTATATTTCATTTTATCATCTTGTTAATTTTTTCTCTTTCAACCTGAAAAGCCAGTCTCGCTAAAAAAAAAAAAAAAAAAAAAACCCGAACAATGCTATTCAAAAACCACTTGACTAGGAGGGTTCTTTGTCTATTCTTTTTTTATTTATTGGGTTTTTCTTATTTCCTGGATAGTTTTGTGGCCACAGCTAACAACTGATTTTATAGCAAAGGTAAAGAAAGGTATGATCTTTACTATATGCCTCTCCCCTCTTTTCCATAAGACTGCTACGTTTTCTTTCAAAAATAAATTAACAGGTTCTTCTAGCAAGAATTGAGAGAGGCTTTGTTTGGGATTGTTATCATAGAAATTTTCTAAACAAAGTTTCAGTTGAGTTTCTCCATTTCCTGAAAAAAAAAAAAGAAAACCGGTAAAGGCTTTTGCCGCATATCAAGTATGATTTTGTTCTGTGTATAAAGAGAATCCGTTACTAAAACATATTAGATCTCGTGTAAGAAGGAGCCTCCTGTTTAACATCTTGGTTTGTTTCTTTCCTTTGAAGTTGAACTAAGAAAGTTAAAGAAAAAAAAAAAAAAAAACCTGTTACACAGTTCTTACAACCTGGTCACAAAGCTTCCTAGCTTGTGAAACACAAAAACTACATATTTATTCATTAGGGGGAATCATGATATGCACAAATAGCAAGTAGGCAGAAGAATTCAAAACTTCTCAAATCTATAATTTTTCAATTATGGAACTAAAAGACTTTGCCTATATCGCACAACTGTATGATCTACTTGATGTTAGGTACTAAAACTGCCTCGAAAGTGATGTTTAATCTTGCTCACCTAGCCGCCCAAAATAACAAAAACAAGTTTACAGAACAATACATGACATAATTTGTAAGGGAGGGGGTGGTGAAAGGGGAGGAAACAAAGAGGAGCGTTTCTTGGTGCCCCTTTCAGATTTGACATATAACAACGCATCCAATATATTATTTTAGTTCCTCTTTATTTTCTTTCCTTTTCTTTACAATATGATCCAATAATAAATTCCTTCTCAACGCACCCCACATCCCCATCCCTAATCAATTTCACTCCCGTTGGAATCTCTACCTTGAGAGTGTAAATTATTGGAACAACATCATTTCTCTACTGTTTTTTAGCCTGCTCATAACATTGTTAGAGATGGTGACGTTGTGCTAAACACATGCACCCACACCCACGCGCGCATCTCATGGAATATCTTAAAATTCAGACTTATAGAGAGCATAACCTTTAGTGCATAGCTTAGTTGCTAATGTAACGCAAAATTCTAAACTCTATATATTTTGAGACAGTAATTTTTTTTTCCCCAACTCCAAAGGGGGTAGAAGTAAATACATGTTGCGTTTCGAAAGGAGCTCGGAAAACGGTAAGTGGATCAAAACCATGTTGTAGGAGACTTGGGGGAAAGGGTGGGGTCACTGCTTTATGCAATTCAATTTGAGAAAAAAAAAAAAAGTGCATTGGCATTATACTTGTATAGTCCGAAACAAAAGGCATCAGGCTCACGCCATGTTTTTTTCTATGCCACCCGAATCGTATGCCAATCCAACTTTAGGGAGGGTCAGAGCTATAAATAAAGTGATCAAGGCATCTGACCAATTATTCTAATGTATACTTTCGTTTCGATCAATAAAAAAAAAGCCTTCTAGTAGGACTTACTTGTAACCAGCGTTTTGGTTTATGTTATATTCTACTGATTTTATTGATTAAAGCATGTAGCACCTTATATAGCGAAGATATAGCACTAGTGCAGGCAGTATATTTCAAAACTAGAAAATACATGGTGAACAATAATCATACCTTTTTTGTTTTTTTTGCAACCCAGCTGCAAAATGATTTTTCTTTTCCTTGTGTAGCCCTAACGCTATGCACGTGCATTTTTCAATTTACATCAGTAATTTCTGCTTTCGACTCGCGCGCATCAGGCACCTCTGGGTGAAAAAAAATGGAAATATTCTTTGTCAATAGCTTACGCTATGGTCTTAATCTCCAACAACCAAAACTAAGAAATAGTCTGCTTTGCTTAAATTGATTATCTCTAGTTGAACAACAAATAACATAAACAACACTATCAAAATGTCCACTGAATCTGCTTTATCATACGCTGCTTTAATCTTGGCTGATTCAGATATTGAAATCACTTCAGAGAAATTATTATCATTAGCCAAAAGTGCTAATATCGAAGTTGAAGGAATCTGGGCTGATTTGTTTGCAAAGGCTTTAGAAGGTAAAGACTTGAAAGAGTTTTTCTTCAACTTCTCATCAGCCCCAGCTGCCGGTGCTTCTGTTGCTGCTGCCGGTTCAGGTGACTCTGGTGCCGCTGCTGCTGAAGATGCCAAAGAAGAAAAGGAAGAAGAGGCCAAGGAAGAGTCAGATGACGATATGGGATTCGGTTTATTCGACTAAACTTGATTGACTTGAAATAAGCTTAAATTTTGAACTTGTCGATTTTTAACAGTTTTTGTTGAACAAGTGTTAATAGAGCATATAGGGTAAAGTCCATGTATAATAAACCAAACTTGTGTGCAGTAAAGCTTCTCTCAGCTTTATGTATTCTTTTTTATCACTGCAAATTGAGAAAGATGATCCTGTTTTATAACAGCCAACTGCGAATGGTTTCTACAATAGACAACTGCTGAATGGTTTCTACAATAGCCAACTGCTCAATAGTGTAAATGTTAACCAGTAATAAATTCCTTCAACCCCTTATATTCAAAATTATATATATGTATATATATGTATAGATATAAAGTATCAAATGAGGTTTTGTATTAATATACATTATCATCAACTCCTCCACAAATCAGCCGTGTATATTCCACCGCGAATGTTTTCTCTCTTTCTTATTCTTTGCTACGGTCCCACCTTATGAATTAGTTTATTTTTTAGCCTTTTCAGCTTCAGCCTCAGCCTTTTCTTTAGCTCTCTTTTCTCTGACACCCTTGAATTTCTTATCGTTTCTAGCTAATCTTAAAGTCCTGTAAGCAGATTCTTCTGGTACTTCAACGGCTCTAGTACCCTTTTCAACAGATGGCTGTTCAATTGGGAAAGTTGCTGAAGTTGAAACTTGTTCATATGAGGCTGTTTCAGAAGCCTTTGTCTTCTTGTCGAAAATGACCAATTTTGATTTATATTCTTTCAATCTCAAGACGTTAGCATCAAAAGTTTCTTGACTTCTGTTTTGTCTTCTGTGGTCAACTGAAATACCAATAGTTCTAGCATACTTTGGAGTCAAACCAACAGCTTTAAGTTCAGCTAAAGTGAATCCTCTACCTGCTCTAACCTTTCTATTATATTTGATAGTTGGAGCTCTGACGACTGGTCTTAAAGTATCAATAGGTTTTGGTGCAACTTTAGCTGCTTTTCTCAACCTTGCTTGTCTTCTTGAAACTTTCTTACCGGCTTGGTCAAAGTGAACTCTGACTCTTTCCTGCCAGTGCTTTCTGAAGTGATTATTTAATAATGGTAAGTTCTTTGAGATAGCCATTGTTGGTTGTTCAAGGGGTTTGGTGGTGGTGGTGGTACTCTACTAACTATTAACTATTAAAGAAGTATTAAGAAATACTTTTTTTTTTCACCTAAAACAGTTACTAACTATATCGCTTAATCACTATATAAAAAATTTTTCAGATTTTTCTATAGTAGTGGAAAGCTAATGCCTAATTTTTTTTTTCTCCCCTACAATAATACCGTAACGTTGTGCCCAAAAGAGAGATAAAGCTAGCTTTTCTAATAAGACTAGGCTTTTTTTTTTAGTTGAGAGAAGAGAGGAAGGAAAAAAAGAAAAAACAATTACAAACTTGTATCACGTGGAGTAAATGCTAAGTAGGGCTATTCCCATGAGTTGCGCACGCAAGCTTTTTTTTTCACACACTCTCTCTTACCCTCGTTTCTCTTTTAGCGTTAGTGAGGTTACTCGCTTTATTATGACACTACTAACAAAAATTCATCCTTCAGTTAGTTGGGCTTGAAAAAAAAAAAATTTCATAAAGATTGTTAGACTTATATTTGTAATAGATAGTTAGATCAGGATAAGCACCATGTCGACCCAATCTGTTCAAGTATGTAATGAGATGAAAGAGATATATTAGGTACATAGGTACAGTTGTGAGGTGAATGTAAATGAGCCAGGGAGAAGGGAAAGGAGCAGGAGGAGCAGGAGGAGGAGGGAAAGGAGCAGGAGCAGGAGCATTTTCATTTAGAGAGGGAAAGTCAGGGGTGGAAGTAGCATGATTGGTTAATTGTGAAGAGCTGCTTGTGACGACCTGCTCGTGGATAACCTTTCTGTGACGACCCGCTCGTGGATCACCTACTTGTGGATGTACTTGATTTTATGTCAACATTGTGTGATTTTCAAGAGCATAATGGGATTCGCCTCATGTCCACAATGGGATATACCTAATTTACGCAGTTTTCACTTTCCCCTACAGTTTACTAACAATTTGTGTTTTCTAGACTTTTGGTAAGAAAAAAACCGCAACCGCCGTTGCTCACGTTAAAAATGGTAAAGGTTTAATCAAAATCAATGGTTCACCAATCACCTTGGTGGAACCAGAAATCTTGAGATTCAAAGTTTACGAGCCATTAACTTTAGTTGGTTTGGACAAATTCCAAAATATTGACATTAGAGTTAGAGTTACCGGTGGTGGTCACGTATCCCAGGTTTATGCTATCAGACAAGCCATTGCAAAAGGTTTAGTTGCTTACCATCAAAAATTCGTTGACGAAGCCTCCAAAAATGAATTAAAGAAGGTCTTTGCCGCATACGATAAAACCTTGTTGGTTGCTGACTCAAGAAGAATGGAACCAAAGAAATTCGGTGGTCGTGGTGCCAGAGCAAGATTCCAAAAATCTTACCGTTAAAGGGACTGTTTTTTCCTATCGCTTTTCTTCAAATTGTACAATCTCAATATCGGAGAACTCGGGCCATTATTACAAACAAGTTTTCAAAAGAATTTATTATCATTATCATCACCTACCCAATTTAATTGTAAATTATCTTACATAGTTCCAACTATTATCATGTGTTGTGAAGGCTTTATATTTAACTCTACCAATACATAAAACAGAGAATATCTAAGCTGGTTTAATGCCAAATCTCTTTGTAGAGAATGCTTTCCTTTCCTTTCCTTTCCTTTACTTCTCTTCTCTTTGTTTGCAATTGGTAGCGGACTCGATGGAATCAAGATTGAAACTTTGTAAAGAGATTGTTACTTCAAGGTAAGTAAAGCTTTCATTACCTTTTCGTAGCTGGGCAAACCGTTGCAGAAGCAGCAGTAACAGCAACAGCTACTTGAATAAAAACATGTATAATGTCCACTGAACATCAACCGCAATTGAAGATTCCGCTAATTGATCTATCAGACGGATTTAGGTTCCCGTTAGGCTGTGAAGATATAATACTTTGCAAAAACAATATTTACTTGTGTATACAAAAGAATCAAGTTACCATCTTCAGGGGCTTTCTTATCAACAAGGTTTTGCTGTTTGATGAAGAGATTATACATGCTTGCGTTGCCACTTTCAAGATAAAAGATGAGGCAACAGATATTATGGCGCTTTGTTTCCGTCAACATATCAACTTTTACTATCCTCATGGGAAGCTATATACGTTGCACCTCCCATTCGATATCGTATTAGCGAGAGAGTATGAGAAGGGGTTGATCCTACAAACGAGGACGGAAATATATCTTGTCAATAAAAACTTTGACTTGAAATTTGTCGATAAAGATACAAATAGTGCATTCTCAAATCACGAACACATTTGCACTTATAATCAGCGAGATAAAGGTGTTTCCTTATGTACTACAATGACTGATGGTGCAATTAATGTATACCATGTTAAAAACTCGTCTCGAAGTATGAAATTCAAGTCCAAGTCATTAAACAAGATGCAAAAGAAGAAACATTACGCCATGTCTGGTAATACCTCTTCAATCAGTAAACAGTCAGAGCAGAAAATGAGTCTGTTTTTCATTCCGGAACACCGTACCAGTACTTTACTTTCAGAGGCAAGGGTTTCAAATCAGGATAGCTCACCTGTATCTAGTTTGCAAAAGGATGTAATTTTATCCAAGATTGAGACTATTGAAAAAAAGTTGAACAAAAATCATGTTCGAGTATTCAGTATCAGCTTTGAAGACCAACAGGGTGTTGTAATTGTAAACAAATTGAGACAGGAGCTTTATGTTTACAAGTACAGCTCATATTCAAAGTACCAGTCGGTCTACAAGTGTCCTTGTCTTGACACTATTCCAATGCACTCTAACTTTGAAGGATGTTTGGCGGTCTTGGATGACACTGATTTGTCAATTGTCAATCCCTTTTTGGATTTGCGTGCAAGTTGCAATTTGACGATTCCTATCAATACATTGATTAGCTCCTACGATGGTAAAATTGCATTCAAAAGCAATGACGAATCTATTCACATTGCCAAGTTGATATTGGAACCTGCATCACAATTGGTTTCTTCTTGTTTGAATTGTTTTAGATATTTATCTGGCTCTACCGTTATTCAAAAAATTTGGATGCTTTGGAGGTCAGCTTACAATACATGCGGTGATGAATGGGACGCCTTGGTGATTGCATTGCTTTCACTATTTTTTCCATTCGAGGATAAAGTTCCATGTGTAGAAAACGAAATAACCAGAAAATTGCCACAAGCTAGACTACTTCAAGGGAGTTCCTGTTTCAATTATGACTTGAGTGATCTCATACCTTATATTGTGTTATCTTTGCATCTTCTAAGGGAAGAATACCGACTAGATGTTTTGAAAAAGGATTACTTAACAAAGCTAGGTTCACTTTTAAGTCAATTAACTGCATGGATGGGGTGGGCTGAATCTTGGCCTAATTATTATTCAAGCCTGCTAAATATTGATAAATCCACGAGATTTCTTTCGATTCAAATATTGCAAACTCCGCCGAACCTCCTTGAATCTTTGGCTAGTCTTTTCACCAACACTATAGTTCCCTTCTTGTCATTTTCCCAGTTGGTGGAGGAAAGTGATTCTATTGATGCCATAGTTACTCCTCAAACACATAACGTTTTAAAAATTTTTGAAATCCTTGTATCCTCACAGTATGGGCCATCTAATCTTGTTGACATGATGAATGATTTGGGTGTTACTTCCTTGGATACTTTCCCCTTGGGTGTTTCTTTTCCATTGAAAGAAGCTTTACTGGTTGCACAAGAGAATCCTAATTTTGAATGGTCATTGGGCTCTTTGGAACTTATTGGCCGTGAGGATTTGAGCAAATTGTTGTCATCAACATCAGCATCAGCATCATTTGCATCATCTTTCAAAAATGACTTCACGGAAGAAGTGAGAAAAGAAAAGAAACAAGAGGAAGATATTGAGTCTTTGACTACACAAATAATGGCTTCAAATGAAGTAATTACGTCTTGGGATGATCAGTCTGAAGCCAGAAGACTTGGCATAACTAAATTAATTTTTGATTATGACAGAAGATATTACGAGGTTACTACGTTATTGCACCAAACGAAAACTCAAACGGCTTATTTGAAAGTAGATGATAATGTGAGCGAGTATGATCTTGTATTATTACAGAGAAGTTTAGCCATTGTGGTTGCATTAAGAACATTAACAATACCACTAGGCCGAGCGGCTTTATTCTATGATGGTCGTAAACCAATACTTACCGAGAAGTTCCCCATCCCAAAATTTAATCTCAATACATTGATATCGCCAACAATGACTAATATAATACACTCTGAGGAGAACATTTCTGCTGAGCTATCTGCATGGGGTTATTTCCATAATGGGGCTTCATCCGGTTTAAGCATATCGAAGGATTCTAAGGGAATTTCTGGGAGCTGGATAATTTTCAATAAACCACCTGACTTGAATGCTCAACATGCTGGGTTTCTATTAGGATTGGGATTAAATGGCCATTTAAAGAATCTTGAGGAATGGCATATATATAATTATCTTGGACCTAAACATCCTTTGACCAGTGTTGGGTTGTTGATTGGAATGGCAGCTAGTTTGCGCGGTAGTATGGATAACAAATTGACAAAAGTTCTTTCAGTACATGCAGTGGCACTACTACCCAGGGGTGCAAACGATTTGAATGTTCCTACAATGGTGCAAACTGCAGGGTTAATTGGAATTGGTTTGTTGTATTCAGAAACTCAGCATAGAAGAATGAGTGAGATATTGCTACTGCAGATTGCTGGTACTGTTCAGCAAAATGATATTGTTCAAGTCCATGAAGGTTATAGATTGGCTTCGGGAATAGCTTTGGGGTATGTGAATTTAGGTAAAGGGGACGATTTGAGAGGATTAAACGATACGCATGTTGTTGATAAATTGTTATCATTTGCTGTATCTACCAAGAATTCGCAGCCCGGTCAAGAATTGAGCAAATCTTGTTGTGGCGCCATCATGGCATTATGCATGATTTATTTGAAAACAGAGAATGCAAATGTAGCTAACAAGTTAAAAGTTCCGGACTCAGAGCAATTGTTGGACTACGTGAGACCTGACTTGTTGTTTTTGAGATGCTTTGCTGTGAACATGATTATGTGGAGTAAAATCAAATCAACACGGAGTTGGGTAGAATCACAGATGCCCAAGTTTGTACTTGATGAGTTCAATAAGGTGGGTGGATTCCACCGCATGGACAGTGACTCATTGATGTATTTCAACATTTTAGGAGGATCATGTTTATCCATGGCACTCAAGTATGCATCGTCATATAATATAGAAGCTAGAAATACGATATTATATTATCTTGATAAACTAATGAAATTAACGAGCAAGTCTGCGGTAAATTATGATCAAAAGTTGACCTATAACACGGCTATTACTATACAAAATGTCCTTGCGTTATGTGCTGCAGTGATAATGGCTGCAAGTGGTGATTTAGAGGTATTTAGAAGACTTCGTGTTTTGCACAATGACACAAATAGAATACTAGGATTTGGTGGATATATGGCTATCAATACTGCATTGGGTTTTTTGTTTCTTGGGGGAGGACAAATGGCATTTGACAATGATTCGTTATTTGGAATAGCCAGTTTGATTACTAGCTTGTATCCCATTTACCCTAAAGAGAATAGTGAATATGAAGTACATTTGCAAGCGTTGAGGCATTTTTGGGCTTTGGCTGTTGTTCCCAGATGTTTGATAATAAGAGATGTCAAGACTAAAGAAGCTTGTAAAATACCGATTTTGATCAAGATGAAGAACGGGGAATTGATGAACAAAGTATCACCATGCTTGATACCCAATTTGAAGGAAATATCACAAATTCAAACCAAATCAGCAAACCACTTTGATGTGATTATCGACTTTGAATTGAAATCTGAAATATTGGAAAACTTTGAAAAGTCATTGACCATTTATGTTTATAAGAAACAGAATTATCAGTTATTGAAACCTAGTGTTCGATCGATGTTACAGAATAAGAGCAAAGAACAAGATAATACACCCATTAGTTCATTATTAAATAATTGTGAAGTTTTCCAGGAATTGGAAAAAAATAGTAAGCTTATATGGCAAAATGAGTTCAGTACAAGATTATTATCATCGACAAATTTAAAGTCTAGCGGATTATCGATATATGATATAATTGAAAACAAATTGGAATTGATGAAATATGCCAAGCTGGCTTCATCAATTGAAGATATTTGGAATTTGAAGCTTGTGTTTGAATTTACGAATAGAATGAAAAGAGACTATCTACATTATATCCAGCTTGATTTTATACATGAATTGAAACAAATATTGTGCAACAAATATTTTGCAAAAGATGATCAAACCCGTGTGTAAGAGAGTCTGGACCATGAAGGCTGGAAAAAGTAAGTAGCTTTTAATCAACTCACCTCACCACCTTTTCTTAAATCTTCTTTTGCTTTGTCTGGTACTTTCTTTTCTTAAATCTTCTTTTACTCTGTCTGGTATTTTCTTTTCCTAAATCTTCCTTTGCTTTATCTGGTATTCTCTTTTTCCTAAATCTTTTTTCTTCTGTCTGGTGTTTTCGTTTTCATTTTCTCGGTTAAAATGTCGTAAATATGGTGTAAGACATCACGCTACTAAAAGAAACAATATTTTTTGTCGCGTGAGTGAATAAGCTCAATCTGTGTCATATTTAGTGCAATGCTAGAAGACTAAGAACTAGCTTCACCACCCCGGTGACTTACTTGTCACCAGTTTACTTGCCCTTAGTTTACTCGCTACCAATTTACTTGTTACTAGTTTACTTAGCCACAGACTTATTTGCGCTTCTTCTTCTTCTTCTTCTTCTTTTGTTTTCTACTTACAAAGGGGTCTCAATCCTTGTTTGAAAGGTCTCAATCCTTATTTGAAGGGTACAATCCAACATTTTCATTTTTGTCGTAATGAAAAGAAAAGAGATTTCTTTTTTTTTTTTTTTTTTTCAGGAAAAACTTTTGACATTTGAAATCGACGATTAGAGCATAAGTTTCAGGTACAGACTAGAAAATTGTTGGGAGGGGAGATATCAAACATAAGTAACTGTTGTTGTTTTTTTCTAACGTATTTATTTGCTCATTTAAGCTCCTTTAACTCACATTATATTCGCGCTAGGATCATTTTTATAGTATATACATTTACATTACTTACTCGCCTGTTTTATAATTTTCAGGTCTAGTAGAGATATATACGACATATGATTAACTTTATTTCACTAAAATTTCAATAATCTTTTTTGGCTTTCTTTTTTTGTTTTGCTTGATTTATTTTTAAAGTTTTCATATATACCCCTTCTACTTCATTACATAGTATGGTTTTTAGACCACCTTCATTTACCTGGTCGAGGTCTGGCGGTCTGAGATGGAAATATAACAATACAGCAACGGCGGCTAAGATGTATAACCAACACCACTACTCCTGTCAGCAAAGAAGTATATTACAACCATTATCGAGTGCCTCGCAGATGGCTCAATTGATTGAACAACAACAACAGCAGCAGCAGCAGCAGCAGCAGCAGTCCTCTACCTCTACCAAGACTCAAAAGAGGTATTTTAGCAGTTACTACTACCAGTTTCCAAAGATACCCCGACCAAAGAGAAATGTCCTTTACTATTCCACTTGGTCGAGAGGTGGAGCTCCTTCTACTGGAACCGGTACAAATACCAAGATAAAGAGACGTTTCTTTCCCCAGCTTCGTTACTTCCATTTGCCCAAAATATCCAAAAGACTGTTTTCGCAAGCCAACCAAAAATTGAAACTGAATACTAGGAAATGGCACATGAGATTCTTTTCTGTTGAAGCAAGATCAAGAAGACAACAACGTAGAAAATTCATTAAATGGTGGACCCTCACTTCATTGACTGTGGTTTTGGGGGGTGTGGCGGCAAAAATTAAGTACGATAGGGACCTGTTGAATGAGAACCCATACAAAATTAGACCACAATCATGGCAGTTGTATGCCTACTCTACTTTGCCCTTGAAGACCATATCACGATTATGGGGCTATGTCAATCTGATAAACTTGCCCGTATTTATGAGATCGCCTCTGTATAAACTATACTCGGCTATATTTGGTGTTAATTTAGATGAAATGGAGAATCCAGATTTGAAAAGCTATAACAACCTATCTGAATTTTTTTACAGAAACTTGAAACCGGGAGTTAGACCTGTATCTGAGGATGATATTGTGAGTCCTGCCGATGGTAAAGTTTTGAAGTTTGGTATTATTGAAGATGGTGAGATTGAACAGGTTAAGGGCATGACTTATTCAATTGATGCGTTATTGGGAATGGGGGAGTCGTCGACTCGGAATTTAGCTGCCCCTACTCACTCGCCTGATTTTGAAGATAGTGATGATGAGGTTCGAATTAGAAGAGATGAAGAGTTTGCGAAGCTAAACGGCATATCATATTCCGTTGATGATTTCATAGGTGGGGAGAATGAGTCAACATTTCACTTGAACAAATTGACCTATAAAAGTGATCATGATGGTACAGCCAAAGGTTCTAATGCCTCATTTCAGAAGGAGCTCAAAGTAGCAGAGGCCCTTGCACCCAATCCAATGGAGCAATTTCGTCAGAAACAACTATATTTTGCAGTGATATACTTGGCGCCGGGTGATTATCACCATTTCCATTCACCCACAAACTGGGTAACCACGTTGAGGCGCCATTTTATTGGCGAGTTGTTTTCAGTAGCACCATTTTTCCAAAAAACTTTACAAGGTTTGTTTGTATTAAATGAACGAGTTGCTTTATTGGGATATTGGAAATATGGCTTTTTTTCAATGATCCCTGTTGGTGCTACCAATGTTGGTAGTATTATTGTTAATTTTGATAAGGATTTGAAGACTAATTCATTTTACGAGCATGAGGTTTATAGTAGTAGTAATGGTGGTAATGCTTCATCATCGGGAACTTCCATTGTGAGTGAAAACACACCCTTGATCCAAAAGGATTACTCGGCATCGGACAATTTGCTAATAGACTATCAAGAAAATCAACGTAGAAAAAAGAAGAAATTGAGAAAGAACACTGTTTATGAAGCAACGTACACTAATGCAAGTAGGATACTAGGCGGATGCCCCTTAACTAAAGGTCAAGATATAGGCGGGTTTAAATTGGGTTCAACAGTTGTGTTGATATTTGAAGCTCCTGACAATTATCAGTTTACTATAGAAATTGGTGAAAAAGTGAAAGTTGGTCAATCGTTGGGCAAATTTGAGTAAAAGAAGGAGATAGGAGAGGAGAGGAGAGGAGAGGAGAGGAGAGGAGAGGAGAGGAGAGGAGAGAATAAGAGAGACAGAATGCCATTATTTAAAGCATAAATAGATATACAAATTATTCCTTTATCTGCTATGACTTTTTTCATATTTGTAGCTACTAGCTATACCTCTTTAAGGACTCTAAAGGACTCTAAAGGACTCTAAAAGACTCTAAAGAACTCTTTAAGAACTCTTTAGAACTCTTTAAGAACTCTTTAGAACTTTTTGCGACTCTTTAAGGACTCTAAAAGACTCTCGCTTCGCTCGATAGTGTTGATAGTGTCGATAGTGTCAGTGGCAGCTGGTGTGCTCCACTATCTCGCTCTGCTCGATAGTGTCGATAGTGTCGCTCGATAGTGTCGCAAAAGTTTTGAGGTAGGGTGTTTTCTCTATGTTGGTCACGTGCCCTGCATTGTCAGAGGGAGAAAAAAATCAGCAATAACATTTGGTAGCGTTAGTGTGAAAAATTTCAAACATAACCGTACATTTCCTTGATAGACGAGCAGACACACACACCCCCTCCTCCTCCTCCCCTCCCCTCATTTTTCAAGCAGTAACTACTGAGATGCAATAAAGACAAGACAAAGTAGGCAACTGCTGTTTGCTTTTTTTTTTTTTCTTTCTCGTGTCCCCTTTTTGGCGAGTTTTCTAACTTTTTTGGTGTTTCTTGTTGGTTTCATTATTTTTATTGTTCACAAATCTTACAAGAAATTTGAAATCACTGTTATTGTCAAGTCGAAATTGTAGAGACGAGACATCAAATAACTACAACTACAACTACACCTATAATTACAGCTACAACTACAACCCAAGTATAGGTACCGCTACAAGCATATACACACACATAAGCACAGCCAAAGGTACATACAGGTCATATATAAGTCTACAGCTGTCCTAGGAAAGTTTTTCAACTCTTGTATATCTTCTTTTCCCTTCCCTTCCCCCCCTTTTTTTTTTCCCTTTTCATTTCAATTTCAATTGCAAAATGTCCTTTCTAAATACAATAAGAGGGTTAGGAAGAAGTTCGAAAAAGAACAAAAAGGACTTGGACGCTTCACAGTCCCCGTCATTCTATTCAAATTCAAATTTATCGGGTACTGTTCTAAAGAGGACACAATCTCCCAATAAATTATCACCTTCGAAGCATTCTGCTACATCGCCAATACGAGGAGGAGGAGGTGGTGGTTCAACAAATGCCCAAAATATACCGACGGTGAGACTACTGCAAGGATATCTGCAACAGGGCTCGCCAACAAGACGTAGCAAACATGTGCATCCACTGCTGCAGCTGCAACATCATCATCATCAGCAACATGATAGACTGCCTCAAAGAACGGTCCAGTATACTACTAAATCGTCTCAACAGCAAATGGCAGAACCACCGTTATTCTTGTGTGATCCATATGTGAGAACTGCGCTTGTCAAGGGTTCCTACAAGACTATTGTTCAACTACCCGCATTTGTTGACTTGAACGAATGGCTAGCGCTCAATGTTTTTGAGTTTTTCAGTAATTTAGATGCATTTTATGGCTTGATTGCCGATTTCGTTACCCCTGAAGCGTTTCCTACAATGAATGCAGGTCCAACAACAAATTACCTTTGGGTCGACGCTTCAGGTCAAGCAGTGAACTTGCCTGCGTGCCAGTACATTGAATACGTGCGGACCTGGATCCTGAATAAAATCAATGATCGAGAAAACTTTCCCACGAAAACAGGTGCGGTTTTCCCTCAGTTTTTTATCAGGGATGTGAGAAACATTTCAAGACAGATGTTTAGAATATTTGCATTCATTTACTATAATCAGTTTGACAAGATTATTCATTTGAGTTTGGAAGCTCACTTAAATTCGTTTTTTGCTCATTTCATTTCGTTTATTAAAGAATTCAATCTTTTAGACAAGAAAGAGTTGCATCCTTTACAACCGTTGGTTGATAATTTTGAGCAGCAGGGGAAAATCTACTAGAAGATACCCATTGCATAAATATACATGTATAGGTAGGCAAAATTCAATGTCGAGAGGCACTACTTCACCGTAAACGAAAACATTAGCTAAAAAAGAACCTCTGGTTTTTATTTTCTTTCGAAAATCCATGAAATCGGCCATTTTTCTGTACTGTTTTTTGTATAAAATCAAAACTCAAGAGAGATCTATCCACAATCATTGACACCTATTTATTGCCTAACCTTGATTATAAATATACATACACACACACATATATATATACCAAACTATTTGCCATATTCTATGTACAGTAAGTTCTTTTCAGCAAAAAGCACCTTCAAGGACATGTTGAAAAGGTCTCTATAAAAATTAAAAAAAAAAAAAGAAAATTATATGTACATGTATGTCAGACAATTTTTGTATCCTTGATGGAACAACCTAAAATTTTCATTTATGAAAAGAAGTAAAGTGAGTTTTTCACAATATTCACATCGAAATCTCCTCTTCGTGGAACTTCGGGGAATTCCAAGGGAACCAAAATTTCATATTGTGGAATATTTCTGCCTGTTAACTCAAGCTCATAAGGATTAAAAGCATCAACTACACTTATTGTAGTTTGCATTTTCTCACCAGCTTCAACTTCCTTTGGATTTTTCGATGCTAACAATTGTAATCTTTTTCTTTCCATTTTTATTTCATCGGAGATTGTTATTCCTCTTCCAATGGACTTTGCCCACTGTTTTTTAATTTCTTTAATTTTCATCGTTAACTCGTGCTTTGCAGGTACACGTAAAACTTGATACGCTCCTTGGTATCGTTCAACAAATTCATCTCTAAGATATTTGATGAGATCAGTGCTATGTAAACGAACAAATTGGTTACGTAAAGTCTCATTCATCTTATCGATATCTGTTGCATGCGTCCAATACAGATCGTGAACTGCGGCAAAATTTATTCCTAAATCACCACATGCTTTAGCCGTCATCAACATATGCGTTGCATCTAACGAATGGATGAAATTTGGTGCAAATGCCATTTGTTGTTTCCTTGCGTCAACATTTGATGTACCTGAAGGATTAACGATTACAATATCTTGAAGTGTGGTTTTCACTGATTGTTGTTTGTTGATTCTATAAGGTTGAACACACGGTAAACCTAATGGTGAGGTCCATATCACAGCTGATGAATGTAACTCATTGTTATTTGTTTTTGCTTCGTCGAAATCCATCGATACAGATTTACTAATCCTTTTAGCTGATTCCCCCAACCATGATTGGATTAAGTGAGCCCCTTCAAATAATTCTCGAATTGATGCGAATACTTGTGAGGTCAAATACCTAATGTGTGGAAGAGTATCAGCGCCAACTTCAAAATACTGTTCAACTTGCTTTTTGATTTGTTGAGTAGCGCCAAGATACGTTACACCATAAACATTGGTCATCACCGTTTGTTTAACAACTTTTCTCTTGATTTTATCCTGAAAGAAAATCGCCATTTCATTACCAGCCTCGACATCTCGAGCAACTCTTTTTTGAACCAAATCAGCAACATAGGAGTAGACATCCTGAGGTCTATCTGCGGGTACCAAATTCACTTGGTGTGCACCCTCGACATCACCACCCAATGCAGCATAATGTTGAAGACCATTACAGGTACCGTCTTGATGGACTGGTAAATGTGACACAAATTTGGTGGGATCTTCCAATTTATATGCTTCAGCTAGCTCAAAGCAAACACTCAATGTTTGCCATGGTTTCTCCGCTTTTGTCCACCAATCATTTACATAAGGATCTTCTGCTGACTTTATGGCAAGATTGAGGTTGTCTTCTGCAAACTTGACTCTCTCTGGCAATGGCAATTTATCAACACCATAAACATTTGCCAATTGTATTTTCAACCATTTCAACCCATTTTCACCAAGTTCCTTACCTTCCCAAAACAAAAACAACGCACGCGTTAAATCACCACCTAAATGATTAAGATAGGGACTTATTGGGTATGCTCTTCCTCTAAAATCCAAATTGTGGGGATAATAAAGTTTTTCACCAATAAAGCCTCTTGCAATCTCTAGTTTGTAATTGTAGTCACACCTCAAAGACCTCAGTGTTGCAAATTCCTTTGCGGCCAAGTAAACTGCTTTATTGTGTTCTATCCTGACCACGGGGTCTGCATCCTTGGGTATTTTTGGCGGAAACTTTGCTTCCTTCATAATTGGTGGTATCGACAAGTACTCCTCGCCTTTATTCCAATAATGCGATATTACGTCAAATACTTTTTGATTGATTGTCCATGAGGCTAATCCCAACACATTCAATCCATCATAAATTTCTTGCAAGTTTTTTCTCTCTGCAGCCGTCTTTACATAAGCATCCGTTTCTGGAGAGTCTCTGATGCGAACCAAGGGGGATTTGGTATACAATGTACCACCTCCGTAAAACGAAGACCATTTTTTCGGCTCCACCAACATTGGAAGTGTTTGTGGCTGGATAGAATCGATAAACGCAGTACCTGTCAATTGTTTCTGAAGGTTACTGTGGATCTTAATCACCCCAAGACGTTTACCATTTGCAAACTGCATACCATGGAAAAAAGCCGGGTGCACGTCTTCTTCTACTTTCCCATTAATTTCCTTTCTCACTTTAATTTTAGCAATTGACATAACAAATGATATCAAAAGTCCTCCGATTTTGGTGCGTATAACTTCATCCCATTCAGTTGCGTTTGTACTTATAATGGATTTTTCCACAGATTCCTTAATTATATTTTCCATTTGAGAAGAACCTTCTACTTTTTTACTTGAAAAGCTATTACTATCTTGTTGAGCAGAAATGGATGATTTATATTCCAACTCTAGAGACTTCCCCACTGAGGATATAGCCTTATGAGCAACCATTCCTCCATTTGATCCAGACATAGCATTGACTTTAAAAAGTTCCAAAAGCGTAAGGACTGCGGTCTTCTCCGGTGAGACCCTGATCAAGAATGGCGCATAAGCTGAACGTTCTTTTGCCGCAGCATCATCTGTGGAGCTGACTTTTACATCTCCAGCTAGTATGGCTTTACAAAGTTTGTGTTCTTCTTGAAGAAGTGGAATTAGCTTCTGATACCACTCATAACATTGAGCATTGATTTGTTTACTCATACTGATATCTCCTCTCTTTTGGGCATCTTCAAAGTCACGTTTCCATTTTTCCCTTGCGCCTTCAATTCCCCTTATTTCAATTTGTCTTTGTCTGTTATAGTTAAACTTCTCTAATGCTTTATTAAATTGTAATTTTTGAGTATCGCTTTTCAATCGTTTATAAAATTCAAAATAGTTTAGATTTTCTGACTGGATTTTATCCTTTATAGTTTCGTCCAAGTCTTCAACTATTTCTTTAATGTCATTCACAAAAGTGATAGCAGCTTCCTTTTCGGGAGTTAACCCCAACAATGAGTGTCTGACCACATTTAGTGCAAAAGAATCCACAGGTGTCAACTCGGCCAAGTTTCCCTTACCCAATGAGATGATTGACTGGTCCTCTTTTAACTTCATTGTATCTTCAACAACATCTGCACTGCTTTGACTCAATTTATATTTCCTATATACGTGCAAAAGTTCCTCTGGAATACACGACTCGTTTATATTTGGCGAATCGAATATCTTGTACATGTTGTCTGCGCCTATCACATCTGTGTTTTGTAAGATTTTCTTAATCTTGTTATTATTGGTAAATTCTCCAAAAAAGTATTTTGGATCGGTGCCTTCTAAAAGTAGCTGCTTCAAAACTATTGCCTCTGTCCTTTCGTCCAGTACAAATCCACAGTAATCCTCCATTTGGGCTATTATTCGGTTCAAATTTTTCACACTTGTTGCTGGTGTTGTGGAGGAGGAATTATTGCTAGTCAATATGACAAGGGCGTTATTGCCAATTTGAGTTAGCTCGCGTGACAGTACAAGGTTCGACAAGGACTTTAGTATTTGGTATCCTCTTTCGAAATAGCTCTCTGCCGAAAATGTTTCCAACATATTCTTTAGATACCTAATCTCTTTCTCGTATGGCTGTCTTATTACCTCGTCCGCTCGAGACGAATAATGTCCTAATCTATCTTCATTTTCAATTTTGGGGAATCTTTCGGGCCGAAAATCTAGATACGAGCTCTTTATCACGCGGGTCAAAGAACCTTTTGTATGTTTGGAATTGGAACTTCTACACTCTGGCTCTTTCAACAAGCTAAGAAACGGCTCTGAAAATGAGGGGGATGATCTACTTGAAACCAAGCTCAGTGACGAAGATACATTAAATCTTTTAACATTTCTCGCCTGGCACTTGCGAAAATGCGTACAACCTGTTCTAATCATGTTTCTCAAATTTCTAACCAACCTATCCGCCTTTCCCCCTCTGTAAAGGTGAATATAAATAGCTTTTTCCTGATTTTTAATGCTATTCCACAACAAATATCAAGGTTAGTAGAGATGAAATTTTTTCTTTTCTTTCTTTTTTCCGATGAGCTTTCTATTTATGCAAAGGAAAGAAAGCTTAAAGTAAAACAAGGAAAAGCTTAGAGCAAGACAGGAAAAGCTTAGAGCAAGACATGGAATCTCAGAATAATATAAGTATGTTCAAGCCCGTGTGGGAATATCAAAGAATTAAACAGATGTAAGGAGGGAACATCAAAGAATTAAACAGATGTAAGGAGGGTACTAAATAGATGTAAGGAGGGAACATCAAAGAATTAAGCAGATGTAAGGAGGGGACATCAAAGAATCAAGCAGATGTAAGGTAGGGTGGGTAATCTAGAGAGAAGATAATCTTGTATTGAGCACATAGGATTCATTTCACTCACTCACTCACCCACTCACTCACTCTCACTCACTCTCACTCTCACTCACACTCCCGGATTTAGTATTACAACTCCATCTCAGCTTGTAGTTGTTTCAAGACCTCCTCATCTTCGTCATCTTGCGAGATGGGTTGGTTCTTTGTCACGCTAGGGAAAAAGGGCAACTCCTCTTCTCTTTGCACTGGTTGTTGCTGTTGTTTGACTTTTGAGACTTTGTCTTGCTGCTGCTGCTGTTGTTGTTGCTCCTTGTTCTCCCTTTCCAATTCGGCCAATTCTTCGTCCAACTCGTCCTCGTCCACATACTCATTACCAACTGGTCTAGATATAGCCTCGGATATTTCATCCGCCAATTCAACCTGCTCTCTTATTTCCTCCATTGTATCTTCGACTTTGTCTACATTGTATTCTCCGTGTATCTGCTTCATTGCAGTAGCTCCTTGTTTCATTGCCTTCATCGTCTCTAGATTCAAATTAGCGCCTTCGATAGATATTAACTGCGTTTCTAAAGTTTCTATTTGGTTCTCAACCTTCATCAAGTTGGTCTCATACCCCTTTTTACGCTTTAATGCATTCTTGGCCAAATTCGTTTGCTTTAATGAAACATATTTCCGTGCCATCTGGTCCTGATCTTCCATTTGCTGCAGTAAATGGTTCTTTTTTTTATTTAATGTTGCTATATGCTCACGAAGCTCGACTATAGCCTTCTTGGGCAAGTCCTTCTTTTGCTGTGAGCTGCCTCCAAAGAAATATCCCCACATTATCTCAACTTTTTATTTTACCCTTATCTTTACTTAAACGATGCGAGTAACAAATCTTGTTCTAATGGTGGAATCTACCTAGGCAAATAAGAGAACCAACCTCTAAAGTAGGTATATAACTGTTTGCTTAACGTCTCGCTTTATTTTCTACAAACCACCTTACCTCAAAAACAAAGTGGTGGGGTTTAGTTATGGCCTTATCAGTAAGAACTCAATGATAATCTTAAAGATTCAAGAATGGTTTCTAACCAGAGATTTGTTACACTCTAACAATCGATAGTAGGGAAAAAAAAAAAAGTTACCATCGAGAGTACACGACCAAAAAAGCCCAATCGAGGAGACCTACATTCTTTATCTACAACTTTACAAAGTGCCGTTTTACAAGTATAAATATATAGAAAGAATCTGTGTGTCAAGGTGTCAAGGTGTCAAGGTGTCAAGGTGTATGTGTATGTGTATGTGTATGTGTGTGTCTGCATTAAAGGTAAAGGTTCCAATGACTAGAAAATTATCTTTTCTTCCTAGCTCACGAGGACCCACAAGAAGAAAAATATAATTAATACTCCAAAGATCTTTAAGAATAACCATCGATTACTCGTGATATGAGCGTAATACTTCAACAACTCTCGTTGAGCGCCACTAATGTTTAAGCTGATATCTTCGACGTTTGCGTCGATTCTTTGTATTTGTTCGCCTTGCTCGCTCACCATAGTTGCCAACTGTTGGAACAAGTTTCCCACTTCGTTGATTGTGCTCTCGATATTCTCCACTGCGCGATTCCGCAGTTGTAAATACTGCTGGCCACTATTTTGTTCCTCCATTAGAAGCATTTGTTGCTGTTGTTGGTTTGGTAAAGACAAATACTCCGAATTATCGTAAGGCGAAACCATTGCCGGATCAGAAGCTGCTGCTGCTGCTGCTGCAGTAGCTTCATGACTCAGTTTATGATTTTCTTGTACGAGAAAGGGATTTTCATTAAGATTCGATAATGATTCAGACCGTCTACTATCGTTGAACTCGCTAACAACAGCATTTAATGGCAATGCGTTATTCAACGAGCGATTGTTATTCACTGAAGAAATGAAATTGTTTTGTCTATTCTTGTTCATGATTTCATTCTTTTGTCTAATTTCCAAAACATTCTTAAATTCTCCAGAAACGTTCTTCATCTTTGAGTTGAGCAAAGTGAGAACATTCTTACTATACTGTGTAGTTTGAGAATCCACTTTTATCGAGGCTTCGCCCTTGATGTATTTTTGCAAGTTCTGGATATTTGTCTCGATTCTAAATATATCTTGCTTAATCACATAGGTGAGCTCTCCAATTTCAATGGGTTTATCATCAAACAAAGGTTTCCTCTTTGCCAAGATGGCTAGCTTGCCAAGTAGCTCAGTAACATGCGATATATCCTTCGCTATAAGACTTGCCTGTTGGCTGAACTGTGATTTCTTTGGAGGAGGCTGGGGGTGATGCGATGTAGATTTCGCCCTTATAAAACCTGGTTGTTGTTGTTGTTGTTGCTTCCTGTTTATCTTCTCATACGTAGTGACACATTGTTGGAATTCTATTGTCCTATTCTGGATAGAAACTGACATTACCAGGAAAAAGGGAGTAAAAGGAACCTTGGCTTACAATAAAAATCTCCTTGATGAAAACCTGCCCTTGTGAAAACCAATGTGAAATTTGTCTTTCTTCTTCGTGTTGATAAAGAACAGCAAAAAAAAAAAAAAAAAAATAAAAAAAATAAAAAAAAAAAAATCTGGCGGAAAAAAGAAAGCGAGAAGAGAAGGATGAATATACAATGACAAATTGTAGAGTTGTAGAGTTGTAGAGTTGTAGAGTTGTAGTCTCTGGAGGACAAACTTTGTTGAAAGTTGTTTGTACTTAAAAAAATTTTGTGTGGTGTCAATATTGAAATATTGTAATGAGACTGAGCTTTGCGAGTAACCAAACACGACTTACAAAACTGGAACCTGGACAGGAACCTGGACTGTTTTACTAGAACCTGAACTGTATTACTAGAACCTGAACTGTTTTACTAGAACCTGGACTATATTTGACTGGACTGTTTTACTAGAACCTGGACTATATTTGACTGGACTGTTTTACTAGAACTTGGACTATATTTGACTGGACTGGTTTGCTTACAAAACATGTGGCTCTGCCATTCTTCCCTATCCCTATACATTCGGACTACTAATTTTAGACATTCTAATTCTAAATTCAGATATGAGGTAATACTTCTTCTCTTATCGTATTCCCTATTCATCAACACTATGAGATCTCCAAAGTAGTACTAATGATTTTTCTGTCGCTAGTCAGTGTTGGTGTAGTTAGTGTGCTCTATAGTATATATCACTTACTCTATCTACACTCTATAGACTAGTCTTCCTTTCGATTAGTCTAGTCTCTCTATCTACTCTTTCTATCGACTAGATTCGCTTTGCTCATTTAGTCTCTTTTTTAAACAATATTTTAGTTCCTTTTCAACAATATGGGATAAAGCCTTTTTTTCCCCCTATATACCCCTAAGTTCATTACAAAGCAATGCAGTGGAAAACCAAACCACGTGTTGATATATGGACATCTAAAGCAAATTTTCAATTCACACACGGGTTTGATCTACTCCAAACTGAGATCAGTGTACTTCATATGGACAACTCTAGTGTTGATTTTCTCATCTACCGGCTTTATCAGAGAACAGAATTAAAAAAAAAAAAAAGTAAAAATCAAAAAGAAAAAAGCCAATTACTTTACTAAACCTGTAGAACACTATTAATGTTGCATTCCTATCTATTGTTCTCAAACAATAGATATCATCTTACATTTTGGTTAAACGATTAGTTTAATTAGATTGACTAATTTGTTTAATTTTACAATAATGAATGAATTTGCGCACGTGTGCTTGTTTTGAAATAGGTCGGCTTCAACGATGAATAAGATGGTTATCCTCGTATTATCGGGCCTGTAAAGCAATTATGGTTTTTTGCGCCTACCAAAATTATGGTGATGATGTTTTCCTTGTTACAAAAAAGAAGAAAAAAAAAAGTTTCTTTTCAAATTATAACACCTAGTTTTCTTTCTGCATGAACTTATTGTTCAATGAAGGGGGAATATCTCTCTTTTGGAATATAAATAGATATTGATAGAGCCATCATTTATCTCTGAAAAAGCCTATTTGTTGTCTTTGTTCTTTTTTGTTCTTTCTTCTAATAATACAAATCACTTAGGTGGGATCTTTCACTAAGGGGGTATTACTTTGTTAAGGGGATTTTTTTTTATTTACCTTTATGTCAAAATAGCTGCAAAAAAAAAAAAAAAAACCGTTAATGCTACCAATTTGTCAACTCTCCTTCCTTTGGGTGGTGTCTAGTGTTGTTGTTGTTGTTGTTGCTTATACTGTTCCAGGGTATGATTCGTTAAGGATTCAATCTTCAATTGCCAAAAGAGGTAATCTTATTGACCCTGTTTATGAAGATTTATCTGCCCCTGAAATCGATTTCATCAATTCCCATTTGTCTAATCTAACAAACTCGACTGGTTCGAAATGCGACAAATGCAAAAAAAGAATCAAATATGGAAAGTCCTTGATTGAGGAGTTTCCAGATAAGACTCATTTGGTTAGTTTGTTGCTCTTCAAATATTGTTTAATCATTAATAACAATACAGAGAGCAAATGTGACAATAACGATTTTTTCGTTTCTACAGATTCGAAAAACTTTGAAGAGTTTGACCAAGACTACGACTCGGGTGTTGCTTCTGGCGTCCTGGTCAACTTTTATGACAACGACTTTATTCAATTATTGAAGAATTTTAACGTATCTAGTGATTTGGATTTAGAGTACTACTGCTACTTCAAAGGTAAAGGTGATTGCGCCTTACCTGAAACAAAAGATGTTGATGAATTTTATGGTGTTCAAAACTGGTGGCCAGCCAAAGAGCCAAAACACTATTTCCAGCCAAACTATACAAACAACACGGAAAAATTTAATGTTTTGCATGTGACAGATTTTCATATCCAATTGAGATATACTTTGGGTGCTGAAGCTAATTGTACATCGACCCCTTGTGCCTTGCCTGAATCCTACAATAAGGTATTGCCAGATGCCAACTACAACTTTACAGATTACTATAAAACTTTCCACCCCAATGAATCCATTGCTGGGTTATCATTTTACCCCGATGCCCATTATAATGAAAACAATACATATATAAAAGGTGAGTATTACGATTTTCCAAAGTATAGAGGTTGGAACTGGAAAAATGTCCCTGCAACTAGCTTTGGAGCATACCTTGCCGACTCACCTGAAGTTTTAATGAACAACTCCTTATTAGAAATTGCTCGGGCTAATGAGGAAAAACATTTCGAGTTTATGGTGTTTACTGGTGATTTGGTTGACCATGATGTGATTCATTGTTCACCTGCTGTGACGAAAGAAGCCGAGATTAGATCATTTAACTTGATGAAACATTATTTGAACAATATACCAGTTTTGCCTTCGTTGGGTAATCACGATACTTTCCCGTATGGCCAAATATCGCCCTTAAAATACGATTTCAACAACTCATACCACTGGAACGAGGAGTTGATGGCCGATTTATGGATAAACAATGGATGGTTTAACGAAAGTGATAGAAATGAGCTCAAAAGTCACTATGCTGGATTTTCATATGTGACTAACCGTGGATTAAAAGTTATTGGCTTAAACTCAAACTGTTATTATCAAAAGAATTTGTGGTCATACATTGATATTTCAACAAATCCCGATTTATTTGGTCAATGGGAGTTTTTAATTGAGGAATTATTAGAAAGTGAAGCAAAAGGTCAGAGAGTTTGGATAATGGCACACATTCCTGTTACGGATGCGGATACATTACCTTTACAATCACGTATATTTGGTAAAATAGTGGAGAGGTTTTCACCTTATACCATTGCAAACATTTTCTACGGACACACACATCAAGATCAATTTCATATTTTATACTCCTCCAATACGAGTCAAACAGCTGAAGATATCATCAATATGTCCTGGGTTGCGCAATCAGTTACCCCCTTAACAAACTACAATCCATCGTGGAGATATTACGAGGTTGAAAATGAGAGTTTCAATATCATTAATGCCTACAACTACTACACGCATTTAAACGAGACATTTGTTAATAACGGAGAGGAGCCAAATTGGCATTTGGAGTATTCTGTTCGAGATCTATATGATCCTGAACACAAGTGGCCTGAGTATGCACCATTGAATGGTACTTTTTGGCATGAGAATGTTCTTTTGCAATTGAAAAACGAGTCAAATATAGAGTTTAATCAGTTGTTTGCCGATATGCAATATAGATATGGACCTGGAGTACCAAAATGTGCAAATGGTACAAAAATTTCCGACAAGTGTTTTAATGGTAATTACTGTGTTATGGGGAATTTTTACAGTGACGATTATCTAAAGTGTTTGAGAAAGTAATGAGGAATAGCAAAAAGGGATGGAGTGAAGCGAGAAATGTAAGTGGAAATGTAAGCGGAAATGTAAGCGGAAACGTCTAACTGGAAACGGTAAGCAGAAATTGTAAGCAGAAATGGTAAGCAGAAATTGTAAGCAGAAATGGTAAGCAGAAATTGTAAGCAGAAATGGTAAGCAGAAATTGTAAGCAGAAATGGTAAGCAGAAATTGTAAGCAGAAATGAGTTTTCTGATATATGGATCAGGGGTTAGAGGTTATATAGTAGATAATGAATACATTTTGTTGCCAATATGATAGAATATTATGTAAGATATTGTTTTATACAATTGGCTATCAAGCAAAGCGAGATAATCTATATCGACACTATCGAGCAAAGCGAGATAGTGGAGCACATTAACAACTCTCTCCTCAGTCTATCGACACTATCGAGCAAAGCGAGATAGTGGAGCACACTAGCAACTCTCTTTTCAGACTATCGACACTATCGAGCAAAGCGAGATAGTGGAGCACACTAGCAACTCTCTCCTCAGACTATCGACACTATCGAGCAGAGCGAGATAGTGGAGCACTAGCAACTCTCTCCTCAGACTATCGACACTATCGAGCAAAGCGAGATAGTGGAGCACACTAGCAACTCTCTTTTCAGACTATCGACACTATCGAGCAAAGCGAGATAGTGGAGCACTAGCAACTCTCTCCTCAGACTATCTCGCTTTGCTCGATAGTCTATATCTACACTCTCATCAGACTATCTCACTTTGCTCGATGGTCTATATCTATTCTCTATAGACTTTATCAACCTGTTATACAATCTCTATCAACCTGTTTTAACGAAACTATGCTAGTGTAGTAGCATCTCTAACATCCTAAACTTTTTTACAAGGTAGAAAAAATACTAATCTAACTTGGACACACTTGACTACATAAATTTACATACCCATATTGAATAACAAAGCAGTTCAAATGGATAAGTGATATCAAAAAGACTAAATATCCAATAAATATATAATCTATGGAAATTATAGACATTAGCTTATCAATGCAAAGATGCTTCTCTAGCAACACTATTGAGCAGAGCGAGATTGGAGCACACCGACAAACTGCCCTCGAGAACGAAATAGTGGAGCACACCGACAAACTGCCCTCGAGAACGAAATAGTGGAGCACACTGACAAACTGCCCACGAGAACGAAATAGTGGAGCACACTGCGTTGTCGCTAGTTAAGCCTTCCCTTTTCATCACGTGACCTTCCTCCTCTTTATCACAAAACATAAACAGCTACTCCTCTACCATTAACTACTCCTTTACTGTCAGCTACTCCTTTACCATTAGCTAGTGAGCAGCACTTTGTAGCTTGTTACAAAACTATCTCGCTTCCCTCGATAGTGTTGCTCTATAGTGAGCAGCACTTTGTAGCTTGATACAACACTATCTCGCTCTGCTCGATAGTGTTACTCGATAGTGTTGCTCGATAGTGTTGCTCTATAGTGAGCTGCACTTTGTAGCTTGTTACAACACTATCTCGCTCTGCTCGATAGTGTTGCTCAATAGTGTTCCTTTACCATTAGCTAGTTCTTCACCTTTGCATTCCTCACTTTATTTTTTCACGTGACCTTCCTCCTCTTTATCACAAAACATAAACACTAACAAAAAATTGAGAAGGAATTTTTTTTTTTAAGTTACAACAAAATATTCGTGTTTTTGAAATCTTTCTTTTATATATATCCTGGGTTTGAGAACAGTATTAATCGAATCGAATTCAATCTTCCTAGGAGATTATCTCACAATCTATATAATTCATTCACATCTTACTCATTTATCAATAGGGAGTTATGAGAGAGATTGTATGTAAAAATCATGACAAATGTTTGACGACTCGTCTATTATCCAGATCAAAAAAAAAAAAAACAATTAATGAGATATAGATATACAGGGGCATATACACACACCTTGGTCCAAATCAAATCCAAAATCCCCCCTCCCCCCCATCCCCGGTCCATTATTCCTTTCGCCAAATAGTTACTAAACTGGCAACTTGACAACTTAAACTGACAACTTGACAACCTGACACCTAACAAATTTTTTTTGACGCCTTTTAATTGTTTTGGACACACGAGTTTTGATTGTTTTTTTTTTGTTTTTTTTGATGCTCTTTACATTTTCATTATTAGTACTAACATAAATTCTTTTAGATTCATTTATCAACTGGTCAATGTGGTAACCAAATCGTACGTTATTGCTTTTTTTAGTGTGACACTAAGCAACACCATCACTATTGGGCAACACTATCGAGCAACACTATCGAGCAACACTATCGAGCAACACTATCGAGTAACACTATCGAGCAGAGCGAGATAGTGTTGTATCAAGCTACAAAGTGCTGCTCACTATAGAGCAACGCTATCGATCGAAGCGAGATAGTTTTGTAACAAGCTACAAAGTGCTGCTCACTATCAAGCAGAGCTAGTCAGAGATGTAACAAGCTACAAATTGCTACTAGTCAGTGTTGTATCAAGCTACAAATTGCTACTAGTCAGTGTTGTATCAAGCTACAATGTGCTACTAGTCAGTGTTGTATCAAGCTACAATGTGCTACTAGTCAGTGTTGTATCAAGCTACAATGTGCTGCTCACTAGCTCGCTTTGCTCGCTAGTGTTGTATCAAGCTACAATTTGTTGCTCACTAGCTCGCTTCGCTCGCTAGTGTTGTATCAAGCTACAATTTGTTGCTCACTAGCTCGCTTCGCTCGCTAGTGTAGCTAGTGTCGCTAGTGTCGCTATTTAAAAACAACTTTCAACTAACATGGCCATTTTTTTTTCTAGGGAGCAGCATTTTGGGAAACTATTTGTACCGAGCATGGTTTAGATAACAATGGAAACTATGTTGGCGATAATATTTTGCAAAAGTCAAAATTGGACGTGTATTTCAACGAGGCAAGTTCGGGAAAATATGTCCCACGAGCAGTTTTGATTGATTTAGAACCTGGCACTATTGATAATGTCAAGACATCAAACATTGGTAATTTATTTAGACCTGATAACTATATTTTTGGTCAAAGTTCTGCTGGCAATGTTTGGGCCAAGGGCCACTATACTGAAGGTGCAGAATTAGTTGATTCAGTATTGGAAGTCGTTAGAAGAGAAGCTGAAGGGTGCGATTCCTTACAAGGTTTCCAAATCACTCACTCCTTGGGTGGTGGTACTGGTTCTGGTATGGGAACTTTATTGATTTCCAAAATAAGAGAGGAGTTCCCCGATAGAATGATGGCTACTTTTTCTGTTGTTCCATCGCCAAAGGTTTCCGATACCGTTATTGAACCATATAATGCAACCTTATCGGTTCACCAATTGGTGGAAAACTCAGATGAAACATTTTGCATCGATAATGAAGCTTTATACAACATTTGTCAAAAGACATTGAAATTGCCACAGCCATCATATGTCGAGTTGAACAACTTGGTATCTTCAGTCATGTCTGGTGTTACTACCTCGTTACGTTATCCAGGTCAATTGAACTCTGATTTAAGAAAGTTGGCAGTTAATTTAGTTCCTTTCCCAAGATTACATTTTTTCATGGTTGGTTATGCGCCTTTAACTTCAATTGGCTCTAAATCCTTTAGGTCTGTTACTGTTCCTGAGTTGACCCAGCAAATGTTTGACTCTAAGAATATGATGGCGGCGTCGGATCCTAGAAATGGCCGTTATTTAACAGTTGCTGCGTTCTTTAGAGGTAAAGTATCGGTTAAGGAAGTCGATGATGAAATGCACAAGATACAAACTAGAAACGCAGCTTATTTCGTTGAGTGGATTCCAAATAATGTTCAAACCGCGGTATGTTCTGTTCCTCCTAAAGATTTGGACATGTCTGCTACATTTATTGGTAATTCTACTTCAATTCAGGAATTGTTCAAGAGAGTTGGTGACCAATTTAGTGCAATGTTTAGAAGAAAAGCGTTCTTGCATTGGTATACTTCAGAAGGTATGGATGAAATGGAGTTTACTGAAGCCGAATCAAATATGAATGATTTGGTAAGTGAGTACCAACAATACCAAGAGGCAAGCATTGACGAAGAAGACTTGGACTACCCTGATGAAGCTCCAATGGAAGAAGCTGTTATGGAATAGTGTATGTCAAAACCTACCCTACATCAAGAATTTTTTGCTCCAAAAGAAGGTAAAGTTAATAAAGAAAAAGAAGAATTAAAAAAAAAAAAAAAAGTCGAGTTTTCTGTTGAATGTTTTCATTTCTTAGTTTAGGTTTCCCTTTGTTTTATACCCTATACACTAGCTAGTGATTTAGTATCCTGTCTCTATCATCTTGTAGCGTGTTTGCCCTATATTAATGTTTTATTGAAATCAGCTTGAAAAGTCGTCTTTAATTAGAATTTGAGAAAAAAAAAAAGAAAAACAGCTTGGAAAAGCTAGTTAGCTCGTCACCAGCACGATCTGTCTTTGTTTAATTCCCCCTCAAAAAATTCTTTACAAAATCGTGTTTATCTACTGTGTTATATGCGTTTTGATCGTTGAAATACCTCATTACATGGCATTGTTGTTTCCAGAAATTTACCAACTCTTGAAACTCCATTTGTCCCTTCATGTATAGGATATTGTTCACTTCTAAATCATTCATAAACCTTTGCCTTTCAAACTCTTGTCTTATCTTTGTCTTAATACTGGAAACAGGCATATCCAACTCATACAAATCAGCAAACTCTTTAGAGTTTCTTATAAATCTGCGATACAATTGTAAAACTCGGAGTCTCAATTCAGGTGCCGTTGCAGAACGGCGCGTAGTTTCGGCAAACTTTGTAGCTAATGTCATTATCCAAAAGTAGGTGGGGGGTAGGCGGGACGCAGTGTAAGCTAATATATAGACGTTCTAGCCGGTGATATCAGCTCTAACTGGTGAAGTTATTCCGTGATATCTCCTAGTGCCAGTTTTTTTTTTTTCGGCACTTTATGACAAAAGGTGCAAATTGGTTGGTTCATGGTTGTATACAGGTCTTTGGCTGCGAAAAAGGAATACAATACAAAAATAAGAAGGAGGATATGGTAAGATATGGTAAGGATTGATTTACTATATTTCATACAATTTCGGCTCTTACTTGTTTTAGGAACTCGCCAGATGGTTCTAAGACCTTTATAAACCTAGAAAGTTCAAAGCACCAATCCCATTTGCCTGCCTTTTCAAGCATTTTCACTATTTTAAGAATAATACGTTTATCAAACTGGTTTAATTGTGCACTTGTTGTTGTGGTGGTGGTGGTCTCTTCCACCAGCTCTCCGTCCGGATCTCCATCCGGATCTCCGTCTGGATCCCCGTCTGGATCCCCGTCTCTCTTGTAGTTTAAGTAAACTATCAAGTAGTTGTAGCATAAAGCAACATCATCAAGTTTAATCAATCGGTTCATAAACTTCTCGGGAGTGGTGTTTATCACGGTAAAAAATTTCTCCCAATATCCAGCTTCAATCTTGCGCAAACAATTGATGTATATGGATTCTGCATTATCGGTGAATTCAATTAATTGACATAATCTTTTCAAGGCTAAAGATGGCTCTTCGTCAGTTAAATGTTTAAATAAAAGTAGTTCCATACAGAATTGGAAGTTTTTAAATAACTTATATTTGTTATAGGTGCTCTGCAAATCCCCCTTGTGCAACAAATCAAACTCAATGAAATTGTTAAGAATGAGCTTATGCACCACTTGCTGTTTCACTATGAAACTCCCATTGGGATTGTGAGTGTTGATTGTCGTGTTTTCCAATCCTATTAAATTTATTGATTTTGTTAGAGACGCTTCAATTGACACTGGTTGTATATTTTCGCTTTCAATAACAATTGGGGTCAACGTAGTTTCTTCTTCTATTAGCTCCTCCAGCTTGAAGTGGTGGTGCTTATTAGATGCCTTGTCAACCATTTCCTCGAGTTCGTAAATTAAAACATGCTGTCCATTAAACATGTACACAAATTTCGTTGCTTCTTGGAAAACAATAGTTGCAAACTTGAAAAACTCAATTGTTGAACTAATCCTTATCAAATCGTACATATTATTAGCCGATTTTGTTCCATTGCTAGATTTCTCACTAAGTGATGACGTTGATGTTGATCGACTCAGGTTTTTGAGCAAATACAAATCCCCCGACCGTAAAAGAAATATAAAATGTCTCTTTTGTATCATGCTGCTTTGCACTACATTGTTTAAATCTAGTTTGTGTCGAAGCGATGCAAGATGGATCGTTCTACTAACGGTGATGAATATCTTGTAATGCTTTGTTTCAGAATTCAATTCCACCGTTTTGTTCGTCAGTAATTCCAAAACTATTATCTTATGGTCGCTAGTTAAAATAACAACTTGTGAAGAAGTGTCATCTTCTTCAACTAGCTGAATATCGATAAAAGTGCTTTTAAAATCGTACTTCCATAATAGTAATTCGCTGCTAAACACCAAATCTTCCCCACCCATCCCATTCTTGGTACGAGATGTATCCAAGACTATCAACTCATCAATTAAATGTTTCTCTCCCTCTCCAGCTACATTGTCTTTGTTATTGTCATCATAATGATGATGATGATGATGATTATCAATATCATCGTCATCATCGTCATCATAATTATCATCACCCAAAGTATGTTTGTCTTTTCGATTAACTATGATTAAATAATCTTGAAACCAAAAATGATTTACAATATTCATCAGCTCAACAAAATGAGTTTTAAAGTTGAACCAGAGTATATGATTAATCAATCCGCCAGTCTCAAACGGAGTAGATACCGCTAAAGAGTCCCCGTAAGATGTAGCCAATTGGCTTATTTTGCTTTTGGAAAGTGTCAATTGTGCATTGTTTGTAGTTAGGGGACTATTGGAGATGTAGTTGTCGCGTTGCCGTATAAGTTTCTTGAGTCTTGTAGGAATAGGGAACCTGATAAAGTTCCGATAATCTTGAATTAGTGTCAAATATGCTTGATCATAGATAATTCCATTGTTGATATTGGAGAGAGCAACAAAGTATAGTTTCCTACCATCCTGGGAAACCACATAGAGCATGTTCAGGTCCTCTGAGATGTGAATCAAACTTGCTTTCAAAAACTTTTTATTTTCATTATCATCATCATTTAAGGAGTCTTCTAATTCATTTGACACTTCTCGCGTATCGAAAAGAGTGTTTCCAAATTTGCTAACAACCTTCCAATTACCCGTTTCTTCCAAGAATATAAAAAAATCGCCACATATTGACCACCTAATAACTACATTTGTATTTGTATTTGTATTTGTAGTTGTAGTTGAGATCGATATTGTTTTCAAAAGGCTCATGGTCATTGTTTCCAAAGCTAACAATCTAAGCGTGTTTCCACATTTTGCAAGACAAAAGTTAGCCCTTGGATTGAATTTTATCCATTCAAACAGATACTCACGTGCTATCAAATATCCCCTAATTTGATCACCATCAACAATCTTCAAAAGCCATATTTCCTGCTCCTCATTTTCGATGATGAAGTAATTGAAATACTCATTATATGCAATGTATCTGACACGATACTTGAACCAGTCAAACTTTGTCAAGTCAATCAACTTGCTTTCAAAATTGGAAAGATCCACCACTTGCAAATAGTCTGTTTTAATTTCTTCGTTTGAATCATTGGCAAAGTTGAAAACGAATAGATTATGAGAGTCTGGTTGTAGCCAGACTTCTTTTCGAGTCGCAACTCCAATTTTCAATATCTTGTAAACTGACAATTTTACAGCTTCAACTTCATAACTTTCTACTTCGTCACTAATCGCATTGTTTTGAAAGCTCTCCACGTTTTCCAAATTTGGCACTGTTTCTTCATTGCCGTGGATAATTGCCTTTGTTGCAGACCGAATAAAGTTTGTAATTGAAATCTTCAGTGCAGCTTCACTCAATGGGAAACCCAGCTGTATCAATTCCTCATTACTATTATACACCGTAAACACCGAACTTGAATAATCAATTTTAATTTGATATATTAGGAGGAAGCTCAAGTCTGTTAGCACATACAAGTTCAATACAGTTTGTCTCTTTAATGAACTCTCATTGATGAGTTTCTTTATTGCTTTTATATTAACACCGTTGTTTTCAATCGATGCTTGATTTCGGACATGGTACGTTAATGGTAATAGATTATACAGGTTATAAATGTATACTCCTTTCTTTGTTACTAATGCAAATATCAGACGAAATTGAACAATATCTAAAACCACGTCGTCACCATCCAAGTCAATATCAATGGAGAACTTGGGACACCCGTTTATCATTGGTCTATTACTACTACTACTACTACTTACCTTTATTCATTTATCTTAATTTTCTTTTTTCAGTTTTTTTTTTTTCAAGAAAGTTTAACTTCGCGAAAGATTTGAAGAGTAACTTTACCAAAGCACCGGGTGAGAGGGATTTATAGGTTTTTCTTATGTTACTATATAAGAAGTCACTTTTTGGCATATAATGTTGTGTATCGGGGTATTTTATTATTGTGCATTGGGATATTTAATTATTGTGCATTGGGGTATTTGTTGTTTTGGTAGATTTTGCAATCGTTTTGGCTTAAAGGATAAAATTTCGCAGCCATTTCAAATAAAAAAAATGAAAGTCGGACATCAATATCGAGCAGCTACAACACTATCGAGCAGAGCGAAATAGTGGTGCAGCATATAGCAGCTTGCTACAACACTTAGTAGCTTGTTACAACACTATCGAGCAGAGCGAGATAGTGGTGCAGTACTTAGCAGCTACAACACTTAGTAGCTTGTTACAACACTATCTCGCTCTGCTCGATAGTAGTGCAGCATATAGCAGCTTGTTACAACACTATCTCGCTCTGCTCGATAGTAGTGCAGCATATAGCAGCTTGCTACAACACTATCTCGGTCTCCTCAATAGTGTTTCATATTGAATGATGAATCACTTGTTTGACCAAGAGCAAAAAAAATTCACCAATCGGGCGAATGGTCTAGTGGTATGATTCTTCGTTTGGGTTAAACTCACAAATATCCTGAGCATTAAATTTCGAAGAGGCCCTGGGTTCGATTCCCAGTTCGCCCCAATTTTTTTTGTAGAGGCAATGGGTTCGATTCCAGCTTACTCCAACTATCTTTTTTTTTCTGTGTTTGATTCCAACAATTTTTTTTTCTGGGTTCGATTCCAGCTTGCCCCAATATTTTTTGAAGAGGCATTGGCTCGCCCCCACTATAACTATTTCCTTTTTTTTTTCCCACTTTCGTAATCAATAGATATCCTGATTTTAACAGGTTTTTTTTTTTTTTTTTTTTTTTTTTTTTTTTTTTTTTTTTTTTTAATTTTTTTTTTTTTTTTTTTTTTGTATTGGGAAGAAACATTTTGGAGGAATAGTAGTTAGTTAGACATTGAGGCAAAAAGGGTGGTGTTGTTGTGGTATGATATTTCGGAAATGTCCGCGTCAAACGATAGTCTCCCATTTGGAGATGGAGCTTCTAAAATATTTGGAATGGAGAATTTTGGAAATACGTGCTATTGTAACTCAATTCTCCAGTGTCTATATTATACTGAATCTTTTCGAAAGAGTTTAGTTCAGCACAAGCAAACTAAACATGAACCCAAATTGGTTGTGAATGGTGTTAAATTCCATGGATTCACAGCAAAGTATGATCAGCTATTACAGAAAAAGTTGAAAGAACAAGGAAATGTACCAAGCATAAACTCAGAAGAGAGGCCAAAGCTGAGTCGAAAAAGTTCACTTTTTGGCTTAAAGTTTAACAATTCTACAAATGTTGCCTCTACGGTAGTCGAGGAAGAAACTAATAATAATAATAAGTTTATAGAAAAAGCTGGTGTTTGTGAGGCTTTGCCTTTGGAGCAAAGGATTCTTATCAGCAAAAATCCCGAGTTTTGGAAGTTGGATGTGTTGATTACAAGACCGACATTGAATCAAGCTCAAGCTGCAGCAGCAGCAAAGGCCGGTAATGTCTCAAACACAACTGAAGTTGGTAATGGTAACGGTGGTCTTGTCATCAATAGCAGTGGCAGTACCATGGACTATTCTCAAAGCTCATCGATGCTATTGAACGATCAACCACTACAAACGACTCAAGAGGGAACAGTTAATACTAAATCTAGCGCTATTATTGTGGGTATACCGAAGCCCGAGGCAAATCTTGTTAATCCAATCAATGCTTTCAGTGTCAACCCAAATGCAGATCAGCGGAAACGATCAGCATTGATCAATGGACCCATCATCAACCTCGACACATCTTTGCAATTGCCCAATGACCAAAGAGAAGAAACCGTACTATTATATGCTTTAAAAGATATGTTTGAAAGCATGATTGAGAACAAATCAACGATAGGCGTGGTTTCTCCAAATTACTTTATAACAAAGTTAAAGGAGAAAAATTACCTATTTAAACAAAACAACATGCATCATGATGCTCACGAATTTTTCAACTATTTAATCAATGAGATCATAGAAAGCATAAACAGGGAATTAGGACCATCTGCGAATTGGTGCAATAATATATTTCAAGGCTTGATTACTAATGAAACCAAATGTTTGTCTTGTGAGACTGTAACATCAAAACATGAACATTTTTTGGACTTATCTATTGATATTCCTTCTGGTGATAGTGCTTATTCCTTGAACTTTTCCTTGAACAATTTTTCCAAATCAGAAACATTAACAAATCAAAACAAATTCCATTGCAATACATGCTCATCACTACAAGAAGCTGTAAAAACTATAAAAATCAAGAAATTGCCCGAGGTTCTTGTCATTAATTTGAAGAGGTTCAAATATGACGAAAAAATCGGTAAAATGGTCAAGCTTTTTGACTCCATCAGCTATCCCTTTAAGTTAAGATTATTCAATACGACCGATGACTTTCATGATAATGTGTTATACGATCTTTATGCTTTAGTTATACACATTGGAGGAGGGCCAATGCATGGACATTATGTCTCAATCTGTAAGATCAAGGCTGGACTTTGGTTGCTTTTTGATGATGAAACAGTGGAGTTGGTTGAGGACAATTATGTGATGAGGTTTTTTGGGAATGGGCCAGGATTAGCTAGTGCATACATCTTATTTTACCAGAAATTGCAATTTGACGAAAGTGCCGAGTATCTTGGATTTGACCCAACGACAATGTACAACGGAGAAGAATTTGATGTTTCTATACGTAACGGTAACGGCACAGTGAGCACAACAGACCAAGAATCAAAAACCACCACCACTGGTTCTGCCAACGATGTTGACACAAGATCTGATTTGTCCTCGCTAAACTCATTCACGGGGCCAAACGAAACTAAAAAGCCAACTTCGTCTTCAAGTGATGTGTTTAAAAGCTTCAGATTTGAGAAAAACGATGACAAAGGTGCACAATCTTCTTTATCAAGACGCAGCAGCGGTAACGATATTGCAACTTTGAACCAGGAAAACGTTAAAGAGGTTAAAGAGAAAAAATCGTGGATTGGGAGCTTCAAACGTACAACTTTGGAAAAGAAGCAATCACTTGTCTCGGGGGCTTCAAAGTCAGAGTTGGACACTGGTAATAGTTCCGGAGTAGCACAAACAATTCCTCCTCCCCCTTTAGAAAAAAGAAGGAGCTTGTTTGGTTTTAAGAAGAAGAGTTAATATTATAGAGAGAAAAGTCCTTCTTCCTTTTTATGTTGTATAAAAATTTTTGATAGAATAAATTTTATTTGGTTTACAAACTCGAATACAATTCAGTATTTGTACTTGAGGAGCTTTAAGAGACAGTAAGAATTTATGGGGAACTGATCCATCCCCGACTATCTAGCAACTACTAGAGCCTTATAGATCTGTTGAGGAGCACTGTTCCTCGAAATGTATGTTGTAATCCTAATCATACTATACTACACTCTATAAAGCCGTACATTTGTTTTTCCACATCTTTTTTCACCAAATTCCAGTCACTTCTTCTTTGAACAAACTCGTATATTTCCTCCTGGTTGAATATGCCATTAAACTTGGAAAGGTCGCTCGCCAACTTGGCTATAGCCTTTGAGTCGGTGCCGCTGATGAGGAAGAGGTTGCCTATATTTTTCAAGGAGGAGAAGAGCGGCACTGTTTGTGAGCGGTTTGGTCTTTGCAGGAAGAAGTCGTAGTACAAGTTCAAGTCTGAGATGAGGCGGGGCGCTGCTTCGACAGAGACTTGAGTTGATTTTATCTGTTTGACGACTAGTTGGAAGAACCTCTCTGCGAGTTCTTGTTGAAAGATATTAACTATAGATTTGTCTGCATTGAGGGTATCCAAGTGTTGGGCTAGGAGGGCTGTAGCGGTTAAAGCTTGAGGGGAAGTGCCGAACCCAGGGGTGGAGTAGTCGATCTCCACGTCTAGTTTATTCACGAGGACCTCAATACTGAGATTGAGGCCATCTGCAATACTTTTATCCACCAATGCCTCTAACCGCTTGAGGTGGTGGTGGTTTGTAAAAGTGTGTAGCATTTGGATAATTGAGTCGGCAGTATTCACCAGCTGAAAGAAATCAAGGGAGTTATTGTTTGTAGCAGTTAGTGCCGGTTTGAGGTGGTTTATGATTGAGTCTATGAGGGAGGTGATAATATCCAGGGTGGCTTGGTCGAGGTCTTCTTGGAGGGAGAGGATCGAGTAGGAGGAGAATATAGATAATCGGGAGAGACAAGTAGTTGTGGAGGTGATCATTTCTTGGATCAGGGGAATATCAAACCCCTGTGTAGTGGTAAAGTGAGCTCTCATTTTGATTACTTGATCTCTAAGGTACTCTCTTGCAATTGATTCAAACATCATATCGATGAGCTCGGAGACAAGAGTGGGGTAGGACGGTCCGATATTCATAGAGGGGAGTAGTTTATTCGGTATCTTTGTTAGGTCTTTGTAGAGGTCTGGCACTGAGTGTGTGGTAGTATTGATCCATCTGAGGAGGTTATTTGAGATGAGTTCCTCGCTGACTTTGTGCATGATGGGGATGGGGAAGTATGTGTCTATGAAGGAGGATTGTGTATTGAGTAGGGAAATCAAAGAGTCAATACTCTCTATTTCCACATCGTAGATACATTTTTGTAGATAAAACTCTATCAATGTCTCAGTACTATCCATTGAGACCAACAATTGAGCCAACAGGTTTAGTTTTGAGTAATTTTTCAAATCATATTGAATTTCTATTTCACGGAGGAGCGTGTTTTCAAAGATTTCCATAAGATTGAGCAACTTATCATTGGAAAGGGATCTAGTGGTGTAGTTGATTTTACTGTATTTTTGGAGATTGCGGAGCATTTTCAATTGGTCTTGTGGGGTGTAGAAGTGGTTTAGAATGAGTAGGTTGTGGTAGTCTGAGCAGTTTACTAGGTCAGTATAGTACTTGTCGATTGATTTGTAGATCATAAGGACCTGTAGTCTAGGCTTTTTATTGGAGTAGTAGTCCAAGCAAGTGAGTGGGTTTTCAAGAAGATGGGCCATTGAGGGGAGGGAAGATTTTGGGATCTTTTTGGAAGTGGTGGTTAATTGGGAGAGAAGGGAGGTCCAAAGGGCCGGGTCTGAGACGATGGCATGAGCTGATTTGCAGACGAGGTTGAGGGAGAGTATGTCTGAGATGGGTAGGTATGGAAGGATGAGGGGTAGTACCTGGAGGAACAACATGACTAGAGAAATACGAGCATCAAATGCTTGCATTTGATGCGAGAATTAAGTAAACATTTGGTAAACATTTGGTAAATATTTGGTAAATATTTGAGTAATGTTTTCTTGATCTATGCTCAAATATTGAAACATACTAGGTAGAGGTAAAAACATACTAGGTATACCTTATAGATGTATATCTTGTAGGCACCGCTGGCCCCATCGGGTTCCTCCTTATTTTCCAGACGACTCGAATACTCTATAATTTACTATCATATAATCCTATACTAGTTGATCCCGTGCAGTACCCTAGGGTACTGCACTGGAAGCTTAGTTGATAAGTTATTAGTTGATAGGCTATTGTTTCACCGACAGTATGAAGCAATCTGGCGAGTGTTTGGGGGGTGTTTGGGGGGTCGAGATGTAGTTTATAGAGGAAGTAGCTAATCGACTCCAAGGGGACCCGTTTATGTATGATTTTGTATTGGCGATGCCCGAGTATGAGCAGAGGCCATTGCAACGATACGCCCTTGAAGCAGTCAAGAGGAGTTTCCCTAAAGGGGGGGGGAAGCATTAATGGTGAAGCGGGAGGTGGAGAGTATGGAGATGGAGGATGTGGAAAGTATGGAGATGGAGGATGTGGAAAGTATGGAGATGGAGGATGTGGAAAGTATGGAGATGGAGGATGTGGAAAGTATGGAGATGGAGGATGTGGAAAGTATGGAGATGGAGGATGTGGAAAGTATGGAGATGGAGGATGTGGAGAGTATGGACCTTGGAGAGTGGGACATGATAGTGATGAAGAGGATGATGAAGAGGGAGAGGACAGAGAAGAAGGTTTTGGGGGGTGTTGCGACGGTATAAGCATATTACTGAGAAAAGAGGTTATCTCTTGAGGATTTTTTCTTGCTTAGAAAACTTGTGTCACAGCTTATGTCGACTCATAGAGACACGCATTGCTAGGAAAAATGAGTTTTGGCTCAATACTCTTGAACCGAACCTTCTTCTAGGTGCACCTCACCTTCTAGGTGCACCTCACCTTCTATGTGCCTCACCTTCTATGTGACATCACCTTCTTCTAGGTGCACCTCACCTTCTATGTGCACCTCATCTCATGTGACTCGGAAAAAAGAAAAAGTGTGGAACATGGTAGCATTTTATATTTTGATTTTTTTTTTTCTTTCTTTTTATGGAAGGCCATTGCGACAAAGAAAGCTAACTTTAGAGATTGCACCTTCGACATAATTGATTCATTAGACAAACAGACAAGCAGAAAAACAGACAAACATACAAACATACACAGACAGATAGTATACACAGTATGCCGTCTACAGTATCGCCTAAGATTTTAACAACACCAACCTCAAAAATTATTACACTTGCAGCAGGGTGTTTTTGGGGTGTTGAGAAAGTATTCAGGAAACAGTTTACTGATAAGGGTCTTATTGATATTAGAGTTGGCTATGCTAATGGTATCCCCACAATGGGAAATGTCAATTATGAACAAGTATGCAGCGGATCAACGAATTTCGTAGAGAGTGTTCAATTGTCGTATGAACCACAGACTTTGAAAATTGAGAATATATACGATATCTTCTTTAGAATGCACGATCCAACTACAGTCAACTCACAAGGACCTGATGTTGGGACACAGTACCGTTCAGCAATATTGACATCAGACGAAGAGCAGAACAAGATTGCTTGGCAAGTAAAAGAACAATTCCAAAAGGAATGGTACCCTAATCATAAAATCGTCACCATTATTGAACCTATCAAAGTGTGGCATGATGCTGAGGACTACCATCAAAAATATTTGGAAAAGAATCCTAGTGGATATGAATGCTCTACACATTTTTTGAGAACCAAACCAAAAGTTTAGGAAAAATTAGTAATACCGATAGTCTTATGAATCATACAACAATTTGCTTGCCTCCATCCTTTTAATTCTTTATTCTCCATTCTACTAAGTTTTTGTAGATCATTCATCTTTTTATCATGGAACAACCATCAACCCCAATGTAACTTGATGAAAAAAGTTGACGCGTTGATTTTTTTTTTTTTTTTTTCATTCTTTCTATCTTTCCTTTTTTGTCAGTATTCTATATACTCTAGTCACCTCCGTCTTGCTATCAGGCCATGTCACTTTGGGTAGACAAATACCGTCCTAGGACTTTAGCACAATTGTCCTACCATGAAAACATAACCCAAAACTTGAAGGCGCTTTCAAAATCCGGGGATTTTCCTCATTTATTAGTTTATGGCCCAAGTGGATCAGGTAAAAAGACTAGAATATATTGTACCTTGCAAGAGATATTTGGTCCCTCTATTGAGAAATTGAAAATTGACGTTAAGAACTTTGTCACGCCTTCTAATCGTAAATTGGAGTTTAATGTTTTAAGTTCACCATATCACTTGGAGATTACACCATCAGATATGGGGAATAATGATCGTGTTGTGATTCAGGATTTATTGAAAGATGTTGCATCTACAGAGCAAGTTGATTTTGGCAACCAAAGTAGCAAAAAGCATAGATTCAAAGTAGTTATTATAAACGAAGCTGACTCTTTGAGTAGGGATGCTCAAGCGGCTTTAAGAAGAACAATGGAAAAATACTCATCCAATATTAGGTTGATTTTAGTTTGTAATTCAGTGTCCAACATTATCGCACCGATTAAGTCGAGGACGTTACTAGTTAGAATACCTAGTCCATCAATTGAGGATATCAGCAATATATTACGCCAAGTTTCAAAGAACGAACGTGTAAAATTTTCATCTAATGACGAGCATGCCGTATCAGCTTTCTATGAGCAAGTGGCGGTAACGAGTAAGAGAAATTTGAGACGATCTTTGTTGGCATTTGAAACGATATATATGCAGAACGAAACCATCGACGTTAAGCAGATGCATTCAACAATTGTGCTTGACTGGGAAATAATAATCAAAAACATGGCAAGGACTATATCGGCAGCGAGAAACGTAGCTACTTTGGCCAAGTTGAGAACAACTACTTATGAGCTATTATCGCATTGTATTTCAGCAAGAATCATTTTGAAAAATCTAATGTTTGAATTGGTTTCCTTAGCTAAAGGGAAAACCGAATTGATACAGGAGATAGTTCAAATAGGTTCAACGTTTGATGAGAGATTAAGTCTCGGACTGAAAAGTATCTTCCATATAGAAGGGTTCATTGCCAAAACTATGGTTGCCATTGATACCTATAACGTGTAGAATATATCTATATATATACATATATATGAGAGCAGAACGGAAGAGTAAATTGTTTTAATGTTGATTTTCTAATGTTGAGTTTTATTATCACTTACCTTGTTATCTTGGTTACTGTGAACAACATCGTGATACGATGGTAAACCACCTGCGCCAAGTAAAGGTGCTTTAGAGCTTGTGGATGTTTGTGGCGCTGATGATACTTCATCACGGTATGGCTGTTGCTGTTGCTGTTTCTGTTGCTGTTGCTGTTGCTGGTGTTGCTTCAGGGGCTGTTGTTGAAGGCTACCTTTCACACGTTTTCCCGTGTGCAACCTTTGTTCTTGTACACCAACAGAAGGGTGGTTATCCCCTTCATTATCTGTTGGAGTTTCTTCTGCATCTGGTAGTCTTGTATAGCTAGGAAAATCAATGCATACCAAGTAATAAACTGAAAATATCAGACCTGGTACATGTCCAAATAGGGTTAGCACCAAGGAAATTAAAAACTCCTTATTAGTGACGGAATACTTTTTAGCAAGGAAAATTGCCAATGGTGGTAATACAAGGGCGGTAATTATCAAAATAAATTGTTCTTGAGGAGATGGAGGTGCCATTTTTTGGTTCAAAGTTTATTTGGGTGTAGAAAGAGATGAATATAAATCGGTCCCTTTCCCTTTGAAAGTTTTAAATACTTTTACTAATAAAGTTCAAAAGTTACAAAAGTTTCAAAAGTTTCAAAAGTCACAAAAGTTACAGGTTTCAATATATAACAAGAAGGCTTTGATACAATAGGAGGGGAGTGGGGGTGGGCGAGGCAAAGACAGAAAGTAGTGTACCAAATAGAAAAGGTGATGCTTATTTTTAAGTAAACCTGGAATCACGCATATGGTACATACATTGTATGCATGATATAAAGACTCACGATTTCATTTGAATAAAGAGGGAGATGGAAAAAAAGCGTGACTGGGAATAGGCAAGAAGAGAAGGTGTAGCGAGAAGAGAAGGTGTAGCGAGAAGAGAAGGTATGGGCGAGAAGAGAAGGCGAGAATATAAAGAGTAAAAAATGCGAGTACATTGTACCTGAGGTAATTAAGAAAAGCTATTGTAGGAAAGCTACTGTAGAAAAGCTATTATAAAAAAGCTATTATAAATTAACTATTGTAGGAAAACTTTTGTAGGGAAACTTTTGTAGGAAAACTTTTGTAGTGAAGTTATTTACAAAGCTCTTAAAGCCACATACTACTATTATGAAAAATGTTGTAGTAAAAGACTGTTGGAGAAACGCAATTATCGTAAAGTTACTATAGCATGTTTATATAGAAAAGCAATTATCATAAAGCAGTTTTAGAAAAGCAATTATGATAAAGCTATTGAAAAGCTGTGAGATAGCTATTATAGTAAAGCTGTTAGGGAGCTAGGGTGCTATTATAGTAAAGCTATTAGATAGCTATTATAGAAAGCTGTTAGAAAATGTATGTAATAAATATAGTAATTGATTTTTCCATAATGACGCCTCACTTGATTCCATTTCCGGATTTATCGCAAGAAGACAATTTTTTTTCTTATAATCTTTTAATTATCAACGATTTTTAACAAGGTTCTTTTACATTTTAGGTGAGATTGACGATTTTCCCCAGGATGGAGTACATAAAGAAGCAAATATGGGGCCCTGACCCTAGAGAGCAAGTACGTAAGGGCAATTACTACTAAAACTCATCTCTTGTAAAGAGGGGGGGGGGGTGACTCTCCCCAACTAACTTTTTTTTTTCTCTTTTTACTTGTCTAGATGAGGAAGATAAACCAATTACTTCGCAAGAATAAACGAGAATTGGATAGGTCCATGAATCAACTACAACCACTCAAGAAGAAAACAGAAGGGCTCATTAAAAAAGCGGCAAAAGAGAAAGACTACAAAACTGCTAAACTTTATGCAAAAGAATACATCAATATCAATAAACAATTCAATAAACTTTATACATCGCGAACTAGACTAGATTCAATAACAATGACAATTAATGAGCAATGGCAAATGAACAAACTCACAAAATCGATACACGCATCAACATCAGTAATGAAAGATGTGAATCAGTTGATCTACATTGGTGCAGTTTCGCAAACCATGCAGGAATTGACTAAGGAATTGATGAAGGCTGGTATAATCAATGAAATGGTGGATGATATGGTTGATTTGGGTGAAGAAGACGAGGAGTTGGAAAGTGAGTCACAGGAAGAGGTAGACAAGATAATAACAAGTCTAACAGAAGATAAATTGAACAAAATTGAGAGCAAAGTACCAAAAGAAGGCTTTGAGGTTGAAAATTCTTCCCGGAAGGAAGCATCGATTAGCGAAGAAGAAGAAGAAGAAGAAGAAGAAGACATTGCAATTGACGAAATGAGGCAGAGGTTGAAAGCTTTACAATGAGAAAATTCCACACACACACACACACAGATGAATTTCTTTTTTATTAATTTGAAATTTTCTTTATATCCACTCAAACATATAGAGCAAAATAATTAAAGTAATCCAGATGTGATATTGTTGCTTTTGGGCAGCAGATGGGATTGGCAGCTCATTGTTTTTTTGAATTCCGTAGTGACTAATAACATCATAAAAGTTGGAAAAGTCGTTTGAGTCCTTTAACAATACATCATCGTCATTATCATCAATATTAACTGTGGCCAACCGATTTTTTGATTCCATAGAGGAATTTTGATTAAAAGTTTCTTCATTGGGAAATTGTGTGACTTTTTCAGAAAATAAATTGTGAGTATTAGGAGACGCTTTTTGAATTAGAACCGTTGTAGGGATTTCAAATTTCCCATTTGTGCTATTCTTGCTATGACTATTTGCAACACCCAAATTATCACCAGATTTACTTTGGTCAGAAAGAACTTTGAACTTCTTTTTGTTTTTCTTCTTGGCCTTTTTGATTAGTTTTTTATTTACCTTCTTGTCCAAGTACACTCCAGCACTAACCTGCCATTTGGGTACCAATTTTTTCTTTTTTTTTTTTAAAAGCAACTCAAACTCATTTTGAACTTGTGAGACGTTTTGGGGATTCTTCAAGTCTTGCAAATTGGCGGTATTGTTAGTTGGCTCTTGATAAATCGATAGTACTTCCGATTGAGAAGCTTCAAAGCCACCTCTATTTAAGATAAGCTTTGACGAATCATCACCGCCACTTTCACATGCTACCTTTACTACTAAAGGTAACCATACAAGTGCAAGCGTCTTTAGTACTTGCATTGAGGCCTTTCTACAAGAACTCTTTTGTAGAAAAAGAAAAACATAGCAAATTCGTTTGAACAAAGTTGTCAAGCATATATAAAAATATCTTTTTTGATAAGAGGTAAGAAAAAAATTTCGCAGCCAATTCCAAATAAATAAAAAAAAAAAAAAAAGGAAAAAATACAAAACAAAATTGGAATTGAAGAGGAAGAAATGTTTTACCAAATCTTGTACGCAATAAACAATCTCAATATTTGACTATAAAGATTCATATACCAAGACTGTAAAGAAAGAGACCAATCCAATGGAAATGCTGATATGGTACGCATTTAAACGTGTAGTGCCCGATACATATTCTCTATCTTTTATATTTGAGTTGACAATAGTAGGGGGCGATTTAGCCTTAGCACTAGCCACAAATGATTTGTTTTGGGCCAAGCGTTTTTCTTCTGCTGCTTCTATCTTTTCCTCCTCCTCCTCCTCCTCCCCCTCTCTCATATCCGGTTGATTGACACTGAATGGGAAGAATTTTGATTTCTTTTCACTCTCTTCATCGTCGGAACTCCAATCTGATTCAGTGCAAGATCCTAAAACAAAGGACTCAACTTCTTTAGTTCCTTTGTCCACTTCTTTGTTCAAATACACACCAGCACCTACGTGCCATTTAGGCCCGCTCATCTTTTTTCCTTGAGCTGTAAAAGTTGGCGAATCGGCATCAACTGTTAAATCATTATTTTGATACTTAAAACTGTCTTTTTCCTTCTGTTCTTCTTCTTCTTCTTTTTCTTCTCTTTGTTGTGCATTAATAATTTCGTTGCTATCTTGTTTTGTTAATTCTGCTTTAGCACTATTTTGATCTTGATCTTGATAATTGTAATTGACAATCTGAGAAGAAAAGATTGCTTCTGAATCGCTTGACTTTTCTTCTTCTTCAAATAATCCCTGAACAGCCAGTGAAGCGATTATTAGTAACAAAAAATGTACTTGCAACATTGTTGTTGAGGCTTGATTCAATACAATACCAGTTTAGTGAAAAAGTAAAACGAAGCCTGATATTGGTTATTGGTGATAAAAGATTAATTAAAGAAAAAAAAAAAGCCACTTAATTTACGTTATGCAGTTTTCTCTTTTCACTAATCTTAATTATAGAGTTGAAACATTAAAAGAGCTATTGCAATATCAAAAAAGGGATCCTCCAATTGGCAAATGTTTCTTTTATTTAATTATTTTTTTTTTTAAATGCTTTATATGCAATATATTCCGAATATACAGTTTGATGCCTTTGTACCAGAGGAAGAGACATCTTCGCTGTAAACAAATGTTTTGAATGCAGACTTTGAAGATGATATTGTTCCGTTAGATGTCTTGCCATTCCCACAGTCTGGATGTGTGCAATCAACAGGAATCTTTTCTTCTAAACAGGATTCTAATGTAGTATTCTTTGACTTTTCAAGTTGAACCCCATCATCATTTTCATTTTCTTTTTTATTTCCTTTTTCTTTTCCTTTATTTTTAGCAAACTTTCTCTCAATTGAGAATTGTTTAGCAGTTGCATTTCTCTCTCCTACAAGCTTGAACAGATAATCGGAATCAGGACTTGCCCGTTCAACCAACAGTTGAGTAGGAACAAACGGTATTCTACTTTCTTGAAGCTGGGGATTATCTACACTGAAACGCAAAAACCAGAATTTGTCATCACCTTCTGAAGAGCTTCCACTACTTTCATCGCTTGAATTGTAATATTCATCATCACTTGAAGAGTATTCTTCACTTGAAGAAGACCAAATTGGCGCAGGTTTCTTTTTTCTTGGTGGCGTTTCTATCACTTGGGGCCTCGGTTGCACATATCTCACTGGTTTTTTTTTGTATTTTCCAATACTCTCACACTTTTGATTACCTAGATCTTGCTCCTTGTTAGCAAAAATTCCTGTGCTCATTGTCCAACGTGGAGCTTTTCCCTGAGCTGTGAAAATTTTGTCATCGAAAATAGAACTTTGATTTCTTAGCGACTTGTTTTCAAGTAGTTGATTCTTTTCACTAGCCAGATGATCTTTGGTAGCTTGATCTAAAATATTCTTGTTCTCCCAATTTGCAAAGTTTTTGACCAGCTCATAAAATACCCGATCCTGTAATCCCATAGACAGAATGAACAAAGTTATTAATACGATATACAAAGTGAACATAATTGCTTAATTCTTGTGAGGTGGTTTTATTATTGGAAAAAAAGGAAGAGTATGATATGGTCACTAAGGTTAGGGGGTATTTTTTTTTTCTTCCTTTTTTTTTATTTTTATTTTTATTTTTTTGACCTTTTTCAATTAACCTTGAAATCACTTTAAACCATCGTAACCTTCTTATCTCGACCAACATAATTAGTTACAAGGGATGTTTTCTTGATGTGGAACACGCTAGTTTTCAATTTGTCTCATGTTTTATCTTACTACTAGTATTTTGCTTCATAATTCAATGCTATACACAGAATTATCTTTTGTATTCTTATATCACTTTTGGTTTATTTATTAAAGATCTTAAAATGCTTTGTCTCTAGACAACCCTTATGACGTCAGAATAGTCTCTTTTCCATCTTCATGATTCAGCGCAATACAACATAGATGATTCATGCTTCAGCGTAATACAACATAGATGCTTCATGCTTCAGCGTAATATAACATAGATGATCTAGTAAAAAAAAAAAGAGCACTTAACTTTAAAAATTGTGTAATTTTTCATATATTTTTAAAATAAGTGGATTCAGGGCATATGCGATTAGTAAGTACCAGTACCAGTATCTGTAGGTTTTCTCTTGACGTTAAAAACAAGATCATCCACGTTATAAGCATTTTCAGCTTGGAAATTTGCAAAATAATTCACGGATATACACTAGCTGCCACCGACACAATCTCACTCTGCTCGATAGTGGCTTTAAGATTTTTTCCTTTTATACAACTTTCCTCTTTGAGTATTTTATTGGTAATTGGAGGTTGGAATTTCTTTCCTTACCAGATTGAGAAAATCGCAATCATGCAACAACACGATTTTGAAATATGAGCGAGGAGGGCGGGGGGAGGCGAAGCTAGCATCTATTGCATTGGAGCGCTGAGGGAGGCGAAGCTAGCATCTATTGCATTGGAGCGCTGAGGGAGGTGAAGCTAGCATCTATTGTATTGCTACAAAGATTTTACATTTTGTTATGTGGCTGGGAGCCTACTACTTAAAATATCAAATATAGAGGCTCAGATACAGTCACGCGACATGCTTGACGTATAGAGTCATCCAACTTTGCTGTTTTCTCAATCACTAAATCTCTCTCGCTCGTATTATACACATGGAGATACTGTTTTAGTTGGGATTCATCTCCTAACATTTCACTCATGTTTAAATTTCCAGTACTGCCATGGATAGACACACTGCCATTTGTATACGTTGCGCCAATTTGGGTCTGTTGTGTTAAACTTGGGGAGCTTATCAGTTTTGATCCCGTGCTATCATTTAAAAATGATGTGACATCAATTAGTTTGTCCGACAAATCATTTACAATTGCAGTTAGTTCTTGATGTCTTTTTTGCTGTTTCAATATCTCTTCTTGTTGTAAACACTCTGTGCTTTGATTTTGATGGCGTCTCCCTAGTAGCGAAGTTGTCTCGTCATCTTCTTCCTCATTGGTGTTTCCATAAATACATGAAATACACAACCCCATTGCTTACAGTAAATTTGTTATATCCTTATGTAGAAAAATCACTATTTACTCGAATAAGCTCGGTTGTGGCGAGTCGCGGTAAAAAGTTATTCCTAATGATAAGTAAAGTATGATATTCTCTCCTACTAAGAAACTCCTTCTCTTTGTCCCTTTCTTTCTTTGTCTCTCTCTTTTTTTTTTTTTTTTTTTTCGCTGTGTGTATGCAATCTCTGGTTATCTGATAAGCTCCTTTTTACAATTAGATTTTATCGTTGTTCTATACAACACAGGGGTCTGCTTTCTCTTGTCTCTTGGTTAACAATGAGTAAAGCGTTATGTTGTTTTGCTTTTGAAACGCTAATCAATAAGTTGAAGCTGGAATCCACCAATAAAGTCAGCTTAAAGTCATACTTTGATGTTTTACATGAAGATCCCAGTCACCTACCTAGTACAGCTCCATTATTTATTACCTGGAGAGAAGATTCAAGTTTAAGAGGATGTATTGGCACGTTTCAATCTTATCCTCTTGAGTCTGGAGTATTCAAGTTTGCCTTGAGTTCTGCTTTTCAAGACTCAAGATTCACACCAATCAGTGCGAAAGAAGTGCCAGATTTAGAAGTTAGTGTTACTTTATTAGATAATTTTATACCAATAGCAAACTATTATGATTGGACTATTGGATTGCATGGATTGAAGGTATCCTTAGACACAAGCCACGAACATTACCTGGGTACGTTTCTTCCCTCTGTTGCCGAAGAAGAGAATTGGGATAAATCAACAACATTGTATTATTTGCTTAAAAAGGCAGGCTATCCAATAACTAAAAATAACGTGGAAGATTTTTATGCAAAGGGCTTAGAAGAAGGTTGGTTGAGGTTGACCAGATATGACGGATTAAAATCATACTTGACTTATCACGAGTTTGAGAAAATTAGAGAAATCGTACAAGCAAAATAAACCTATATAAACCCCGGAACAATGGTGTGAGTTAGTGTATATGTGGGTTATTAGTTTTTCCATTTTCACCATGTTCCGCCATTTTTTTTTTTTTTTCCCTCCAAGAAAGATACAGAGTATTTGACCAATTTCCGGTAAATCTTTATCGGAAATAAGATTTATTATATATACATAAAAATGATTTTTCCTTTTTTCTCTATTTCCACATCTTTTTCCTTTCCTTTTCCCCCAACATATTTTCTAAAAAAGCCCTCGAAAAAGATGTAAGTAATCCAAGTTTAAATAGAGTCGTCCTGATGCTTGAGAATGTAAAAGAATTCCAATATAGTCTCTTTGTTTTTTTTTTTTCCTTCTTTCCTTTTCTTTAGCTCTTAAAACAACAACTCAATGGCCTCTTCAGTTTTGAAAAAGTCAGCTAAGGATATAGTCATATTACTGGCTTTACGTACCCCAGTCACCAAATCGGTAAAAGGTGGATTGGCCCAATTATTTCCTGAGGAGCTCCTCTATCATATTTTACGTGGCTCGATCGAAAAATCCAAAGTTGATCTCAATTTAGTAGATGATATATTGGTTGGTGCTGTTTTGCAAACCTTGGGAGGTCAAAAAGCTTCGGCGCTAGCTGTTAAAAAAGCGGGGTTCCCTATAAAGACCACGGTCAATACTGTGAATCGACAATGTGGTTCTTCGGCACAAGCCATAACTTATAGCGCAGGCTCTATACTCAGTGGCGAGAATCAGTTTGCTATAGCCGCAGGTGTTGAATCAATGACGCATGATTATTTTCCCCACAGAGGTATTCCTCAAAGAATATATCAACCATTTTTGGAAAGTGCTGATGAAGAGGCTAAAAATGTATTGATGCCAATGGGTCTCACTAGTGAGGCTGTTGCTGAAAAATTTGGAATTGGTAGAAAGGAACAAGATGAATTTGCATTACAATCACATTTAAAGGCTGCAAAAGCTACTGAAAGCGGCCATTTTGCCAAGGAGATTGTTCCAGTTGAAGCTCGTTTGCCCGAAAGTGACAAAACTGTTTTGATCTCTAAAGATGACGGTATACGGGGTAGCTCGACTATTGAAAAATTGCTGGCATTAAAACCTGTTTTCAAAGAAGATGGAGCAACCACTGCTGGAAACTCATCGCAAATCTCAGATGGTGCATCAGCTGTAATTTTAACAACCAGAGAAAATGCCGAGAAATTCGGCTACAAACCAAAAGCAAGGTTTATTGGCTCTGCAGTTGCAGGTGTTCCGTCCGGATTAATGGGTATTGGGCCATCTGCCGCAATTCCACAATTGTTAAATCGCTTAGGTTTAGCAACAAAAGATATCGATATCTTTGAGTTAAACGAAGCCTTTGCGTCACAGCTGATATACTGTATCAACAAATTAGGTTTGGATAGCAGCAAGGTCAACCCATATGGAGGAGCTATTGCTCTCGGCCATCCATTAGGTGCCACTGGTGGTAGAGTTACAGCTACTTTATTAAATGGTTTGAGAGCTCAAAATAAAGAATTGGGTGTCATTTCAATGTGTACTTCCACTGGCCAAGGCTATGCTGGATTGTTTGCCAACGAGGAGTAACAAAGCAAAGTATTAAGTTTATAACTAAAATAAAGACAAAGAAAGTATAATAGAGTAGAGTAGAATTGGTTTCGATAAAAGAGTATCTATAAAAATTTATTATTATTTTTTTTTCGAGTTTTGAACATTTACATACAACTAACTCTACTTATTGGTCAATGACACCAACAAGTACAAAAAAGCACCACTTAAAACCGGTATAGTGAAATTATCGTCAATACCCCAGAGATTTATGAATTCGGAAACACTAGCAATTATGCCAACTAGCAAAGAATACACGTGGATATTCATGTAGCTTGTTTCGGGTTTCCAATAGATATCTCCTGGTAAATTAACAAAGTTGTATTGGGGCACAAAATACCCGTAAAATAAATAAGAAGCAAAGACACCAGTTACCAAACTACCCAATGACCCCGCTAAAGATTTGCCCTCAACGATCTTTGGAGTATACTTACCGTACCGTCTACCAACAGTAGATGCCGCAGTATCGGACCAACTTAATAATAAAATGCCAACAAGTGCAATATCTTTGGGACAAAAATATAATACTAATAAAACACCAGCTAAATAGTACAACACTCCATTATATGAATTCTTTTCACACTCTCTAATAATGAACCACATTCTGGAGCAGACAATTTCGTTAATTTCTGGGTTGTGTAATCGTACAAAATCATTAATAAACACAAGCACAAACGCCGTGAATAAAGGGATGTACAATTGTGAAGTTGAGACACCCAAAGTATATAGCCACAATGAAAATACACCAATAAACGAATGAAACACTTTTCTAGGTATTTCATGCTTTACCAAAAAATCTCTAAACAGCAGCAGCTGTTTTTCTTTAACTGGAATTTCAGTTTTCGATGTGTCAGCGGAAAAATCGAGTATTTTTCTATTGCTCTGTTTAGTTAGCATACTTATATCATCGTCATCCAACTCGGTATCGTGGCTTTTGCTTGACGAGTTCTCCAGATCAACAATATCGTCATCGTCGTCGTCGTCGTCGTCGTCGTCATCATCATCGTCATCAATATCTTCTTCATTCCAAGAACTGTTGTCTTCACGCGTAGTATCGTAAATATAAGTCTTATCTTCAGATTCAATATAAGATGTATTATTATTTTCAAAGTCTAGCATCGTAAAAGCTATTTCTTTCCTTATCTCAGCTTCTTGACCCTCGGATTTGTAAGGCGTATTAACCGCAGACATTATCAAGAGGGAGTATAGCTAGCCGTTCCAGTACCTATCGTCAATGAAAAGTAAGAACAATTTGCAGTTCCTTCTCTTCCACTTCTTACCTTGTTATTTAAAAAAAAAAAAAAAAAAAGAAAAAAAACAAAGGAACACAGAAATTTTGCAATATTTGAAATTAAGTTTTGAGAGAAAAACTGTATTACATAATCTCAGATGATGATCAAATTTACCGTATGCAATGGAAGTTTCTATAAACCTTAAAGTAAAAACGACAATTTGCTACATCTTATTGAAGTGAATGTACTATCGAGCAGAGCGAGATAGTGGAGCAACACTTTGTAGACACTATTGATGGTAGAGTATTTACTTTGTTCACAACACTTGTAAGTAGCACGAGTTGGTTTTTCAATTATATAATATTGATTTTTGTAAATTAAAAGTATATAGTATGGTTTGCATAAGTTCCATCGTCTTTTAAATAAATCCTATTAACATTAGGATATATGAACTTGACTCTTGGCAAAGTGTTATAAGTTTCTCAATACTAGTCCTCGGCTTAGACTGAAGATCTAGAAACTGCACTTTTGGCCTACAATGCTGCCATTTCATGATCTTTTCTACAATTCAAGGTGGGCACCCTTTCATGATCTTTTCTACAATTCAAAATGGGCTCCCTTTGAAGGGGGTCAATATTTTTCTTTTTTATTTTTCTTTTTTATTTTTCTTTTTTATTATTTCCGCTACCTACATTTGTCTATTGATTTAAAGATAATCTATAGCCGATAGAATCCCTATATATATCCAGATCACCAGCCTAAAGTCACTTTTTAAGCGCCTTCCTGAGTTTTGAAAAAATTCAGATTCTATATCAAAGACATCAAAATTAATCTCAGGATGTGAGTTTTCACCAACACCACTACCACCACTACCACCACCACCTTGCATTGCTTTTTTTCTTCTAGCGTATTTGGCTTCAATCTGTTCACCAAACTTGTCATTTTGTGCTGGTGCTTCAAAGCTATAATCGTGCTCCCATGTGGGTGTAGCCTTCATATTATACGTTGCTTGATCCGAGCCATCCTGTAAAAAGTTTGGAGAATTCTGTGCATTCTGCCCATCAAGGTATTCGTATTCGCTCTTCTGTGGTTGTTTCTGCTGCTGCTGCTGCTGCTGCTTCGGCTGGTGGTGATAGTAGTAGTAGTAGTAGTCTTCGTCGTCTGGTCTATTGGGGACGTTCAAGTTTTGGAAATAATTTTCTGGACTATGAGCCGGTTCCGAAAAGCGCAACGATCCAGGTGAATTCTTTGGAACATGCTTGATTTTATCTTGTGGATTCATTGACTCAAGTCTGAGTTTCTTCTTTTTTATCTCATCAGTATCCATCTCAGTATCAGCTTCATTCTCAATCAAAGAGACGTCGTCGCTTTCGATATCTTCGTATTGATCTTCCTGTTTCTTATCAAAACTATCCTCTTCTTCTTCCTCTTCAAAGGATGCATCCCATTCACTGTCAAACCAATCGGCCTCTCCAGTTTCCAAAGGCATATCCAGCTTGTTTACATGGGACAATATTGCTCCATTTGAATAGTCTTCTTCTTCTTCTTGATCTGTCATTTCATAAATTCCCGTAATCTCAGCATCTGTTTCATCACAATCTACAAGTTTAGAAGAAGGAAGAATATCATTCCATGCAATTTTGGGCTTTGAGTAATGCACATCCGTATTTACTCTTGTCCTAGGGTGGTCCTGAAACTGAGGCAGAATGAATACTGAATTTGGAGGATTCTTTTGATTTAAAATATTCTTACCCATACCCTTCTCGGATGGAGCTTCATACTGAGGCGGAGCCTCGTTTTGAGATGGTTCGTCGATATCATAGTCCTCAGTAGAAAACAGAGTTTCCAAAGTTAGTGAGATAGTGGGCGTTATACGTGTTAGTGCCACGGTTTGTGTATGTTTTTTACGAAGCGCTTTTATTTGTTTTTGAAATATTCCTTGTTGGTGCGCCATTTTCTCTCTCAAATCAATCAATTGCAGCTCAAGTTTCTCGATTTTCTCAAATGCTTTACTGGTTTCAATTGTCTGGGTTTGGATTGCATATGGCATAAGTGGTATGTGTTCTCCCAGGTAACGTTCTTCTTCTAACCAAATAGCTGCCGAAGGATGAAGAAACATGCTTTTTGTTGCATGGATTTGCTTCTCTTTTTTATCAAGTGGTGATGTTTCAACAGATTCCGCAGGTGTCAGCAGCAGCTGTACTATTGGGATGAGCAGGTCTATTATTGTTGTTGGAGAAACCTCTATTGGTACAGCATCAATTAAGGCTGCCTTATGAAAAGTTGCATTGTTCTCCTTTTCTCCAATGATACCCTCTAGTAGCGTTTTGGCCAGTATTTCCTGTTCTTGTATATGATTACCACCGCCTTGAAAATTAATAGGAACACCTTTCCTCAGTACATCTACCAATTTCCGCATTTCCATTTGTTGAGGTTCATGAGGTTGAGATAATTGAGGTAGTATATCTTTTAGAATATTGATATGTTCCAGAAACCTAGCTTGAGCATCCTTTGTGCTGTTATAATAAACAGCTTTTTCCTCACTCCGCGCAAGCGCCAATACCAGCAAAAGATAAACACTTGTTGAAAGTCTTATATGTATACTTTTCATTTTCTCTGAGACAATGATATGCACTTGGTGAACATGAACTTTATCTTATTTTAGGGGTTTTTTTTTTTTAATTTCCAACCTTGCCAACTATTCACAACTTATCTGTAGTATTTATTTTTTTTCTTCATTTTCTTTTTTCGCAGCCAAAATTCCAATTCTTTTTGATCCATATCAATTATGTAAATGAATGGCCCTGCATGTCAAATTACCTCTATACTGAACGCGCCCCGATAGTGAACTCCTCTATGCTGAATGCCTCTCTATAATTGCTTTTGCAACATCTACATATCCCTCTGATAGTACGCTACCTGGTTCCGATACAACAATTGGTTTCCCCAAATCTGACTGAATGCAGATGTTTTCATTCAACGGTATATTCAGCAATACTTTTAAATCGTATTCTTTTGCAACTTTACTAGCACCACCACTTTTGAAAATGTGAGATTCGTGATTGCACTTGGGACATATATAATGGCTCATATTTTGCACAAGACCTATAATTGGAATATGCACTTTGTTGAACATCTTGATACCCTTAACAGCGTCAATTAATGCTATATCTTGTGGTGTAGTTACCACAATAGCTCCCGAAACCCTCAACAACTGACTTATTGATAATTGCGTATCGCCTGTTCCTGGAGGCATGTCTATTATCAAGTAATCAATTGGAGACCAATCCACTTCGAAAAGTAGCTGTTGCAAAGCCTTCATCACCATTAGCCCACGCCACACTACAGCCTGTTCATCTTTAACAAGATAACCCATAGACATGGTCTGTACCCCAAAATTAGACATGGGCAATAATTTCCCTGTAGTTTGCGACAACCGCGGTTCACCGCTCAAATTCATCAACCGAGGTATTGAAGGACCAAAAATATCGGCATCCAAAATACCAACCTTTTTGCCCAAGTTATGTAGTGCCAAGGCCGTGTTTACTGAAACTGTTGACTTGCCAACTCCTCCTTTGGCGGATGAGATGAGAATAATCTCTTTGACATTGGGAATATTTTGCTTTATAGGTAACCCCTTTTGACTTCTAGGCATTGAGGAAGCCCCATTTGCAATTTTGTTGTTAAATCGCGGTAGACCTAGCGGGTTCTCATGATGTAACGGCCTTGTTGTGGATAAAACTCTCTTAATAACTCTATTCATTTTTGGTGCTTTAAAATCATCAATCTTTTCTTCTATTTATTTTTTGTATTTTTTTTTGTTTTTCTTCCTTTTTCGTAACTTAGTGTTGCTCCAATTTGGGAACAGTGGGAGTCCTAATTGATTATTGGAGTAGAGAGAGTACGTAACGGAAGCCTTTTTGTTTGTTAAATATCAATTGGAAGCAGGATACAAATTCAAGAGCTCACATTAAATATCTTCTTGAGCTGTTTTGTATGTTTTGTTACTTGTATTTGCCCCTATCATTAAACAGTTTCTCAGTTTCACACACACACATATACATATATATATACTTCTACAAATACAAAAACGTATATATAACGGCTCTCTTGGAGGACTAACCTTGATCTAGCGTATTTCTACCTTATAGTTTTTCACCAAATCTTGCTCCACACGTGAATGAATATCATTAATCTCTGAATTTGTTAAATTCCTGTCCATAGACTGGTAATTTATTCGATAGCATTGTGATTTCCTCTTTGTCTTGGGGTTTTCAAATTCGTCAACAAGAACAACGCTCTCTGCCAAATCACCAGCATGAGTTCTCACGATTTCCATTAAATCATTACAATGCAACAAAACGTCCTCATTTAACCAAAATGACACATCTCTTTTCACCCCTGGGTATTTTGAGTATGGAACAAAAGTGTTAATTTGTCCCTTGCGAAATTGTTCATGAAACCGTTCATCTTTTGTCCAAAATAACCTTATATCGGGAATAGCAAACAAAAGCATTGCAATTCGATCCAACCCAATTCCAAAAGCCCAACTTATCTTATCTTTACCTAATCCCGAGTTCAACAATACTTGTTGTTGCACTATTCCGCACCCACAACACTCCAACCATTCTCCTTTCCACCATACTTCGATTTCCCATGATGGCGAGGTCCATGGAAAATAAGCCTCCACCCATCTAACTTTCAAGGGTTCATTCAAATACGATTCAGTAGACCCTGCCAATTTTGCAGATTCTTTGGCCTTTTGAAAAACTTGACTCACAAGAAATTCAACAGTTCTCTTCAAGTGAGTTGAAACCAATCTGACTTCCTCCTCGGTCATGTATGACTGTGCTGGATTATTTGGAGTAATTGGCTTCTCTCTAAATGGATCTTCCACTATTATATTTGTTTGTGGAATCGAATCGATATCTTTTTGAATTTGTTCCAAATCTCCACGCTGCCACAATCTCGCACCTTCCAATTGATGAAACGCAGGGTAATGGGTTCTGTCAACCTCATCTCTTCTATATACATCCGCGGTGATCAAGTAGCCCGGGGTTTTTGAGTTGGAAAAACACTCTTGCTCATGAGCCGACGTGTGAGTTCGCAAAAGATAATTTCTGTTAAGATAATAGGTATCAGATTTTGATCTACCAACATGGTCTTCCGGAAACCCTAGACTGTCAAAATTTTGGTATTTGGTTACTATAGGATTGAAATCATCATATACTGTGTACCCCATACCTTTTGTGCTTGTCCGAATCAAGTCATGTAGAATACCAATTGGATGGTTTGGGTTTTTGTGCAATTTGCGCTGAATCAAATTCAAAATAAATGGCGGCACATTGGTCCATTGGTCCGAGGGGTATGATATCTCATCAACAACAATCTCCTTAGTATGTTTGTATCGAAGAATTTGTCGAAAAACAGACGGTAATGGTCGTATTGAAACTTTTAACATCAGTGGGTCAGGATTGGTTGAAAGTGAAAAATATGAAAAATGTGGAAAAAATTAAAGAGCACCTACATATAGTTCGCTCTATTACTATTCCTTATTTTTTTTTCTCTTCTATATCAATTAAAATTAGAGAATATGTACATTTACCAAGCGTCTTCTTTATACCGCCCGGTATTTTCCAAGTTTAAAATGTATTTATGAGCCTCTTCTTCAGTGATGTTGCAAAATCTTTTTATGATTTCGGCAAAGGTCAATTTAACCTCTCGAGGCATCTTACCACTTGAGCCACAAACAAAGATTCTGGCTCCTTGATTGTAAATCAAATCCCCAACTAACTTGAATTGATCTATGAGTGCATCTTGCACGTACTTGTACTTTGAATTTTGATCTCTTGAAAAGCAGTTGTAGATGTGTAAATGACTTGATTTTCCCCAAAACGTTTTGATCAAATAATCTTTCTCCTCAAATCTACATCCAAAGAATAAATACATCTCTTGCAACGGCAGCAGCACCAGCAGCACCAGCAGCTGTTGTTGCTGCTTTTTGTGTAAAATTTCATCAATTAGCGCTTTCATTGGAGCAATCCCTGTACCAGGAGAAACCATGATAACCGGTGCATTAAAAACATCAAACGGCGATTTGACAAATGAAAATTCAATGGAGTCCCCAGCTTTGAGAGATTTAAGCCATCTGGTACATAAACCACGCCTGACTTTTCGAATAATCGTTTTGTATTCAACTACCGCAACAATAAGTTCTATCTCGTTTTCACTGGGTCTTGATGCAATCAGAAACAATCTCGGCTTGATCAACGGTATCAAGTCCAAAATGTAAGATACTGGTATATTTAAGTTATTCTTAAAATCAGCCAAAGTTTCAAGAATCAGTCTTCGAGGACGATTAGAATAGTTATATAGTTCCTCTGGATCATCAAACGCGCCAAATTCTCTCAACTTGTTGCGCTCTCTCTCGCCTTCTTCATTTGTTGCATCACAAAAATGCCAAAGTACGTTGAAAAAGCTTCGCCTGGGTATTGACATAATGTCCAAATGATACTTGATCAAATCCCGTAGAGTAATATGTATGCCATCTTTTACCAAGTTTCTCACATATAGGGATTTATCGGCAATTTCCAACCAGTGCGGTTGTAGTTCAAGTAGCGACTGTACATCTGAATCAAAATTGCACGGGTAAAGTGAGATTGTGTCACCAACGGAGTACTTTAAATCCTGTGATTCTATTTTGATGTAGCGAACATCTTGAAAGTGGTTTTCGCTGGTAATCCGCTCATTGCTTTTGATTATGCCGCTATAAAAGTTTTCATTAAAGATTTTCGATAGCAAGCTGGTTTCAGGCAGTTTTGTCGTGGTGGTTGCAATTTTGTCAATTGAAATTTTATATTCTGGCATGGGGACAGTTGTGTCGCTAATTGTTTTGTTTGCAAAAGGAAAAGCTGTCAATAGCGCGTTGATGAGTTGAGTTTCCCAAGCCAAATAGTAGCCGTCTATTCCCTCTGGGGACATTTCGTCTGCTTCGCACCGAGGAGAGAGTTCTCGACACCCAAGTTGCATCATTCTCGCGTGAATTTTCTTTATTGCATAATTGAACTTTTCGTAAGAAGAGTCGCCCAAACCAAAAGATGTTAATGACAAATTTTGGAAAAGGTCATTTGGTAACTTTTTTTTGAGAATGAATTTCATAAACCGTTTAGCATTTCGAGGTAGTTCTCCTTGACCAGTAGTTGAGCAGATTATAATGAGATAATCTGTATTGAGGATTAAATTTTTCAATGGAAATTCATCGAGTGAGGATAATTTAGCCCTGAAATTATATCCACCTAATCTCTGTTTCAAGTATCTTGCATACTCCTCAGCATTCCCTGTCAGAGAACCATAAAGTATGGTAATCCTATCAGACATCTGTCACTATGGCTTATGACTCTATCACTATGACTCTATCACTATGACTCAATAACTCTATGACCCTATGACTCTATGACTTTACCACTCTTGCCTTATCACTCTATCACTTGTCCTATGACTCTACCACTCTTGTCCTATGACTCTTGCCTTATCACTCTTGTTCTACCACTCTTGCCTTATCACTCTTTTTCTATCACTCTTCTTCTATTACTCTTCTTCTATTACTCTTGCCTTATCACTGTTATTCGCACACAGGTGAAAAATTAAAATTCAAATTGGAGGAAGAAAAAAAACCTCGATTAAATAAAACAACATCAGAACGAAACAAGTAATAAAGGAGTTAAAGAAAACAAGTTTCTTCCGGTGCCGGTTTGATCGCACCGAATAATATCCGCTAATTCTTTTTTTCTTTTGATTGCCAAAAGAGGAGAGGGGCCAAATTGTTTAATTATATGAGATGGGGACTAAGAGGAAAAGTGGTGCTAGTCATGGTGCAAGTGCGCAATCTAAGAAAATTAAGCAAGGACAACATTCTCCAGAAGCAAGAAAAAGTTTTTATCAATCGACTTTGACGCTTTTGTTGAACTTGAAAGAAGGAGAAGAACAAATAGCAGGAGCATTTATCAAATTGCCTTCAAAAAAATTTTATCCTGATTACTATCATGTTATCAAAAATCCAATCTCAATAAATGAAATACAGAAGAAGATTACTACAAAGTATACTGGAAGCTCTAGTACCGAGTTCTTGGATGATTTTGAGTTGCTATTGGATAATGCTTCAACTTATAACGATTCTGATTCTTGGATAGTCGTCAATGCTAAAAAATTGGTTGATTTTGTTAAAGACCAAGTTTCTCAATTTGAAAACGCTGCTCCTGCTAAAGCTGCTCCTGCTAAAGCTTCTCCTGCTAAAGCTTCTCCTGCTGCTGATCTGCAGCTACTGGAACAGCACAGGCCAACAAAAATCAAATTCAAATTGAAACAGCCTGCTGCTCCTGATCCCCCAAATGTAGTTGTTGATACAAAGAAAATGGAAATCACAAACTCAACACTTTCACACTTTTGTCAGGAACTATTAGATGATGTAATAAATCACTCATTTAAAAGCATTGGCGTGATTAGTGGGCCGTTCTTGGATGAAGTGGATCAAACCATATACACAGAATACTCGAAATTCGTGAAAAAGCCAATGGCATTTAGAACTGTTGCCGACTTGATCAAAACAAGGAAAATTTTCAATCCTAAAAACTCCTTGACTCAAAATTTGCAAGCATTTCACGATACCGTCGTGCTAATATTTTCAAATGCTCGAGCTTATAACAGTGAAGATTCTCAAATATACCAAGATGCCGTGCTCTTGGAAAAGTATTTTGAAGAGCAGTATGCCCAGTTAAAATCAAAAGCTGTAGCAGAGGAGAAGAAACATCCCAAATTGAAGCTCAATTTGAACAGAATATCAGCTGAGAAGAGGAACAAAAAGGTGAAGGAGGAAACAAACGAAAAGGATGTTAACATTGAACAACAACAACAACAACAACCACCACCACCAAAAGAGCAACAAACTGCAAAGGAGAAGGACCAATCGGAATCGGAATCGGAATCAATAGCTGAGGCGGCAACTGTAAAAATCGAATCCGAAAATGATCCAGCTGAGTATTCTAAACAAGACGGAGAAACCATCATCACTACGGATAAAACTACAGAAAACACGATGGGTAAATCATTCCCAACTCTTTTGAAGAGCAACTCCATTATTCAAGAAACTTCAGTATTTTCATCCCCAGCACTTGTTCCTCATATCACCAAGTTTGTCAATCAAAAGATAGAGTCATCGTTGACTTCATCTTTCATTCTGCGTGAAATGCAAATTGGACAAGCTTTGTTTCCTACTCATTCACGCCGGTCATTGGCAACTTTGTTTTCCTACAAAATACCAGCAAATGGATACGTTGATCAATCATATGTCATTTCACTACCTAGCGATGTACTGCCATTCATTTCATTCAAAGTCTCATTGCACCACCTCTTATATCTCACAAAAAAGCCAGAACTTGTTGATGGTCATGGATTTCTAAGTCTGACTTCTGATGAGGAGTTTCAATGTAAGTTGCTAGTCAATGACGAGGAAGTGTTGCAATCCAATGGTTGTTTTGAAGAGAAAGGCGAGAAAGGCGAAAAAGGTGACAAAGGAAGTACTCTTAGTGTTCAATATGATATTAAATTGAACCACGATTTAAACATATTGAATTTTGAGTGTACAGTGGCGCCATCATTGAGCAAGAAGATAAAAAACACCATTTTGCAGGAACAAGCTGACGATTTGTCTGGGTGTAGCAGACATACAAGACATCAGTTGCAACAAATGAAAATGACTTGGGATGTGGAAACGATAAATCTCTATATAATCTGTAATTCCAATTAAGTACCTGTAACATATATATATATATACAAAAAAGAAAAATGTCAATTTAAATCAAAATCACTTACCGATGCAGAAATTGGAAAACACAACTCCCAAAACTTCCTCTACGCCTATTGCTTCCCCGGTGATTTTACCAATACCTTCAATAGCCTGGCGCAAGCACTCTGTAGCCAACACAACATCATCTTGACCTTTCCAGTGGGTAAATCCTTCGAACCCATACAAAACGTCATGTTCGAGAATATCTTGTACTCTAGAGGAAACAATAATAGGATCAGCTGTATCCGACTGAGCTATAACCTTGAACTTTTCAACAATAGTATCTCTTAGTTTGTCTATATTGCTACCTGTACGGCACGAGACAAAGTGAAACATATCTTTGTCAAGATTGAGAAGGCTGGAATACTTTTCAACCACCTTATTTCGGTCGCTCTGTATTAAGTCTTCTTTGTTCAAAACAACAAGCATTTGCTTATTGCATTCTTTTAAAGAGGTCACAAGTTTTTTTAGTTCTGCAATATTGTCTTCTTTCTGAGTTGGATCAATAACAAGCATGACAAAATCAGCCAGTTGTGATTTACTTTTTGCCCTTCTGATACCTTCCTGTTCAATATGATCAGCTTCCGAGAGCAGTCGTATACCAGCAGTATCACCCATAACCACTTTATAGCCACCAACCTCCAAAGGTATATCTATTACATCTCGTGTAGTTCCAGCTATGTCACTAACAATAACCGTATCCGTATTAGATAACGTATTCAATAGTGATGATTTTCCTGCATTAGGCGGTCCCACTAAAGCTAACTGTATTCCCTTGAGCAAAACCTCTGATGATCTAACCTTCTTAAGGTAGTTTCTTACTTCTGCTTCAAGCATCTCAATATTTCGAGCCACATTCTCGAAAAAATGCTCAGACTCCTCCAAAGTCTGGTCTTCACCAAAGTCAACAAGAGCAGTTAAGTCTGCCACATTTTCTAACAAATCTTGTCGCCATTTAGCAAAAATATTTTTCGTTTGACCCGACATGGATGCCAATGAAGCAACTCTTTGCAGTTCTGTTACTGCATTTATCATATCACTGATACCCTCCAAAGCAGTGAGATCGTATTTGCCATTTGCAAATGCTTGCTTAGAGAACTCTCCAGGCTCTGCTTGACGGATAAATATCCCATTATCAGGGTCATGTAGTTGACGAATCGACTCCAAAACCGACCTAATAATTGCTACTCCACCGTGTAGATGCAATTCCAATATATCAAGACCAGTGTAGGTTCGTGGTTGAGGAAAGAACAAAGTCAATGCTTCATCTAAGATTTGCAAGGTATTTGGAGAATACAATTTGCGAACGCTGGCTGTTCGAGGTTTGGGTTTAGTTTGTGTTTGAGTTAGTTTATTATAGATGTATAATGATTGAGGTCCAGAAATCCTTACAACTGCAATTGCCGACTTTGCCAAATGCGTAGATAGAGCAAATATAGTTGGCTGGGTCAAAGAAACAGTATTATATAGTCTTTTCTGCCATAGTCTTAGAAACATCAATCTACCCTACAGATCAACCTACCCTAGATCAACCCTTACTGGAAGAAGAAGAATGAAAAATGGAAAAAAAAAAAAAAAATCATTTAAATTGTTAGTGATAGTCTAATTAATGTGATTTATATGAACATATCTGCAATACCTTCCTCTCACAAGCCCAAAAAGATATGGTGCTTATAGAAATCAAGTATCAATATAAACCTGTATAAACCTGTTTGGTTGGTCAATTTAAATTTCATGGAAAGCCTACTAATCAAGAGGTATAAAATTCATCTTGATAATTAATACAAAGTAATTGCATCTTGATAATTAATACAAAGCAATTGCAGCTATATAAGAAATTGAGCAATGAGCACGAATTGTTCAATTCGCAGCCAAACAAAAATTTAATGCACTAAATTAACAATCTGACAGGCACCAAGAATAGAACAGACCAGATCCTATTCTTACTAATAGTAGAGCCGCTAGGGACTCTTAGCTAAGGACTCTAGCGTATTTAAGAAGCAAGTTTCAATTATGTATGTGATGAGTATCATTCTACTAGAAACATTATAAACAAAATGGTAAAAACATAGTTGAAATATCCTTGCAAAATGGTAAAAACATAGTTAAAATATGCTCGCAATTCGCCATTTATAAGTATACCTTAGTTATATTTTAGATCAATTGTCGAAAAAAACCCGTAAAAAATGAACTCATGATGAAAGAATCACCCATGGTGAAAGTAAATCGAGCTATTTTGAGTGCTGGGTGTGGGGGCTCTCTCATTTACTTTTAAAATTTTTATCAAGAACGGCTTATGTAATCGCAATAACCATTTTGAATAGAAAAAAAAAAGAAAAAAGATATTGGAAATGGCTTATGTAAGCGCAATTTGCAGTTAACTCGATTTCCCAAAAGAAAAAAAAAACCGTTGAAAGGAAAAATGACATGAATTAGAGAGTAGTTGGAACAAGATACCCTTTTTCAACCTCCAATTGAACGATATGGCTGGCACATTCAAACACACATGCAGATAATAGTAGAAGCTAGTCAGTGTGCTCCACTATCTCGCTCTGCTCGATAGTGTAGTGTCAGTGGCAATTAGTGTGGCTCCACTATCTCGCTCTGCTCGAAAGTTTACCAAATATTGGTAGAAAAATTCAAATTTGTTAAAGGATTCATCTATAAATTAATTAATTCCTATATATACTTTATATTAATAAAGCCAATAAACTAGCACCAACTATGAAACCATCAATGTTCCAATTACCAGCTTCATTGGCACTAACAACGTATGTTGTAGATGTCGAGTTTACACCACTTGTCTCAAAAAGTTCACTAATGTTGGCACACGCAAGTCTTGAGTTGTCACTTGCGTGAATGACAATTGATAACCCTCCAATAAAGGCTTTAGATTTTGGGTTCAATGATAAATAATTATCAACATACTCGGCGCTATACTTCAGGGTGGTGATATTTCCGTGTTTACCAGCCAAATCACCAACTTCTTTTGCTGCAGGCGAGGTTGCTGTTACACTCCCATTGAATGGGTTAAAGTGCCCACCAGTTCCAGTGCAGTTGACATTGTTTGGTACTGGAAACTGATGAATGTGATATGGGAAAGGCCCACCTGTTGATGGCAAATTATCAAGGTCTACTTCAACAAGAACCGAACCATTGTTTGCTGGTTCAAACTTGATGCATCCTGAAATACCTGAAGGTTGTTTAAAAGTGGCAACATAGGGTTGTTGATTTTTAGAATCGCTTTGAATAGGTGCATCACCTGCAAGAACAAACGAAGAAACCAACACTATGGCCAAATAAACTTTTTTAAAAAACATAGCTTTTTTTTTGTATGAATATATATAGATATAGATATATATATGTGATGAGTGTTCACTCAGGGGTTTGATAAGGCTCAGGAAGATACTTTTTAAAACTCTTGAAATTTTGAATTTCACAATTCACCGTGGTGATTTTTATATTATCCTCTGGTTACTTTATATCAGAGTTAGACTATATCACCTTCAATTTCAATTTCTACTTTTTTTTTTAAAAAAAAAGCCTTCTTCCAATAAAAAACTTTACACAAATACAAATTCATTCTTCAAAATGCCTAATATTGAACAGCAAAAGTAAAACAAGATTGTGGAATAACAAAAAAATTTGAATCAAAAGAGCTAAAACAAAACTGAAGATCACATTTGTGTAATAAAGCATTGTTTCTATTGTTTCCGCAAATTAACAGAATCCCGGTCAATGGAATATAAATTGATTGGACAAAGAGAGAAAGAGAGACACACAATTCTATCAACTATTCTTTACCATCCTTAAAGATATTAGAGATTAGTCAAATTGGATTTTATGATGTTAACCACTCATTGCCATTGCTTTTGAAAAGTGAAGATAATTATTCCACCCCTGCCCCCTAATAAGCTGAGGTTTAGTAGGAGTTGCAATTGGTCAATTTTAGACTGCTGGTGCAACAAATAACTGCCGGTGGTGCAATATTCATCTGTCAGGGCTGTATTTAACCCCCTTCTCTATTTACACTTGAGTTTTGCTGGCCAACCAAGCTATTTTTTTTTTTTTTTTTTTTTTTAGTTGACCCTGCAACTTTTAGAATAATTCATTAATTTTTTGCTAACAATCGTTTTCTTCTTGGTTAACCATATATGTGTCTCTGAAACTAATTTTTTTATCAGATGCGCTTTCCACAAATGGCTTTCAACAAATAACCCTTAGAGTATATTCAACTAATTTCATTTCACACATTAAATTTTGCCTTGTCTCCCCAACTCTTGGTTGAAATTAACTAAAAAAAAATAATAAGAAAATAGCTTCCCCATCATATATAACTTTCCTCGGTTTGAGCAAACAGGGCAAATCAAGAAAAGTTAAAACTTGCGGGGAAGTAGGTGACAGTAGGAGACAATAAAAAGAGTGTGAATTGGTGAACAACGCAAGGAGTGAGAAAAGAGGTGGTGGATGAAAATCAGTGAAGTAACAAGCTAGTCTGTGTGCTCCACTATCAAGCAGAGAGAGACAGTGTTGCTCGATAGTGTCGGTGTAGTCAGTTCTGCTCCACTAGCTCACTTCGCTCCCTAGTGTCGACAGTGTCGCTTTTTCTCTTTTATTCTTGTTGAGTTATTTTCACTTCAGTGTTGCTCGATAGTGTCGGTGTAGTCAGTGCTGCTCCACTAGCTCGCTTTGCTCCCTAGTGTCGAAGATGTGAGAAGGTCTTCAAACGCCTTTATGACTAAGGCGCCGCATTCACATACAAAAAGGGAACTCTGTTGAGAAAAGTGCTACCTGTATTATATACAGGATTTGATCTTACAATGTTGATTAAAGAGCAACTTGTTTCCATACATATAGACACACACAGGACACAGCACACAGCGGACACCACTCTTTGCTTAATATTCCTTATCTTTCCTGCGTTCTTTATTTGTCTACATTTCCCCCTTTCTTTTTATATTTTTGGCTAACATTTCTAGTTGACTTTGCAACGATAGGATCCATAACTAAACTCCTTGGAAATCATGACTATTCCGTTTTTGGGTAGGTTACATTTACTTGACTGGCCGGTTATCATTGTCTCGTTTATGCTAGCATGGTCGGAATTCTTGATCTCAGCAATAACTACATTACTACCAGACTCGTTTATCAAGACATGTACTTTTGTAACGAGACAGGTTTTCAGATTTACTTCGAATCCAATTAATTTAGTCCAGAAAATTAAACGTAAGGATAAGAAAAACCCAAATGAGGAGACGTTTAGCTATCAATATTTAAAAGCCGAAGATATTTCAAACTCACAATTTAACAAAAAGGGTTATGATTTAATGATTGAGATGTTGAATGCCGACAACATTCACGAATTGGTGAGACTTTTTGATTATGATGTCGAATCTAGAATAGTTACTACAAAGGACAATTATCTCTTAACAGTACACAGAATCAAGGGCAGGAAATATCGGGAACCAAATGGTAAAGTTATTTATTTGCATCACGGATTATTGATGTGTAGTGAAATTTGGGTCACTATGCTTGAAAAGTATCAAAACTTGCCATTCATTTTGTATGACTTGGGCTATGATGTTTGGTTGGGAAACAATAGAGGGAACAAGTACAGTCAAAAGCACTTGTTTTTTGATTTGAAATCCAACAAATACTGGAATTTCTCTATTGACGAGTTTGCAATATTTGATATCCCCAATACAATAGACTACATATTAAAAGAAACAGGAAAGAAGAAGTTGACATATATTGGGTTTAGTCAAGGGAGCGCTCAAGCGTTTGCTAGTGTTTCGATAAACGCCGAATTGACTCACAAAATAGATCAATTAATTGCAATTTCTCCAGCGACAACTCCTCACGGGCTCTATTCGAGGTTCCTTGATATTTTACTCAAGTCGTCGCCAAATATCACTTATTTATTATTTTCACGCAAAGTGTTGATGCCTTCATGTTTATTTTGGCAGAAAATCATGTATCCTCCCTTGTTTGATAGTGTGATTGATATATCAAACTATATGCTCTTCAACTGGAAGGCTACAAATATCTCCAAGTTACAAAAATTGGCTAGCTATGCTCATTTATACTCTACAACGAGTGTCAAATGTGTTGTTCATTGGTTTCAGGTTATGAGTTGTAAGAATTTCCAAATGTATCATGATCTGCCGGTAAGCTTTTCCGGGTTGAGCCCCATGAGCTACCCATTGAGGAATATCAAAGTGCCTATTCATTTAATATATGGAACCACAGACTCGTTGGTTGATATTGATGTAATGAAGTCACAATTACCTAGTAGTAATACCACGACTTTTGCAGTTGAAGGCCATGAACACTTGGATAACTTGTGGGGCACTGATGTTTACGAGACTGTGTTTAAACAAGTTTTGGTTTATTTGGGCCAAGATCTAGACGAGGTGTATTCGCGATTATTCCGACAAGATCAGAATTTGATAGAGGATATAATTAGGGCAGATTCGAGTGCAAATTCGACAAATTTGGATGCAGTTGATATTTCAGTTATTGGAAATGGTGAGACTGTAGAGCCACAGCAGCAGCAGCAGTCATATTTGAAAATGGTTAATAGTAATGGCCATGCAAATAGTGAACGGCGAAGATCAGGATTGGATGTGAACATGCATATCGATCACGAGAGACCGCTGTCAATTGGGGGAAGCCATGGCTCAGTATTTATTTAATTTATTTAAACACTATCGAGCGAAGCGAGATGGTGGAGTAGCGCTGACTATATAGATACTGACTATTCTGGCGCTGACTATATAGATACTGACTATTCTGGCGCTGACTATATAGATACTGACTATTCTGGCGCTGACTATATAGATACTGACTATTCTGGCGCTGACTATATAGATACTGACTATTCTGGCGCTGACTACACTATAGTGTTGCTGGTCACGTGGCTAGCTATTTCCTCACTATATACTATATACTATATCCTGCCTCCTTTGTTTTCTATTTTGCGGGCCAGAAAAATGACACAAAACCACAAAAGATAGTGAGTGACCGAAAACAGCAATAGAGTCGTGTAATTGTGTCATGTTGCAGATTTAATTTTAATTTTTTTTTTTTTTTTTTTTTTTTTTTTTTTTTTTTTTTTTTTTTTTTTTTTTTAATTTAATTTTTATCTTGTTGTAAAAAGACTGAAAGAAAATCGTCTACATTAAAAGTTAAGAATAAGATCTACAAGGACAAGGATTATTCCACGTAATACTACCGTACACACCAGATATTGGTATAGCTGACAACGCGCGGGGGTGGAAACTAGTAAAATAAGGACACAAACGAGAATTTATTGTTTCCAGCAACTTGCTAAATGAACCTTGATTCGTGTTTTCTTATTCAAAAAGGAAGGATTCATATAAAAAGGATATAAGGAAAGGTGTTATAAAAAGGGAAAAAAAAAAACAAAGTACCTTTTTTTAGGGGGCCCCCCACTTGTATTACAATCAAAAAGAAGGTTTTTTTGCTGGCAAGTCTACCATCTACGGGTGAACACCTGTGTTGGGTAAAAAATGAGTGCTGGTGTTAACGAAGCTGGAGTTGTTCCAATAGTATGTTGAAAAAAGAAGTATTTTCAAATACACCAGAGAGAGAAAGAGGAGTTTTTCAAATTTGTCACATTTTGGAAATTTCTTATATAATGCACGCCCTTTTTTTGTTGGAGGCTATCCTGACAGACTTTACTAACTATCGGATATAGAAACAGAGAGAAGGGAAGACTGTACGAAACGAATTACATCCAGATGGTATGTTCTAAAACTGCAATTTTTTTGTTTTTTTTGAGAGGGGGGGGGGACATTAAATTGATGATGCTTTTTTTTTTCTCCTGCTTTATATACTAACTACAAGATTGTTCTAGAATTGGTAAAAAGTATTACCAAACGAATACCCCGATCGTTGCCATATTATGATAACACTGACGTAGATGTTGAAGAACAGGATCCTATAGTAGAGGAATTGATGAAATTGAGGCCTCACGGGCTGCAATTCAAGATATCACGCAAGTATGATGAAGAGATTGTGAATTACTCAGCCAAGATGCAGGAGTTGTTATATCTTTTGTTAGAAGAGAAGGATGTTGACGATTCTCAGCGAATTGAAATAGAAGCATCCTTGTCCAAACTAATATCCTACGTACCAATAACCAAGGACGAAGTTTTGGAGGAACCTTTGAACATTGAACCTGAACTAAGTTACAAGAATAGACAGAGTATACCTAAACCCAGAAATACGGCAAATAGATTCCCCAATGGTTACTTGTGCAAGATTCTAATTGATAACTATGATGCTTTGGTCAAATTGTCCTCGTCATACTTCAATTTGTCGTTGAGCTCTACTGTGACAAAGTACATTGTTGAGTTAATATATCAATTGCATTATTGGGAAGTAGTTCATCTTGCATATCTTAATCCAGCAATACATAACTTTCTACAGTTGATAGGATTTGAAGTCATTAACACATCATTTGGGTTAATTATTAGACCGCCCGAAAACTATCTTGATGATAAAATGTTACAAGGTTTGCAGTACCCATATCCATATCCATTTTATAATTACAGTTACCATTCATTTGATCCCAGAGTTGAGGAACAGAAATTGAAAAGAGTGAAAATTACACCCTATATTGATATAACGTTAAAGAACGTCAAGGTTGCTCCACCAAAGAAGAAAAGGGGCAGAAAATCCAAAAAAGTTATAGAACAAGAGGCTAGAGAATTGGCTTTGAAAGAGTTGGAAAATGAATATGAACTGAGGAAAATTAAAGAGCTGTTGCCTCTTGATGTTAGCATAGGCGATAATGTGACTGAAGAATTGGTAGATCAAGTAGACTTTGAGGATAAACGAGATAATAGTCGCACAATGAGCGATATTGATAATTCAGAGCAGGAAAGAGAAGATAAGGAAGGAAATAGGTCAAGAGAACCGGGTAAACTTGATGAATCTTGCATTGTGAATGAGGAGCAGAGTGGATATGAACGAAGAACAGCAGGAGAAGTGGAAACGGAAACGATACCTGCAACGAGCAAGTCGTCACTATCATCGTCGTCATCATCATCATCGGCTACACAACCACCTGTATATAACTTACCTCTTCATAATCAAAATGTTCAACCATTGTCACAACTACTCACTACTGTACATTCTCATGGTACGGAAACTACGAACACGGTGACACAACAACACCAAGTTCAAGCAACACCACCACCACATCCTTCTTCTCAAGGATACTCATCACTGTCGTATTTAGCATCACAGTTTCCAGCTTATTCCTATCAACAGATTCCACCGCCAATGCAACAGCTGCAACAATATCCTGTTTATCAAGCACCCCTGTACTCAGGGCAAATTGCATCATCAAGTCTGGGAGAGATACCTTCATGTCAGGATCAACAACAACAACAAGAGCAACAACAACAACAACAGCAGCAGCAACAGCAGCAGCAACAACAACAGCAGCAGCAACAGCAGCAGCAACAACAACAGCAACAACAACAGCAGCAGCAGCAACAACAACAGCAACAACAACAGCAGCAGCAGCAACAGCAGCAGCAACAAGAACAACAAGAACAACAGGAGCAGCAGCAGCAACAAGAACAAGAACAACAAGAACAGCATCAGCATCAGCAAGAACAACAACAAATGCAGCAATCATTTTCCTTTTCTCCAAGTGCTCAGGGACATGAAAACTTTGATTCAGTTCCAATAAATTCCACAATTGGAACTTCTTTTGAAAATACATATGTTACATTTCCTGATCGTTCACTGGGATTTGTAAACATCAAGTTTGACAAAAATCATCCAGATTATGGCAATCCGGAAGAAGAAGTCAAAAGATTGGCACGAACAGGAACGATTCATCAATGTCATTTAACTGATCCAGCCAGTCATGGAAAGTGTTTGAAAATATTTTATGGTAAAAATGAGCTTTTACGTCACCAGGAGTTTGTTCATGCAACAAGGAAGAAAATTTACAAATGCATATATTGTGAGAGGAACGGATCAAGAGTTCAAAGTTATCCTCGACACGATTCTTTAGCTCGACATATACGAAGAAAACACGGAATTACCGGAAAGGAGAACAAAATGGCGGTAAACTATGCAAAAGACAACGTCGAGGTGATTGATGAAGATAGGGATTTTGCCTCGCGTGTGATTGGATCCTCTAAAAACACGGATAATCCCAATCAAAACGATTTGCAACCAGGTGAGATTCCAATAGCAGAAGTGCGTAGAATGCTATCGAAAGTGAAAACACCTATCAATAAGCATATACCAGGTGTGCTGAAACCAGAGGCTGCGCTGTTGCAAAGAGGTTATTTAAATGAACATGATATGATGAATACAACGCAAGCATCTGCATTAACACTTGAATCAGAAACAGCTCCAGCACAAACATTTGCATCAGAAACAGCACCAGCTCTGGCATCAGCACCAGCACCAGCACCAGTACCAGCACCAGTACCAGCTCCAGTACCAGCTCCAGCTCCAGCTCCAGCTCCAGCACCAGCACCAGCACCAGCTCCATCACTAGAAATATTACTAGCACCTGCACTTTCATTCGTACCTGCACAGGAAGTAGCACCGAAAACAATAGTAACGTCTGCGCCAGCACGAGAAGCGGCAACAACAACGGCAACAACAACAGCTCTTGTCACAGCATCCTCTCTGTCTCCGCCTTCTATGCTGGCTATTGTTGGGGCTACCGCTTCTGCTCCTCCATCGCTTTTACCTCCCACCCCGCCACCACCGCCACCTCCTGCTTCTGTTCCTGCTCCTGTTCCATCTTCGTCACCTACCTTACAGCCGCATCTGCTTTCACCACAACCACATCCTCCTCTACATCCTCCACGAACATCATCCGAAATTTCATCAATGACATTCCAAGAGAATCCAACACTATCTGCTTTTGAAAGATTTAAAAGGGATCCGCGATACAGAGTACCCGAGACAACTCCAACATATCGCGCACTATATCTACAGGGCCAGCTTCCACCAGATATTCATCAGAAATTTCCAGATTTACCAAGAGTGCAAAAGTTTAATTCAACGGACCCTAAAAACAGACAGTTTCTGATTTTCATGGGACCAACAATGGGAACGGCACGATTTGGTAAAGTATTATCGCCGCCCACAAAACATGCTACGGATAAACTGCGTGGAACAATGCCATACAATCCTCAAGAACACCAACAGCGACTTCAGTATGAACAGCACCAATATGAGCGGCACCAATATGAACAGCATCAATACGAGCAGCAGCTCCAATATGAGCAGCAGCAATATGAGCAGCAGCAACAATATGAGCAACAACAATATGAGCAACAGCAACAATATCAGCAGCAACAACAACATTTTCAACAACAACAGCAATATCAGCAGCAGCAGCAGCAGCAGCAGCAGCAGAGCCACCAGAACCAGCAAAATCAGGAAAATCAGCAAAATCAGTTGAATCTTCATCAGATTCCACTGTCTTCATATGAACAAAGGTTTAGTGTAAAGCTACCACTGATACGTGATTTAGATCCTCGAATCTCTCATTATACAAAAAAGGAATAGAATCCTAAAATGTTGTGGGTAAATGTATAGAGAGAGTAGAGATACATACTTACTGCTTATGCTGACTAGACGAGTGAAACGAGTCTAGTCTCTCTCTCTGTCTATATTCTCTAGTCTCTATACTCTAGTGGCTTTAGGACACTGTCGAGTATAGGAATGGATCTGAACGAGAAGCTCTAGTGGTCTAGTCTAGAATCTTATCGAGAAAAGCTATAGTCTATATCTACTCTCTCTTCAGACTATCAAGCAAAGCAAGATAGACAATATCTACTCTCTCTTCTTTCTATATACTCTCGGGCAAGGCTAGAAGACAACACCTTTATAGACTATCCTGCAAAGCGAGAGGACAACACTACTTTATCTATTCTCTCTGTTCACTACTCTCTCTATATATCTACACTCTATCGACTAGACTCGTTTCACTCATCTGGTCTCTCTATCTACTCTTTCTAGATCAACTAGATCCGTTTCATTCGTCTAGTAGAGCAAGATAGAAGGGCAGCACTTGGTAGCTTGTTACAACACTGACTAGCAGCATTGACTAGCAGCCACCTACTGGCTTGTTACAACATTGAGTGTCACTGACACTAGCTGCAAAAAGCTTGTGTCCCGCTTTTTCTTCAAAGTTGGGCGCTACCATCCCACTACCCACCCACTAACCAAACTGCTTACTGTGCTTGCTGTGCTCTCTGTACTCCCAAGTCTAACGAGCTTCCTAAAGTAGAGCTTGTAACTTGTAGATACAACTAGCAGGTGGAGCTAAGACTAGCTCTACTCTACTGACTATCTCGGTAAATAGAGTAGAATTGAATAGAGTGGAAAACACTATTTATCGCTGTGCCCAAGTGGAGCAGAGTAGAGAATAGTGGAGTATGTGAAAAGGGTCCTGGCGGCCAAGCAGTGTCTAGCTCCGCAGTCTTGGACACAGATGATATCAATAAAGTCGACAAACACTGAAGGCCAATCCATTTTAATGAACATTATTTTTAAATTACGCCTGGGAATGGACTTGGCGAAGCATCTGACAGAAAAAGGGCATCTGCCACTGGTAATGGCGCTGGCTCGATAGTGCTAAGAGCTAGTGCTAAGAGTTAGTGCTAAGAGCTAGTGCTAAAAGCTAGTGCTAAAAGCTAGTGCTAAGAGTTAGTGTTAAGTCTTAGTGTTGCTCGATAGTGTTGGAGTGTTGCTCGATAGTGTCGATGTTTTGATTGCAAAAAAATTGTTTACAGTCGTGTACAGATATTCGATACCTGCACATTGAACCTCTATGGCCATTTTTTTTTTTCCTGTCTGTAATAAAAATTCGCAGCCAAGATCTCTTTTAAGTAAATTACCTTTTCAATATAATGATCTTTTTATAAGAATATAAAGTATGACAAAAGGTCTAAGCAAATAGAGTGGAAAAGGCTTTAGAGTCCAATTATAAGCATTAGTAGTGATACTGTTAATTAGAATTAATTTTTAGACCGCTTTCTCTTTTGTTTATCGCTGTGACTACTTGAATGAATCCATCTGTCTCTTGGTCCTCAAAGGTAAAAGTGAACCAAAAATATCATAAAAAAAAAAAAATTAACAATTTTAATTACATCTTCTAAATTCTTTTCTTTAACAAAAACACTTAATTAAAAGTATACTATTTTGCCATTATTCGAGTAGATTGAACTTTATCCATTCAGGTACTTTCTGCTGGTTCTTGTAATACTCGGATTTACCTGCTAACGGTTCAACTTTCCAGCTGTTTTCTGCCTTTGTTTTTTTTTTTTCCTTTCTTCCTAAGCCATACCTTTGTTTGGTATATTGCCACAGAATAACAGCACTAGGAAATCGGATAAGACCAATTTTTGCGGACTCGGCTACAACATATCGAAATAATAACCAGAATAAGAAGAGGAAAAAATCAAAGTACTTGGTCTTTAGGTTACCCTACAGAGATCTTTTTTCCCCCCCCCCCCCCCTTCCTTTCTTCTTCCCTTGGTATCAATATCTGGGAAGATTGGACAAATATTAGGTTTATTTGCTTGCTTTTGGTGTTTAAAGAGATTTAGCAGTTGGTAACTACCTTGAAATTTATGCTAGCTATGAATCAGCCACCATCATTGCATCAACCAGAAATGGATATTGATATTGATATTGATAGTTTGTCTCGCCATGTAGGGTCACCAATCCAGCAGAGTTCTAATTACAATAATGTGAATTTGGGCTCATCTCAGTTTCAAAATGTCGATACTCCAACAACCGTGACTTCTGTTACCAATACTGGTGAGTCAAATTCAAATTCAAATTTGAATAATAGTTTTGCAACTGTTATGAATTCGCCATCTCCACATAAACCAACAGAGTCAGTGACATCTGTTGCGTCGTCCAGAAATAACGCTGCTGATGCAGTACTACCGTCAATATCACCTACTAGTAATAAGAATAGCAACAACAACAACAACAACAACAACAATACTTCTACTAGTAACCAACTCTCCCTGAAAGTACTTGACAAAAGCTCACACGGTTCGAACAATCCTCGACAAGAGTCCCAGGAAATAAAAGCTCAAGAGTTTTTCACTTTGGATCAGAATGTTTCTAATGAAACAACTACAGAGGATGCACGATCCCCACCGATAGCACAAACGCATGATTCTGTTACTGGAGTTGATGATGATGATGATGACTCAAAACCCGATCTGGAAAACCCCGACTCCACAACACCTGAGTTCGATACCGAAAACTTATTACTAGAGCATCAAATTGATGTATTAACTCACGCACAGCCATTAGATATCGAAGAGTACATCACCCATTTAAATAAGCTCGGAACCATTATCTACGAGAATAAGTTTGATCCAAAGCATGCCATAAGTCTATTTTCTAAGCTCAACGAACTTATGGACAGTTTGGAGCAGTACGTGGACTCGACAAATCCATTAACCTCCCAATTATACTTGCTTATTGAACAAAACTTTGATCTTTTCATCAAGTTGGCTACAAATTATAAAGTAATTGAAATATCAACAGCATGCATACGATTCTTAACTACTGTTGTTATGAACTTGAATTATTGGGAGATCTATAATTTATTGAATTGGAAACCAGTCTTGTATCACTTTTTGACCCTAATAAATTTCGATTTAAACGATTGTTATCGAAAATTTATTAATGACTATCAAACTTTTTCCTATGACAAAGTGAAACGACCAATTGCAGCTCCAAGAACTAGAGGCAGAGTGAAAAGTAGAAGGCTGAGACAACTAATGAATGATGAAGATATGACAGCCGAGGAGAGAGAAAGAACGGAGCGGTTTTTTTCATTGAACCCTGATACCGCAGACCATGATAAGTATGTTGCGGATATTCTATCTGGAGTTAACAAGCAAAAACGCAAATTCAGACCCGATGTCAAACTCGAACATCATAAAATAATTAAAAAGCCGCAACCTCCAACAGACCGACAATCTACAAAGTCATCGAATTATGATCCCGATGTAGTTCACGAATGTCAATTGCCGTCAGCTGAAGTACCACATAAATTATGCTTACGTAGATTTTCCAGAAAGTACGAGCTAATAAGACATCAAGAAACCGTGCATTCAAAAAAGAAGAAATTGTTCAAATGCTATGTATGTGTTAAACAAAATCCTGGTGTTGGACCGAGGATTTTTACTCGTCATGATACTTTGGCTAAGCACATCCGAGTAAATCATGAAATATTTGGCAAAGAAGCAAAGGCCGAAGTTGCATACTCTAAAAAACATGCCGAAGTGGTTGAAGAAGGTGACATTACAGTCCATGTAGGAAGAAGAAAAACCAAAGTTGACTTTGAATTGAGAGCTCATATGGATAAGAGAACTTTAGACGACGGAATGGCCTATCTCGAAACCAGCGATTTAGAGTCTGGTGATGAAGAAGTTGTGTTCAACAATCGTTGACGGTAGGGGAGAAAGAGAAAGGGAGAAGAAGAGAGGGAATATAATAGGAAGTTTTTTTTTTTTTTTTTTTTGAAACAGATGTGTTTTGTGTACTATTTGTTGCTATTATAATACAGTTGTTTTTTCATAATTTTGTTGCTCACGAATTGCTTTTCTAATCTCTTCGTCTTTAATCTCGTTGATGAGGTCTTGTGATACAGTAGCCAATCCTGTTATTGGCCGCCTCAAATCCTTTGTCTTGTAATATATATCATATTCCAATTTGTTGTTTACCTTTTTATTGTTTTCTTCGAATTTATAGAATTTCAAGTGATTAGGTTGTGTGCTCAAAGGGAACTGCATTGTGTTTGTAAAAACATCTCTAAACCCATTTATTGTCACTTGTGATCGCAACTCAGCTAGCTTATGGTTATAGTCAGAAGTTTGCAAGGCTATTTGATAAAGCCACGTTTTGTCAGTTTGGTGATTAACGATGGATACAGGAGCGGTTGGAGTGGCGTTACCACCCGATGCAATACCCACATTTGAACCGCTTCCTCCTTCACCCAACAAGTTTGACAATTTATTTTTATATATTTCGTCAGGATCGGCATATTCTCCCGGTATATCACCATTATCAATACTTTTTTGTTCCCAAAAATCATCAATTACTTTTTTACCTCCTTTGATCATTTTGGCGCCAAATTCACGAAATATAGATCTCGCACTTACTAGATTGACCGCCCTACCTTTATACGAATTTGGTATTATCCCTCGGTTAATTAAATCCATCTTTTGATTATTGTCACAAACGCGCTTAAATAATGTACGATGGGTTTTGAACAAAAGATATGAGTCACGAAATCCAACCATACGAGCTGGTCCTGTTGATATCATGTATAATCGATCACCTTCTCCCAAAATCTTAAATGTCTTCATTCGAAACTCTCTTCCGCCTTTCAAGTATCCCAATTCATCAATCTTTTCCTTCCCCTTGGGATCTTCATTTGGTATACGAACCTCGTCATTTTCTATGCATAATGGATTTCCATCCTCGTCAAACACATCATTCTCATTATATACAAAATTTTTCTCCTTCTTTTTCCTTCCTCTCTTTTTGGGGCCAAATTCTGTTTCCGTTTCATTTTCGTTTTCTCCATCCTCGTTATCCTCATTATCCTCATTATCCTCATTATCCTCATTATCCTCATTATCCTCATTATCCTCATTATCCTCATTATCCTCATTATCCTCATTGTCCTCATTATCCTCATTATCCTCATCGTCGGCAACATTTTCATCTCTCTTTAGTTCATCCTCTTCATCTCCTGCTTCATCTCCTGCTTCATCTCCTGCTTCATCTCCTGCTTCATCCTCCTCTTCCTCTTCATCCTCTTCATCCTCTTCTTCCTCACCCTCCTCACCCTCCTCACCCTCTTCTTCTTCCGCATATTCCTCTTCCCCTTCATTCTCATTTTCCACTAATTCTGCCGCCTTTCTTTTTCTTCCCCTAGTACCTTGTTCAATACCGTCATCATCATCATCATTGGCACTAAAATCTCCTACATCGGCCCCTTCGTCAACCTCTTTGTCGCCAGCACTTATTCCTTCCTCTTCCTTATCTCCTTTAGTTTCCACCTCAGCTGCACCTACTCTAGAGACCCTCCGTCTTTTCGTCATAACTTGTTCTTCTTCAATATCACTACTTTCTAAAAGAAAAAGCCATTTGTTTAAAAGACTTTTTTTTCGCTCTTTGTTTGTAGTACAAAAAAATCTCTACTCTCTGCTCACTACTTACTGCTCACTACTTACTGCTCACTACTCACTGCTCATTACTTACTAGTCTCTAGTCTCTTGTGTCTAGTCTCTAGTCTCTAGTCTCTACTTCTACAGCTCCTATCTGTGTCAGCGGTGTTTGGTAGAGGTAATTGATAAACTAGGAAAAGAGAGTGACGAATAGAGTGACTAGTAGTCCTAAGCCCATGATGGTACTATCTCATTCCTCAATAGTAGAAAACTGTACTCTAGTATCTACTATCGAGGAATGAGATAGTAGAAGTACTCTAGTAGAAAGTGCTCTATAAAAGTGCTCGATAAAAGTGCTCTATAAAAGTACTCTAGTAGAAAGTGCTCTCCTCTACTATCAAGGAACGAGATAGTAGTAAGTACTAGTAAAAAGTGCTCTATAAAAGTACTCTACTAGAAAACCGTACTCTAGTGCTCTATAAAAGTACTCTACTAGAAAACCGTACTCTAGTGCTCTATAAAAGTACTCTACTAGAAAACCGTACTCTAGTGCTCTATAAAAGTACTCTACTAGAAAACCGTACTCTAGTGCTCTATAAAAGTACTCTACTAGAAAACCGTACTCTAGTGCTCTATAAAAGTACTCTACTAGAAAACCGTACTCTAGTGCTCTGCTCTCTCTACTATCTCGTTCCTCGATAGTAGAGCTTGTTACAACATACTAGCGATACTTGATACTTACTACATATACTTAATACTTAGTGCCCTTTCGATTTAGTATATTCATTGACAGTATTATTCTAGTTATTTTCTACTTACCATATCTACTCTTATTAAGATTATGATATTAGCTTCAGGTGATGGCCTAGAGATATGGCACTAGATGTAAGAAAGTGATTCAATAATACAAATAAAAGGTATTACGGTATTACATCAGTGATATATTGGCATTAAATTTTTTTTTTCAGAAAAATTTTCACTCCCTCTATTTATCAACGCATTAACTTAAGTTGTCCAGTACTCATGTTGCAAGACCCACTGAACAATGTGTCAATGTGCGCAGATCGATCTATAATCGTACTCATCCCTATAAATATCTACTCGTCTTGAGTGGAGAAGGAATGTGGTATTAGTGTATTCTAATACCTGAGATTGATTATGAACATCCAAACGATCCATTATCGAGCAGAGCAAGATAGTCTCTACTCTACTCACTTCGACACTATCGAGCATAGCGAGATAGTGGAGCAACACTGACTAATTACTATTAACTACTCTCTCTTCTCTGGTCTCTACTCTACTCTACTCACTACTCACTACTATCTATTATCTACTGTTCTCTCGACTAGACTCGTTTCACTCGTCTAGTCTTTAGTCTCTACTCACTACTCACTACATTTCTCTTTGACACCTCTTAAACAATAATTTATGTCTATATGAAAGAAAAACTTTATTTACAGGGTATATATATAAGAAACCAAATTGTGGGAAAGAGAGGAGCGGGGAAGACAAAGAAAAAATCTCCATTTCTTTTTTAGCTTCTGCCCTTTGCCAAATGTGATCCGATTATTCTCACTTTGCACCATCTTTGTTTTCGTTAGCTTCATCATCTGACTTATTTGGCTTCTCATCACTTTGGAATGCATCTTTTCCATCAAGATACTTGTCAAATGCGTCATTGGTTTCGGGGAAAGGTCTCTTTCCCAAAAGACGAATCATATCTTCTCGAGTTATAAACTCCTTCTTTAATAACTCTTGCGCAACAAGATTAACTTCTTTTGTCTTCTCAGTTAATAATTGTTTACATTTTTCATAACATTCACTTACAATCCTTTGAACTTCATTGTCGATTTTTTTGCTCGTTTGATCACTAAAAGGTTTAGTCAAGTCATCTTGGGACCTGGCATCGTAGTAATTCACCATTCCAATTACTGGAGACATACCAAATCTCAAAACCATGGATTGTGCAATATTGGTCACTTTTTTAAAGTCATCGTGTGCTCCGCTAGTTACTGAAGCAAAATGCAACTCTTCAGAAACTCTTCCACCTAATGTCATTATCATCCTATCATACAATTGCGCGCTAGACATCAAATGTTGATCTGGTGGCAAGTATTGGGCATAACCCAACGTTCCTTGCCCACGAGGGATAATAGACACTTTCAACAAGGGATGTGCGTGCTTCAAAAACCAACCACATATGGCATGTCCAGCTTCGTGGAACGCAACAATCTTTTGTTCTTCAGGATTAAGCAATTTAGACTTCTTCTCAACACCTCCTATAACACGTTCAATGGCCAATTCAAAATGTCTTAAAACGACACAATCAGAATTGAACCTAGCAGCAATAAGTGCCGCTTCATTACAAACATTTGCAATATCTGCTCCAGAAAAACCAGGTGTTAATGCTGCCAATCTACCCGACAAGTCTTTGTCAATGTTCTTTTGTAAAGTAATTTTTTTCAAGTGAACATCAAATATTTCTTTCCTACCCTGCAATTCGGGATTATCAATGTGAATGTGTCTATCAAATCTACCAGGTCTCAACAACGCTTTGTCCAAAATATCCGCTCTGTTTGTACCTGCTAAAACAACAACGTGATCAGTGCTATCAAACCCATCCATTTCAACCAAAAGTTGATTCAATGTTGTTTCGCGCTCATCATTTGCCCCCGAGGCATTTCCTTTTGAACGTTGCTTTCCAATAGCATCAATCTCATCCACAAAGACAATAGATGGTGCATTTTCTCTAGCAGTTTTAAACAAATCGCGTACACGAGATGCCCCAACTCCAACAAACATCTCAACAAACTCTGAACCAGAAACTGAATAGAATGGTACCCCTGCTTCTCCAGCAGTGGCTTTAGCAAGTAATGTTTTACCAGTACCGGGTGGTCCAGAAAGAATAGCACCTCGAGGAATCTTTGCTCCAAGCAGTTCATATTTATCGGGATTCTTCAAAAAGCTGACAAATTCAGTAACTTCTTGTTTTGCTTCAGCCATACCGGCAACATCCTTAAACTTGATCTTTACATCAGTCTCCTGGTTAAATTTCTTTGCTGTGGACTTACCGAAACCCATTGGACCCATTCCCCCCATGGAAGACGCTGCTTTTTTGGTCATCCAATAAATGGCACCAAGAAACAAAATCGTAGGTAAAAAATTAATCAAAAGTTTAGTCATGGACCCTCTCGTCGTGTAAACCACAGGAACTCGCATTTGAGGTGCAATGTTGAACTTATCTTGAGCTTCGCGCAAGTTGCGTTCAAATGTTTCCACAGAACCAATGTTGAAATGCAACTTTCCAGAATTACTTTGACGCAAACCGTTATCATTCAATTCAACATACGCAACATTATTATTGACAACCACCACTTTGGAGACCTTGTTCTGGCTCAAGTAATCAGCTACAAAGGCCTGGAATGTGATTTCGTTGCTATTGTCACCGGTCGTGAGACTAAGAAGAAACATACCAATTAATGCAAAAGCACCAATCTGTAAAGCTTGTTTTGTATTGATTTCAGTCTCAAAATTGAAACCTTTGTCTTTATCCCGCTTGTTATCTTTTCCTCCTCCTTTTCCTCCTTTCCCACCTTCTCCTCCTTCTCCTCCGCTTCCGTCACTATTATTTTGAACCTTGTGTTCTTCACTAGATTTACCGCTTTTTCTGGTTTTTTCCACTTCATTGATATTATAGCTTGTGCTTTTCTTATCGTCATTGGTATTTCTGCTTGTATTTTTGTTATCGCTTGTGTTGAGGTGCTGCCAAAAATAGCCCAAACCTTTTCCAAAATGTTTTCTTAATCTTGTATCCAATGCACTCAACTCTCCTGTGATATCATCGTTTTCATCAGGACATAAAGCAAACGTCTTTTTCTTATCAACAGCAAAGCTTGTAGATGAAAGAGTTTCAAATATTTTGAACCATAATTCTACAATTATGGGGTCCAAGGACAACTTTTCGGCTGTGCCCTTAATGTCCTGTTCATCTGCAAGCACACCGTTATCATACGCAACCAACAATTTCTGGACAATTTCATTATTGAAGTTCATTTGGTCCATATATGCAAAGTTGTTGGAGAGCGCGTAAAATACACGCACAGTTTCCAATATTTCCTCTGCGGATATGGGAGGCTCTTGTGGGTATTTCGTCCTAAAGTTTTCTTGTATATTATCAATTATAACCTCTGGAATATCATTAATCGATGGCAACTTCCCTCTTCGCTTCTCATGCTCTGTACACCTTTTTTCAAATTCAACCAACATAAAGTCATAAATCTTAGCCAAACGTGAAAGATAACCGAGATCAAATGGGTTCTGAGCAAGTTTAATCTCAAGTAAATTGGCTCCCGACTTATGTATATCCCTTAGCGTGTCCTCGAGCTTGTTTTCAACAATTTTTTTCACCACTTTTCGACGATTTTCATCAATAGACCCATGGGAGTTTTGAAGCGAAACAATGCCGCAATGAAATTGCCTGCTTATTATAGGTGAGCATCTCAAAGTACCGTACCTGAACAGATTAATAATAACCCGTCTACTTCGCCATAGAGTGGCACTATTCATTAGACTCATTATATATCCGTTGCTCTTATTAAAAGCATGAAGAAAGAGTAAACTATTTACCTTGTTTTTTTTTTTGCCATTCAACTTTCGGTTTTTTTTTTTCTTTCTTGTATTCGTTTTCTATGGGGAGAAACAATTCAGAGTATGAATAAAGAAGGTATATATGTTGAGGAGGAAGAGGTAAGCTAAGGAAAATGCTCTGTAGAATATAGAATTGTTAAAGAAAAGGGTATTGAAAGGTATTGAAAGGTATTGTTGTACATTTTTCTCTAATCACAATCTCATCGTACAAAACCTTCTATCAATTTATTTGCTTTTCGATTATTTCATTAGCAGAGCTCGATTTCTAATGATGAGGACTTGAATTAAAGAAATTTGAGTAAAGAGAGTTTTCATTTATCTATAAAAAGGTGGGGATTTTTTGTATAATTGTCTAATAATCTCTAATGATACAACAAAAAGATGAAAATACTAGCTAGACCGATTTCATCAATGCTGCTTCTTCGTCGTACTCGCTTTTATGATCAAATTCTTCAAACTCCTCCTCATTCAAAATATTATTGTCTAAATCGAAAACCTCTCCTACCAAACCCTTAACAAGTGCCGTTATCTCATCTAACCTATTGTATATCATATGCGAAACTAGTAATGCAAAAATATTCAACTGTCCATCTCTACTAAAAAATCTCCTGTGATCTAATTGTTCAGTTATGGATGTATGAGTATCGGTTTTTTTATTGTAGAAACGTTCACTTAATGAAATCTCGTTTAATCCCCATTGTTGTCTCAATACCTGCATGTGTTTTACTGAAACATTCGCTTCTGTTATTTTGGGCAATGGCTCCTTGGTTTTTAAGGCATTAGATGCCATGTGAATAAGTGCAAATATCTCAGCATCGAGCTCTGAATGACATAACCCCACACGTTGAATGATTATTGGGATCCAAACTTTAGGTTCCTCTAAACTGTTGAGTGCGCTTAAAAGCATGAAATACAATTGCACCGTGTCTCCCAAAAGTCTCTGTAACCGTAAGTACTTGCTTTCGGGCCAATAACCGCATATAGGTAACTCATACCTCAAAGGCGTGAGTAGATTAGACAACCGAGCTATTCTCATCTCAAGATATCTCAATCGGGCCACAAGCACATCGTGTCTTTCATGAAGGTGGAAATCAGCGTTATCGAGCCGTTGCAATGCAAACTTGGAAATATTGCAATGAACGTTACCTACTTCAAACAAGGAACTACCCAACACTTTCCGAACAGTAACCTTTGAGGACTTGGGTTTCGGCAAAATCGCCGTGAGCGAACCAATGCACAAACCAATAACGACTCCAATGAATCTGAGGTATGCGGGTTTAAATCCGTAGCCAACATTTGCAGATTTGTTGTACTTGGCATCTACCCAGGATGTTCCCAATACCAAAACAGTGGTGACTCCAAACAAAATCCTGGGCAAAAGTGTTTGGTGAACCGAAAAGTGCCGGTAATATATAAGGTATAGGAAAACCACAGCTGTTACTGCGCCGTATCCATAATAATTACCTGCACCATTTCCACATGAAATGTACCAACAAACCATACCCAAAAGACAACCAAAAAAAGTATACACAAGCTTTGCAAGAAACACATACACCGTCTGACCTGTGCTTTCACTAACTGAAACCGCAATCATAACTACCAACCATACCATTCTCTGGTTATAATACCAATACGCAGTAGTTCGTACAAAATATGGGATAGCACCAATGCATATTAACCCACCGGCACGGATCCAAAACCAGAATGTGTCCGACAAGAAAAAATTGAAGGCTTTGACCACATAAAAACCTACTTCCTGAAAAATGTTGGATGGAGGTAGATTGTCTGCATTTCTTGTTTGGATGCTGCTCTTTAAATACTCTGGCATAGTTTCATCCAAGTCACTCGACAAATGCCTTGGTTTTGAGTACTTTGTTTTAGTGAAATAGGTGATAAATTTAGGAGTTGGTCTCCTCTCATCCAAATCAATAAACAAGTCTAGTAATTTGATTATCTTATCGCATTGATACCTGTTGGTTTGAAGAAACAAAACACCTTGACTAATTAAAAATAATAAAGACTCCTCAGATTTAGTGCTGTCAAACATCATATTTTTCATATATTCGGTATCCTCGTATTTGGCCAAAGTTTCTTCAATCTCCTTTTTCTTATTTTTCACCTTTATTGCCATTTCTTTCTGCTTTTCACAATGCTTTTTCCAGGACCCAGGTATCCAGGCATATATTCGAAATTCATTAGCACATTTGACCCACTCGATAATGACTTCAATGGCTGAATTTGACACATCCAAAAGAGGGCCAAAATGATCAGTAAGAAACTTGGCAATGTTGTCAATATCCGTAACACTTATTCTGTGGCCTTTGCCATGATATATTATCCAATGCCGCAAAATTTTGTTTCTCCTCTTTGACTCGTATTCTCCAACTTTCATGTATGAGTCTTGAATTGCACTAAATAACTTGGCGTGACCATGTGCTAAAGATGAAGCGTCAGATTTCCTTCGGGTTATTGAAAAGTCATCCCTTGCAAAGAAAATTCTTTCTTGTAACAATTGGTAAAAATAAGCGTAACTGGCTACTGCATTAATAAGATTTTTGAATAATGATCTAAACTGACCAATATCTCCAACATCAAACCTTCCATATGAATACTCTAACCAAATAGTAGATGCAACAATTTCCAAAGGCGCCATCTTTGCCCTTATTCCGTTAATATCCTTCTTCAATGCCTTATAGTTGGCAAAATTTGAAACAGAAGGTCGCATAGTATGGAAAAGTTTAGTATGCTTCAAACATACATCCTTCAATGCCACTAAAAGTCCTGTTGAGCCCTGTATATAATTAAAGTTCGAGGTTGATGGGAAAATCAAACATGACGCCAAAACCTTCATGACTAGTGAGATACCAACAGGTCTCATTATCATATAGCCAATTGATAAAGGTTGGTATAATGGCGAAAAATGTCCATAGCACGAGAATATGACGTTGGCAATCTGCCCGCCGACATGGGTTAGGGAAAATAAGGGGTGTAGTTTCTGTCTCATGTTGCCCACAATAATGGTACACGATATTATGGATAGCATCGTGATAGCAGCACCCTTTGTGGTGAGCCAACGACCTTTAAATATTTCCTCATTTACACAATCTGCAAGTTCGTTTCCTAGCTGACATGTACCTTCTTGGATTAGCTGTTGCGTCAACTCTTGTTCTGTGATTCCGTGGTGAAGATCATTGAGGATTTTCGATCGCACAACATGATGGACAAGAGCAATTGTCATTCCGAGACACCAAGCCATAGCATTCAACACGTTCGTTATTATCGATGCACCTCCTGGTATAGTAATGAATGAAACAATAAGCAACAAGTAAGCAGCGGTTCCCAACCAATGGCTTGTCATTGGAACAATAGTCAAAATGGTGCACGACCACACATAGCACCAACTTTGAAACACAATTTTGAACGATACATAGTCCAAATGGTTTAAGATGTAGTTTGGGTATATAGTTGCGTATGCTTTTCTCCACAATGGTTTTTTCTCTTGCGGAAGCTCTGTAATCTCGGTATTTGCAAAGTTTCTTTCATCTCCTTCCGGATAGTATGCATTTGTCACAGTATTGTCACTTACGGGCTTATATTCGTTCTTCTCACTAAATGGTATAGGCGGGTCAGTCCGAGGAGATGCAGATGCCGCTGAAGATGAGATAGATGTCAAAGATATATTCTCTTGACTATGTTCCTCCTCCGTCATTTGAAAAACAAAATGGGGAAAGAAGGGACGACAAAAAAAAAAGAAAAGAACCCCCTTAAACCAGTTTCCAACAAGTTAACAAGGACACAACAGATTGCTTCCACCCTAGTTCCAACACCTGAAAAAAGCTTTCCTATAAAGTTCTTTATGAAAAATAAAAGGATGAAGCAAAAAAAAAAAAAGAGAATGGCGATGGGTAAGAATGTTACTTATAGCGATCGATAAGACTTCTACTTTGTGGAGAAGAATTTTTTACATGACTGTTATTGCTTTGAAAAAAAAAATATATGTATAGATCCTTCGGAAATAAGTTTGGCAAAATTTTTCTCATCCTATCTTCTGTGAGAATAATAAGAACAACAACAACAAGAATAATTGAACAAAGAGAGGAAAAAAAGATTTATAAAGAGTATGTTGGAAACCGCTCTTAAATATTGATAAACGGCTATTTAATTTCTTGGACCACCAATTACCATCAAATCAAAATTTTTCTCACAAACACTAGTCGTTTAAAAAAGAATTGATTAACTTGCTCTGTTTCTATTTATACATTAGTTGTTTTGGGTGCAATTGAAAAAAAAATCGTTGGATAAGTTACACAAAATGTCAAAATCTCAAGTGGCGCGGCGCAATTTCCTATGTCGTTATATTTTTTTGGTTTTATTTTTTTTTGGTTTTTTTTTTTTCATCGCTCGGGTTAATCCGAATGTCAATATTGATATCGAGATGAGAGGATGCTTGATTGATATAAAAATGTCCAGATCGAGCGGTATTTTATTATTGGGGTATTGCATGTACACTTTTTCCTTTCTTTCCTCTCTTTCTTCTCTTTTCTCTCTTTTCTCTCTTTTCTCTCTCTTTTATATTAGTAAATAATGGTGACGGTAAAGGTGTTGAGTCAAGAGGAGTTTCAGAAAAGTATTGCCTCACAATATACTGATGTCATAGGTGAGAAGTTGGGTGGTAAAGTAGAATCATTTTCCGATGAATGGTTTGCTGCAGCTGAGAACTTGATCAAGCCGAAAGCTCCTGTTAGGGATGCCACTAGGTTCACATACGCCGGAGCATGGTATGATGGATGGGAAACTAGAAGGCACAATGAAGAGGAGGCAGATTGGGTCATTTTCAAATTTGGCGTGAGCTCAGCAAAACTTGTTGCATGTGAAATCGACACAGCGTTTTTCAATGGTAACCATGCGCCTTATGTGTCAGTGGAAGCTGTGCAGAAATTTGATGATGATGATGATGATATCCTGAAAATAAAGGAAACAGATTGGGAAACCGTGATTTGCAAGTCAGAGTGTAAACCAAGCCAGAGACATTTTTTAGTAAGAGATAAAGAAACAGACAAAAATTATACTCATGCTAGGTTGAGAATGTACCCAGATGGGGGGATCGCTAGATTTCGTTTATATGGGAGTGTCATCCCCGCGCAATATAGTGGAACATCTGATATTGTTGATTTTGCCTCGGTCAAAAATGGTGGCGTTGCCATCAAAGTTAGTGATCAACATTTTGGCACTGCTGATAATCTTTTACTACCTGGTAGAGGAAACGATATGAGTGACGGATGGGAAACAAAGAGGTCGAGGGAGAAGGGGCACACAGATTGGGTTATTGTAAGACTAGGCGCTCCTGCACGGTTGAAGGAGATTATTGTGGACACAGCACATTTCAGAGGTAACTTTCCCCAAAAGATAAATGTCAAGGGTATATCTGTTAAAGAGGAGCAAGAAATCTATGATAATGATGCAGAGGAAAAGTGGATTACTATTGTGCCTGACTCAAAAACAAGCGCCGACAAGGAACACTTTTTCGAAATCAAAAACGACAAGGTATTTTCTCATATCAAGTTGACTATCATACCTGACGGTGGTGTTAAAAGAATTCGTGCTTTTGGTGTAAAGGCTTGAACAAAGAATTATTTACACATTTATATAATTTTGCCTCAATTAAAGATGCTATAGATGCGTATTTCTGGTGTATTGGGATCGAAATAACTTATAAAATTCAAAGAGCCAGGCTTCTTTTCTCTCCTTGTAATATTCCATCTTCCTTTAAACCAATTTGCCAATTCGGCTTCCCATGCCGCAATTGTGTCTAGGTTCCTTACAGTAGCTGCAACGACTGCTACTGTAAGGCCATTATGTTTGAAAAACAGGTCAATAGTCTGACACAATGGCTTCAAGATTCGGGAATCATAAGTGATATCAGCACCAACGAGTATATCTGTGTGATCACTTATTGTATGATGTTTTCCCCATTGCAATTGCTTCCATTCAACTAAAGCAGGGTCTAGATTGTTCAACTTTACGATATCCCTACTATTTTTAAAAACTTCTTTTGAGCCATCGGTCAAAATAACTTTGCTTGGTAGTTTATTTGAAAGGTCTTTTTTCAACAATGAAAGACCAAGTAATCCTGTTCCACAACCAAGCTCTAGAATAGTTTTGTCGCTCAATGAAAATGGCAAAATAGAAGAAGAGATATTTTCATCATTTAGACAATTTGCTAGGTACAAAGCCGCCTCCCAGGTACGTAGACCTGTAGTACAATGTGCAGATATCAACCTGGGCGTCTCCTTCACAATGATTGTCTTGAAACCTGCTACTGCTTCTTCCTTGATCTCGCCATCTTCTCTCTCGTTGTCTACTACTTCCTCCTTAATCCCGCCAATGTAGTATTTTACATTTTCTACTACATCAGCAGCTAGCTCACAAGAGTTGAGTATATTTGGATCAACGTAAAGCTCGTATAAACTATCTGCTATTTCCTCATGAAATGATTCAAGCTTGTTGATGTATACGTTTAGAAAATTTTTGAAATAATGCGGATTGCTAGAGAGTTGCAGCTGGATAAATTGCACTATTTCTTGTTGACAACAATAACTCGTCACGTCATCTGTTATCACGATTTTCCTAAAGGGAACTCTTTGTTCTATACAAGCCTTTAATCTGTCCATATATATATATATGTATATATATACGTATATATATGATCAATACTGATGAATATTGATGTTCCTTTCCTGTATATAACTCTTGTCCAATAATATCAGTTAGATGGGCGTTTAATCCGAAGAAACAAAAATAACTTTGAAAAAAAAAAAAGAAAAGGAGAAGAGAGCTAAGAAAAAGAAGTAGAGGTTGATAAAGAGAGATAGTTGTATTAGCAAGAATGTCGTCAATTCCTAGATTTCCATTCCCAGTTGCAAAAACCTACTGGCCATATGCTGTAGGAGGTATGTTTTAGATTATTTAAAAAGAGCGAGGAGAGAAGGGGGAGAAAAGGGGGAGAAAAGGGGGAGAAAAGGAAGGTGAGAAAAGGAAGGTGAGAAAAGGAAGGTGAGAAAGGGAAGGTGAGAGATATAAATTGATCTTTGCATGTTAGGGTGAACTATATACTGTGGACTTGCGATTTGAGAGCTGTATTGTCATAAGCATTTTCAACAAAATGGGGAAATTCTTATTTGTAAAGTGTTTGGAGCTTGCGGGGTGAATGTGATGTATCATGGCTCCTTAGATCAAGATTCAGTAATTTTGCCATGGCCTTTTTTTTTGTACAGCTAATTGGTCATATTTTGTTGGATTACGAGCACATAAATGTTGTAAGGACTCAGGACTCTGGATTCAGGACTCAGGACTCAGGACTCTGGACTCAGGACTCTGGACTCTGGACTCTGGACTCTGGACTCAGGACTCATTACCTGGACCACTTTCTCCCATGAACCCTACAATTTATTTGGATCGAGTTACTAACTCTTAGTTTTAGCATCAATCACATACTACTTAGTTTACAAGGCATCAATTGCATCGATGAACTCAGATGAATTTATAAACGACCCAAGACACCCTAGATTTCAAAATGGTGGTAAATATATTGATGTGAGCAAAAAGGATTAAAGCTAGAGGAAAGTAAGTAATACACCCTAGATTTCAAAATGGTGGTAAGTATATTGATGTGAGCAAAAAAGGTTAAAGCTAGAGGAAAGTGGGTAATACACCCCTATTATGTTACAAATTCCAATATAGAGCTCAAATCTTGAAAGTATATATATTCAACATCAAACTCAATCTATTTTTTTGTGAGGTTTTGACTCAATTTGATTTCACCTCAACTTGATTCTTTTTTTTCACTCTGCTCAATGGTGTCACTAAGTGTCACTCCACGATCTTCACTTCTCGATGGTGTTTTTTTGAACAAACAAGCATTTGCAAGGTTATAGAAAGGACCAGTAGTGTATATTTGAGATAGTTAACTTGTTGACTGTTCTTTCTTTAAACTTGTTAAATGTTTTGTTGGCTTGTCTAGGCCAATAATAGAAATGCAATTGTTAAGCAGTGTTTTGTATCTTGCATTTTCTTGGTACATTCTCTACCATTTTATTTCAAAAGCGCTCATCTCGATTTTCGCAGAGATACACCCAGGTTTTGATACTTTGCCAATACAATAGAGCACGCTAGCCATATATTTGTTATCTGTCATCATTAAAGCATGTTCACGCAAAGATATTTGTTATATCGGATTCCAAGCCGTCGTCTTGTCCACTTCAAGACTGCAACAACACCCAATGAAAATGCTTTAAAATTTATATCACCAGAAAGTCCCATCCTTCCAATGGAAAATACAACTATAGAATTCAACTCTACTCTAGAAGCCATTCATTCACCATTAGCATTGCAGATCTTCAAGGTACCAGGCGTTAAGTCTATAATGTTGGGATCAAACTTCCTAACTGTGAACAAGCTTGATAATTATGACTGGCATACTCTATCTCAAGATGTGAAGGCGATAATGAACAACTTTCTAGATAAGGACGGTATAAATAAGGGACTAGTCCCGGTTATTACTCAAGAATTAATGCAAAAAATGCAGAATGATAGAATGGCTGAGGAGGAGGAGGATGACTCAGAACTAGTTCTGATGATTAAAGAACTTATAGAAACAAGGATTCGTCCAGCAATCCAAGACGATGGTGGTGATATAGAATATAAGGGATTTGACGAAGAGACCGGTACAGTATTTTTGAAGCTACAAGGAGCTTGCAAATCGTGCAGCGCAAGTGAAGACACTTTAAAGGGAGGTATTGAAAGTATGTTGAAGCACTATATCGAGGAAGTTAAACAGGTGCAACAAATTTTAGATCCAGAAGAGGAAATAGCTATGAAGGAGTTTGAGAGGCTAGAGCAGCAATTGAAAAAACAAAGTAATTCATCTGCTGAAAATGCACACCCATCACCTCAACAATAGATTGTGATAGGCTCGTAATCATTTTTACATTTCATCTAATTATTTATTTACTTATTTACTTATTTATTTATTTATTTACTTATTCACTTATTCACTTATTTACTTATTCATTTATTGATTAATCAATTAGTTGACTCCATTCTTATACTTTTCTATTCCCTGTAATAGGTTGCGACGTGTTTCATTAAGTATCTCGTTGTTTCTAATTTGTAATTTTGTTTCTTTCAACAACCCATTGTCGATGCACTTGGCTCCCAAACATACTCTCAATTGTTCGACTAGCTCTGACAACCACTTGTCCATAAAGCTCAACCAGTTCCTGGATACATAGTTGAATCCCACTACCCATCCTAAGCCAAGTAAGGCAATGCTTGCGTTGGCACTAAACTCAAAAAACTGATATGCAAATGCCGATATTATCGAAATCGGTAGCTGATAGTAAACAAATGCTTTGCTTATGATTGAATACACCATGGGTTGGATCTCATCAGAAATTCTTTTATTGATAACGTCGTTTTTAAACTCTAGCAACGGATTGTATACATTTTCGTCAGTAGTAGATAAGATTCTACCCCTCAAGAAATTATAGGTCTCGATGCTTTCATCCATAAAGTGCTCATTGAAAAAGTCTTTTAAATCATATTCTACATTGTCGTTTTTGTAGTACAATTTCCACCATGACAAATTGTTATGAATAAATTTAGTTGTAGCAGGCTCGAACTTGTATTGCAATTCCGTATTCACCAATTGGACAAAGCGCGGAATTTCCTCCTGTATTAGTTGAGTTTCTCTTGCTGAGTCTGCTGAGCTTTTGGTTAATTTGGATCTTATTTCATTTACAATGTTATCCAAGTACCATTGGCAGATATTATGCGACAGCAGGTAAAAGTCAACAAATTTGAATAGTTGGTACACGTTACTGTGGATCAAATTGTCAATAAGCACGTCTGTAGCTTCAACGTCTTTCTCAATGAAGGCACGAATCCCTTCATAGGCCATTTGGCTGTTAATTTTGACAACGTGAGTATGAATTTTTGTGTCCAAAGCTAGAGGCGAGGAGCTTGTACTAGATGGAGTATACTCCACATTATCGATAATCTGCAAGAGTAGCTTGTTTTGCAAAGAAAGCGGTAAATTCGAGGTTGAAGACTCAAACTGGTTGGTGACATATAGCAAAAATGTGAAATCATCAAGTGATTTAGTATTCAAATCTAACTCCAGATCTAGTTCTTCCAATATGAGATCATTTTGTGGTGCATTTGCATTGTTGCCGCGTCCATCGCTGTCATATACGGTTCGACGTATTCCGCTTAACACGGGAGATGGGATCTTGAACTGATTATCGCTGTCGAGGATCTCAACGGCTTCATTGTTATAAGTAAAATGACCATTGCCATGCCTGTTTACTACCTTCTCGAACCAACTATTACTATTTGAAGCTAATGGATCAGCAAGTAAGATTTCAACGATTTTTGAACAATGACGAACTGCTTTTGTCTTATATAGTATCCCTACTTTTAAAGTTTGTCGATGATACTTTTCGTTTAAAAGCTTTTTAAGTGTTTCAATTTGTTTATTGATGAGCAAATCTTGAGGAATAGAACTTTGATAGTTATTTAAGTTATATACTAGCGTAGTATTTTCGGTAGTGTTGTTGTTTTCCTCTTTACTTTTACTTGACAAATTTAGACATTGGATAAAGTGAGCTGGGTGAGGCTGCAAAATTCGCACTCTACCAATGGATCTGCCGCATCGGTAAAGATGACATATAAACATCACTAATAAAAAGCCAATACTATATATGTGTTTATTTTAATCCCATTGTGATATATATAACTTGACTTGGTATAAGTGGGCCATTTTTATAATCTTTATCTTCGTGAGTCGCGACTATGGTAGCAGCAGAAAAAATGACACTAGGCGACACTAGCGAGCGAAGCGACCTAGTGGAGCAGCACTTTGTAGCAATACTAGGGAGCTACTCAGTAGCAACACTAGGGAGCTACTCAGTAGCAATACTAGGGAGCTACTCAGTAGCAATACTAGGGAGCTACTCAGTAGCAATACTAGGGAGCTACTCAGTAGCAATACTAGGGAGCTACTCAGTAGCAATACTAGGGAGCTACTCAGCAGCTTGTCACAACACTATCTCGCTCTGCTCGATAGTGTCTGAAGGAGCATCACTTTGTAGCAACACTAAATGCCTTTTTTAAAAAAGGCCCTAAAAAAAGACTCTTTTCAGAAAGAGGCCCTCAAAAAAGACTCTTTAAAAAGGCCCTTGTTAAAAAGGCCCTTGTTAAAAATGGCAATTCTTTATAAATAAAAATGGAATGCGAATTACAATAGGTTGATAATTACTTATTCACAAAGTGCAACATTACAACCCTTTTATATTGGGCTACTACTTATACATGCACCCTTATTGTATCAATCTTTTTAAAAAATCTCTTGTGTCAATCTTTTTAAAGAATCTCTTGTATCGATCTGCTTAGACTCTCTTATACATACCCTTTCTCTATCTTACACCCTTCTGTATCTACCCAACATGGAAATTCCACCTTTCTGATCCTCTTTAATCTTTGACATCTTTCTCTCTTTTCCGTTTTTTATCAATGCACAAACGCGTTAAACAAACGCGCCAAAAGTCAAGCGCACTTTGATTTCCTCATCGTACTACTTGGTATTTAAGCACTTTACAAGATATTAATAGAAAAAATAAGATTCCATTATACATGTATAATTGTACAATATACATATATATATAATAGAAACTCATACAAAAGTATGTAAAAGAAATTCATATATAAGAAATTCATTTTCAAAGAAACCCTTATTCATTTTCTCAGAGAATATTGTTTTGGAATACTCTTTTTGAGAAATCCTTCTAGAGTAACGTCCTCCTCTCTTAGAAACGCTCTTATAACCTGGTCTTGTCAGCTGAGTGATTTCGGTCTCATCTTCCAATTGTGTCTCAATCCCGGATATCTATATTTGCTGAAATATCAAAGTAGAGCAAAGTAGAGGAAAAGTAGAGGAAAACTAGGGCAAATTAGAGGCAAACTAGGGCAAACTAGAGACAAGCTAGGGCAAACTAGAGACAAACCAGAGACAAACTAGGGCAAACTAGAGACAAACCAGAGACAAACTAGGGTAAACTAGGGTAAACTAGGGTAAAAATGAATAAGGCACTCAAAAGTACTCTTGAGAATTTCAAGAAATACCTCACATTCGTGGGGCCGGGATTGGTGGTATCGGTATCATACCTTGACCCAGGAAATTACTCAACATCAACATCTTCTGGTTCCATGTACCAATACAAACTATGCTTTATAATATTCATGGCAAATTTATTTGCAGTGGTGCTACAGGTTTTATGCGTGAAATTGGGTACTATTACAGGTTTGGATTTAGCAGAAATGTGTCGATTGCATTTACCTCCAAACTTAAACTTGTTCATGTACATTTGTGCCGAAATTGCTATAATAGCGACAGATTTGGCTGAAGTTGTAGGTACTGCTATTTCGTTGGAAATTTTGTTTGGAATACCGTTGATATATGGTGTCATTATAACTGTTCTCGATGTATTGATCATACTCATGGCATATCATAAAGACGGATCTTTGAAACAAACTAAAATGTTTGAAATAATCGTCTCCATCTTGGTGGCAGCTACCTGTGTGTGCTTCGTTTTGGAATTGTTCAAGTGTGATTTCCCTCCAGGCTCGGGCTGGGAGATATTTAAAGGATTTCTCCCAATTAATAAAGAGGTCTTTAAAGAAAAGACTGCGTTATTTTTGAGTTGTGGTATTGTTGGAAGTACAGTGATGCCTCACTCCTTGTTTTTAGGCTCAGCATTGGTCCAGCCAAGATTGAAAGATTACGATGAAAAACATGGAATAAAGCAGCAGCAACAACAGCAGCAGCAACAGCAACAACAACAACAACAACAACAGCAACAGCCAAATTCGGAAGGCGAGGTTGGTAATGCAGAGACCTTGTCATCTACAGCAACATCATCTTCTTTAACATTATCATCAACAACAATGGCATCTTCTCCGTTGGCAAATTTTGGTGGAATTTCCAACGGATTGATGCTCAGCAAAAAATACAAACCATCTTATTCAGCCGTCAAGTATTGTCTCAACTACTCATATGTGGAGTTGGTAAGCTCTTTATTCATTGTTGCTGTGTTTGTCAACTCTGCTATTTTAATCGTAGCCGGAGTAACTTTGTATGGCAAACCAGACGCTGCAGACGCAGACTTGCTATCAATTTACGAAATGTTATCTCACTATATCTCACCAGCAGCTGGATTTGTATTTGCCTTAAGTATGCTATTCTCGGGTCAAAGCGCCGGAATTGTATGTACAATGGCAGGACAAATTATTGCAGAGGGTTTCATTAATTGGACCATTGAGCCCTGGAAGAGACGGATTATAACAAGAATTATTGCCATAGTCCCCGTGATTATAGTTATTGGAATCTTGGGTCGTGAAGGTGTTTCCAAGGTAATGAACTCGTCACAAGTGGTGCTCAGTTTTGTTTTACCAATTGTGAGTGCACCGTTGATTTACTTTACGTGCAATAAAAAATACATGAGCATCGCCAATGATGCTGATGCTAAGACAGCATGTACCGAATCAAGTCCATTATTGCATAATGAAGATGGTATAGAAGTGAGTTGTGAAAAACAAATCAGCTACGAAAACGGAAAGTTTTTGTCGATTACAAGTATTCTTACATGGATCATAATCACTGCCTTAAATTTGTATTTGGTAATAGCATTTATCAATGGTGCAGACATTTGAAGTATAGATGTATAAATATAATGCAGTATAATATAGAATTGAAACTATTTTTTTTTTTTTTTTTTTTATTACTAGCAAAAAGAAAATGAAGAACACCCACTAGTGAAGGTATCTTCCTCTTCTTCCACGAGAACTTGGTGTTCGCAAACCGGATAGTCTTCCCGGTTTGGATAGATGATGGCTATTCATTGCCAAGCCCGTTACATTCATCATACGATTCAGGGGCACACCAGGCAAATTACCATTATATTCGCTAATCAAAACTGGTATCTTTTCACTAAACTTAGTTTTGAAATCACTTGGGTTTAGTTTGTACAATTTCATAGCAAGTGTAATCAATTTTTGTACTCTTTCATATAACTTCACTTCTTTATAGTCTGGGGGCAGTGGGTTCCTAGCGTCGCTATTGAAATACCTTTCTTGACGTAACTTGTTCATCTTTATCAAGTCGATGGATATCAAGTTTTGAATCTTAGTAGGGGATAACAAGTCTGCACGATGCGATTTCAAAAATTCAAATCCTTCGACCTCAGACGGATTCCACTTTATCAAATTTGCTAAGTCTATATACTCCAAAGAACCATTTTTAGCAGTAGGTCCCGGTGCCTTCCCTTCCTCCTCCTCCTCCTCCTCCTCCTCCTTTTCTTCCTCCTTTTCCTCCTCCTCCTCCTCCTCCTTTTCCTCCTCTTTCTCTTCCTCTTTCTCCTCCTTTTCTTCCTCTCCTTCCTTCTTTTTCTCTACTACTTCTTCTTCTTCTTTTTCTTCTTCTTCCTCTCCTTCTTTCTTCGCCGTGTGTTCGGCGACTTTTTCATTATTCCGCTCAAACTGATTATTGTCCAAATCTTCCACTTTGGTTTCATCATTTTCGGCTGGAATACTACTGTTCAAATATTGCTTCTTTAATTTTTCAATCTCATTAAACCCAATGTGGCTCAACCAAACACTTCCTTTCAATTTGTCAGCAACAATTGAGCCCTTTGTATCAAATAGTGGTGCAAATGATTGGTAATTATGGCCTGAGTTCCAAACTGGATTCGAAGACGACGTGTTTTTAGCTTCTTGGAGAATACTCAATTGGGGAGGTTCGTTTGGTCCCTTTGTATTACCAAAAGACAGGCTACTCAGCTTCAACCCCAATGCTTTGTAAGTTAACCATGTGGGCATAGCAACTGTGTACCACGTTGGGTGAAAAAAATCGTGCAAGATATTTGTAGGCTGATCCAAAGGCGAGGGAAATACTCCGGTTGCTGGGGACAAGTTCTCAAGTGTAGACCTTCCCTTTGTATCTTTAATGCTTGGTACAACTTGCGCTACAGTGTATGGATCGTTGACTAATGTTGGTGCAGTGTCCAAGCTAGACTTGTTGATTGTAGAAGTGAATAATACTTGAACATTCTGCTTAGTTGGTGCCGCTGGTTCTTGAGAATTATACGTCTTGGTCAAGCTTGGTTGTTCTTGCTCTTCCGTTTTAAAGGTATACGTGATGACCTCACCATTGCTCAAAGTATAATTGGTAAAGATTTTCTCAAAGTCATCCTCCAACTGTAGCTCGAGCTCATTTTCAATTCCAGACAATTCTTGTGTGGAATTGGCCAACTGTGAGAGGTTGAATGTTTCCCGCAACAACAACTCGGTAGAAAACTTGTAAAAAAAATCAATTTCCTTGTATCTCTTTGATTGTGGTTTTTGCTTATTCAACAAAATCGCGGAAACCACTTTGATGTCATGGAAAAGAAGATAAGGGTTGAAATTGTACTCTCCAGCATTATACTTTTGTATCAAACTGACAGCGTCTCTATCATTGGACTTGTGTTTCTTTTTCAACGATGATAATATTTCATAGTGATTAGCCTCAAAAAACGTTGGTGACAAAACATTAGCAGATACTATGTGCTCATCTGTGTTTTTAAAAACAGTGAATAGATCCAGTATTATTGAGCGGAAATCGACTCGAGCTATAAGTTCCATAGTTAGTAAAAACTCTTCTTTTTTTCTTCTCTATCTAATTTTTTTTTCCACCTTCTTACTACATACATCTTGTATCATCAGAGCTTGTAAAATCTTCTTTTGTCATCGAGGGGGCGGCGGGGGGAAGGGAAGGGAGGGATGGTTCCTATAATTTTATTTTTTCTGTTGTGCTTTTTTTTTTTTTTTTTTGGCAAATCCTTCAAGGAAAAAAATAAAAAATAAACGCCCTTAGTTTATGATTTTTGATTTGTACTGATCAAAAAGTAATATAAAAAAGTTTTAATGCTTCCCTGTAAAAATGTAATACTTTACTATGAAAGTTTATCCTGTTCTCTTTTCAATATTTCTTTGAGGAAGCAAATTTTTTTTTTTTTCTTTTTTCTTTTTTCTTTTTTCTTTTTTCTTTTTTTCCGTTGGTGAATTTTTTGATCACTTTTGCACGCCCACAGTATACCAACTATCAGACACAAGTTTTGTTAAGGTCAATTCTGTTGCAATTTCCATGAAAGTTTGTCTAGTAGCAATCTCGTTAAGTAGTATATCTGATGGGTTACCTTTTCTCAATATCCATGCAAGTGTAGTTTTCCAAAGTAGAGAGTCCTGATTATTTACCTTCAGTTTATTTACATTACTGAGAATTCTCTCTTTTAAAACTACAAGTTTTTTATTATAAAGATGTAAATTGTTTTTGCTTGCTTTTCTTTTAAAGTAGTTCAATTTACAAAGTATAAATGGATTGTTTAAACTGAGTTTGATTTCTTGCGGTTTCACTCTTACCGGCTCATTAGAGGATGGCTCGGGCTCTAATACAGAGAAATCATCCTGCTCAGTTTGAGAAGTACCTAGATATTCTCGTTCGTAGTAAGAAAAACTCCATTCACACTCGGTATCCTCAATATCCTTACCTTTAATATCCTTACCTGCAATACCTACAATATCCTCACCTGCAATATCCTCACCTGCAATATCCTCACCTGCAATATCCTCACCTGCAATATCCTCACCTGCAATATCCTCACCTGCAATATCCTCACCTGCAATATCCTCACCTGCAATATCCTTACCTGCTGTTGGCATCTCTACTACAGAGAGGAGGAAAAGAAGGAAGAAAGAAAAAAAGAGTGAAGCAAGTATCTATCTACGTTGATGATATAAAACACTTTTGCAACTCTTTGCAGCATTAAGCAACTTTTTTTCTGCATTAAACAACCTTTTTTTTTTTTTTGCACAACTTTAGAGTAAAAGTAGTAAAGCAAGTTAGTTGAGCAATACTTTGTAGTTACTCCTGTTAGTTTTGTTATAGTCCCTATTTTATTTAGTTCATAAGAGTCCAATTTCTTTACTTTATTCTGGTTTGGGCGACATTACATTATTCTGGTTTGGGCGACATTGTAGATTCAATGTTTGATAACTGGTGTGTAAGCGCCAGGGTGAGTTCATTCTTGATCAATTCTCTTTCTTGTATACCAATATACTCCTTTCTTCCTCTAAGCATCCAATCAAAAGAACAAATTACAAAAATAATACCAAATACAGCCGAAGAATAGTTCATGTTCCCACCGCTTACCGGCATTGTGTATGGGAAATTGTAAAAAATAAATGCAATGATAGCCCAAGCACACAAGACCAAGTTGCAGCATAAACCAATGTTATATTTTTTCAAAAAAAAGGGACCAGGCTTTATTTGATTCCTTTTGAATACGAAAAGCACAGTTGGCACAAGGTACGAGAGAAGCAAAAATGTGACGCATGAAACTAAGACGGAGTTGAATGCCGTCGAAGATCCCAAGTAAATGAATCCAATAATGCCGTTCCAAAAACACGAAAACAAGTGCGCATTAATAACAGTACCGGTTTTGGAATTGACTCGTGCCAAAAATTTGGAGAAAGGCAAGCCACCGTCTCTGGCAAAACTCCAACAAATCCTCGCTTGCCAAGTATGGATTGCAATGTTGCAAGTGTATGCTGTAAGCATCACTAGCATTTGCAAACCTAACGCAGCAGCTTTTGAGTTTGTTGATTGATAAAAGATATCCATGATTGGAACACCAGTATTGGAATTGAAAATGGCGTCCAAGTCCTTGATACAAAAAAAGATAGCAATGCAGTATGGAAAAGCAGTAAGGAATCCGACTATAACAGTTAAAAGGATAGCTTGTGGTACTTGCACCGCTGGATTTAATGACTCTTCAGCAATATGGGTTGCCGCGTCGAGGCACGAGAAACTCCAATTTGGATTTATTAAACCAACAATGAATGCAATTGCACCAGAACTCCATCCCGTGCCATTTTGAAATTCAACAAACACAAAACTGGGCTTTTGGAAATCGCCCTCGTGCATTGCCAAAACGGTGATGATAATGATAATAAAGGAAGACAAGGAAGTGTATAGTGCTACCGTTGATATCAATGGTAACGGTTTCTCCCAAATATTAAACACAATTAACGACAAGTTTGTAATCTCATAAGCAATAAAAACTTGCCAGCTTTGGATTGTTTTATCGGGATGAACTAATACATACATTCCCATCACTGCAGTGGAAAAAGCCATGGTGACAGACGCAGCAGTGAATAATGATCCCAACCATGATAAAGCACCAGTGATATATGACAATAGCCTGGACCATCTTGGAGGTGCTAGTCTCATTGTCCAATAAATCTGACCTGAGGCATTGGGAAAAGCCGATGCCATCTCACTCAAGGTAATTCCAATGCATGTTGCAATCACTGCAAGTATCATTATACCATAAGTTATCACCATTGGTCCTCCGGACATTATTCCTGCCTATTCAAATATGTTAGTCTTATGTGATAAAATGAATTGAGTTGGTTACATCAAAGTTCATGTGTTATTAGAACTCATATGTAACAGAACTCATGTGTATCTTGGAAGACATACCACTAGGGAGCCTAGAATAAGAAGGGGGAAAAAAGTTAGTACTTGTTATTTTTGGGTGCAAAAAAAGTAATTGCAAAAAAAAAAAAAAAAAAAAAAAAAGACAATTGTCTTCTATGCATAACTAGGGAAAGGCCAGGGGGGAAGAAAAAGCTTACCCCTTTAAATTCATACCACTTACACCAAACCATGAGTTTGTAATTCCGAATCCAATACCCAATAACGATAACAAGCTGAAATCTCTTCTTAATTCTGACGCATACCCTGTATCTGCCAGAAACTCTAAATTAGCTTGCGCCTCTTGTAATAAACGTAGCTTATTCTTCTCATTCGTTCCCTTTGCTAAAGAATCCAAGTTTCTAATATTTGCTTGGTGTTGGGTTATCTTATTTGAAACAACATAGTCTAACTCCTCTTGAACAGCGTCGCTGATTTTTGAAGCAACTTTCTTTTCGGTAGAAGAAGATAGCGAGGACATAATGAAAGGTGGATATCGTCGTTTGTGAAAAAGCTGTATGATCTACGTAATCCGTGCAAGCATCTAGCTATATATATACATATATATATATATATAAATATGATATTTGTTGATTTGGTAATCACTGTAAATAAATAAATATTACCTTTTCCTTAGAGTATAAAGTTCATATTGATCCAAATAGTATAAATCAACCAGTATGTTCTCTTTTTGATTTGATCAATCAATTAGATAAGGATTAGTAATAAAAAAAGGAGGAGTTAGGAGGAGTTAGATAAGGAGGGAAGAGATTGTAAAGATTGATTAGAAAAAATTGCTTGGGCTAGATATACATACATACTAAACGTTGTTGGTCCCCCCAGTTATCACTCCTTGTTCCATCAAAACTCATATCCCAACAAGATAAGCAGAAAGGAAGCAAACACCTAACAACTGGAAATCATAGCGTTTTGAGGAAAAAGTCAAAAAGAACACAAAAAATAGTTTTCCAAAGACGAAATTGAGGTGGAGAAAGAAGAGGAGGCAGTGGAGGAGGAAGAGAAAGAGAGGATGTGGGGGACCGTACTATAAGTGTAAGTAGTAGTAGTAGTAGCGGTAGCGGCAGTAGCAGTGGCAGTAATAATTGTAGCTTCAGCCTCATGTTCAGATGGAAGAAATAGTTGGAGGAATTTAAAAAAGAATATTATTTATCTCTGAATTTATCACAATATAGGTATACATATAACCCGTCTAAAACTTTATTTTGATTTACCTCTTGTTATCTTCAATATTGCCTTGTTTTATACTGCAATAATTATACTAGAAAGGAAATAGTCAACCAAAAGACTATGGATATATATTCACTGTTGGGTTCAGATACAACAATACTGATGCGATAATGTGGTAATGATAATTTGAGGCAACTTTATCTCAGAATGAAAACATTGATATTTTGTAATCTTCATTCTCAAATAAAGTTAAAAAAAATTGCTACACATATCTGGCTTATCAAATGGACCAGTCCAAAATGTATGCTTTATCTTTTCATTTTTTACAATTGAATTAGCTATACAACATTGTTTTTTTTTCTGGATTAAAGTATGAACTAGAGATAACGCGCTGGTATACTGGAGGTACTACAGAGGCTGAAGAGTGTAAAGACCACTATCCAGAAGAGCGAGGTAGTGGTGCACACTATCTGCCACAGGAATCATTGGGAACTAAGTTTAATAAAACAAAAAATAGCAATAGTATTGTCATCGACTTTGATTTTCTCGAATGCTCTCACGCATTGATAGTCTATCAGGACAATGTATAAGTCAATGTTCTCCCCCCTTCCCCCCCCATTAAACTTTATCTTTACCAATTTCCTCTTATTATTGTATTTCTTGCGCATTGAGAAAATAGGTTTTTTTTTTTTTGTTTTCACATTTAAGTTTCAAGAGTTGGTTGATTGTATTTGGACTTACATTAAGCTTTGGGAAGAAGGGAAGGGAATTTTTGTCTCAAATAGGATTAAAAAAAAGGAACAGATTTTTATAGATCTTTGATCTCCTCATTCCCTCGCCACCTCCTGCGGTCTCGGTCTCGTGGTTTCATTTTGATATTTTCCTTTTCAAAGCACCATCATCTACAATTCTGGATATGGATTTCAAACTAACAACTGTTTAAGTAAATAGTTTGGTGAATCTTAGCTCACCAATTAAATCAACTCTATAATGTAAGTGATTTGCACGAAATCTGCAAGACTCTAAAAGATATTATCATCATCGTTGTCCGACTCATAAAGTAAACCGGCTTTTATCAAGATTTGCTCCCAGTCAGTAAACAATATAAGGATTGTCTCGCAAATGGCGATAAGAAACATCCCGCACCCAATGCCAATCCATAATCCAAATAATCCCCAATTCAAAATCTTACTTAAAATTAATGCCAACGGTAATGCAAATGCATAATATGCAACAAAATTAATAAAGCCTCCAAGCTTTTGTAACCCTTGAGCTCTGAGTATACCACTATCAACAGACGCAATACCATCAAATATTTGAAGTATCGATACTAATGGATTCAATAATTGCTCTATCAAACTGATAACTTCAGTGTCATCGGTAAAAATCCGCGCCAACTGCTTTCTAAAAGTGTAGAGGCATACTGAATTGATTGTAGCCACAAATAATCCACCAAGCATGGCTATTTTTGTAGCAACTACCGCGCCTGTCTTATTTTGACCTCCAATAAAATTCGCAATACGAGTTGAAGCAGCAATACTTACTGCAAATGGAATCATATATGCCAAAGATGCAATACTAGACACCGCGCTTTGTGCGGCTAAAGGCTTTGTACCAAAGTATGATGCAAACAATGTCATAATCTCATACGCCATATACTCGGACTCAATCATGATTATACCAGGGATAGCAAGGTGGATAATCTGATTCCATTTACTGGTTAACTCTTGTACTGTAGCAATTCCAAACCAGCATTTCTTACCATCAATAAATCTAACATAAAGAACAAGCAAGATAGGCAAGAGCCAAAAGTGAAGGACAGTTGCTATTGGTGCCCCGATGTATCCCAATCCAAATTTCCCATTCCAAACAAGAAACCAAGACATGAAGATATTTATAGGTGCACTAACAAACAAAATCCCTGTACCAGCCTCAAAGATTCCTTGTGCTTGTAGAAATCTCTTTCCGTTTTCAAAAAAGATATACCCAGGAGCACCAAGAATCAATATACGTAGAAACTGAGTGGTCAAAGCAACAACAATAGGATCATCAATTACAAATTTCAAAATCGACCCACTAAACCACCAAAAAATTCCACACGGAATAAACAACACTAATGAAAAGATAAAACACCGTTGTACAAATATGCTCACGAGCTTATAATTACGTGCTCCATAAGATTGCGGACATAAAGTATCCAATGCAGTTGCAGTGCCTTCGAATATTGCAAATGTGATAGTAGTGGTCATTGTAGCCAAACTCACAGCGGCAAGTTCGCTGGTCCCTAGTTTCCCAACTACTATCAAACATACTACTGAGAAAAAGTGCTCCAAAATGAATGTAATAATCAATGGTGAGGAATGACGAAATAGCACTTTAGCTTCTCTAACTGGATTCGTTCTCAATTTGACGAAATTCGGAAAATCAGAGCTTATTGATGACATTGTACTGGCTCGCCTTCTTCCTCCATGGACGTATTCTCGAGTGCAATTCTCTTCTCCGCCACCCCATCCTCTTCCTCTTCCTACACCATCCTCTCCTCCTTCCTCTTCCTCTTCTTCATCTTCACTTTGTGAAGTCGCTTCAGACATGCGTCGATGATGTTCTTGCACTAACCACGTATGAAACAGTTCCTGGTCATTTGTTGTTTGTGCACTAGTCAATGAATCTGGTAATGATCTCGAGGTACTAACACTCGCCACATCAGCAACATCCTGATCAGATTCAAATTCAGAACCATTTTCAATTAGTGATAAAAAAGATCTTTGATCATCACCGTCGCCGTATATGAACAAAGGTCGTTGCGTTGAGGGCGGCACAAATATTCGTCGGCGCCTGCTTCCCGTGAGCCCGGTACCAGTATTTGGATTGGCTAATCTATTTATCGACTCAAATAAGACCATACTCTGCTATGTTTAATTAAATCATTAGTATTAACTACTATATATATATATAAAGATCAATTTGGAAAAGAAGAAAAAGAAAAATTCCAAAAATTCCAAAAATCCAAAAAATGAAACATATTGAAGACAGGTGAGTCAAAGAGTGGGAGACTTTTGAAAAAGTCAACCTCAACCTTTTCTACAAAGAGACTAACGTGTAAAAGTATTCCCAATGCCACAAAACTCTCGTATATTTCTGTTTTCTGTTTTCTGTTTTCTTTCTTTCTCTCTCTTTCTCTCTCTCTCAAATCACCATCCATATAGAACCAGCTAGTAAAATGATCAATACAATGGCTGTCAAAGCTCCAGCTCCAGCCTTATCCTTAGTCGTTACAGTTATTTCATTCTTGTTGCTTGTGTCTTTGGAATCAAAACCGGCTTCATAATTAGTCCTATTGGAGCCACCAGATGCAATACTCAATGGCTGTTCAACTATTAAAGACATCATCACTTCTAAAGCAGACATTTGTTCTCCCAATCCGTACACTCCATCCCATCCGTTGAAAGACCAGTTTTCACCACAAGTGACTTGATCATAACTACCGGAACATGACTGGGCTGCAGCCACAGCGCTTTTCTCCAAATATGGTCTAATTTGAGGTTCAAGTTCAGGAATAATTAACATAGTTAACCCAAGACAACGTGAAAATAAAGAGCGGAACGATCTTTGGTCATTATTACACAAGTTGCTTGGTTGACATGTTGTTTCTTGCATGATTTGCTCAGGCGTAAAAAAATAAGACAATGAAGCTTCAACAATCTCTTCAGTACGAGTTCTCCAAATTTCATCACCCGTGAAATTATACAAATAAGCACAACCCGTCATGAAGACTCCATAGGTATATGACCATCTCAAACTGGTGACCACAGTACAGTTACCATCTATTTTGGCACCATCGTAAACACGGAAATTACCATTGTCCTCCTCAGTCAAAAATTTGACATCATCCATCCAGTTCCAAACTCGTTCAGCTGCCTCAATGTATACAGTATCATTACCGGTATATCTGGCCAATCTTGCTGCCATATGGAAAAGACAACCATTCGAAATCGAATTTTTGTAATCGTAACCAGAATTCCAAGTAAATATTTGCCATCTTAAACCACCGCCACAGTGCTCAGTATCCCATCGCGCATTCATTGTATTGAAAATTGCTTGAGCCATTTCTAACCAAGAATGCAGATCTGGATTAGTGAGATTCCGCTCAACGGCTTCCATTATAGCCATTCCCCAAACTCCTTGATCATCATTACCCTCGGTCATTGATTGATTTGAAGGAATGTAGTTATAATTTTCTCCAGCTTGATGGTACATCCCATCATGGATTAGATTTTGCAATGTCTCGTTTTTAGGGTCGCAGAATGTGAAATAATCAACAAGACCTCCAAACGCTTCACCTGCATTCCACCAATAATTTGGTTGTGCAAACATACCAATTACACCTCCAGGCCTGAAACCTTCATAGTAGTTCCACATCCCCTCTTGTACCACCTTTGCCGCAGCACACACAGAATCGTGATTCGTCACGTCTATTTGCAAGCCACAAATAAACTTAATAAAGCATACTGTGAGTATCAATAACAGACAACAATTTGTCTTGAACATGTTCTTCTATAACAGCTATCAACGATAGTCAAATGTGAAATTTTAAATTTCTTCTAGGTAAATAACTAGGTGGTGGAGAATTCTCTAAATACAGGTATTATGTACCCTTTTGTACCCTTTTGTACTCCAACAAAAAAAAAAAGAAAAGGATCAGCAATGTGTAAACTATACACTTGTGCCCAAAACTATGTCTTAATACGTTGACCTTGGATAAACTGATAGAATGTACTAAAACTAAGGCTATGAGAAGTAACAAAAGCTTTGACCATACAATTTTTTCTTTGTTTTATTTTTAGAAATGTCGCATTTTCTTTTAGAAATGTCGCGTAGCAGATGCAGGTTCAAATTATGTAGTTTTATTTTTGCGACACTTTCTTGATAAGACTCACAGTGAGTCACGTGGTTATATACTTTAGACAAAACTACGGCGCTAAAGAAAATTAAGGTTTATAAATTAGTTTCTAGTATAAGCAAGGGGTAAAAAGACTCTTTTGACATTGTTTGCGACACTATCGACGCTATCGTCACTATTAACACTATTAACACTATCGAGCAGAGCGAGATAGTGTTGTAACAAGCTACTGAGTGTTGCCCAGGGCGAGATAGTGTTGTAACAAGCTAATGAGTGCTGCTCGATAGTGTTGTAACAAGCTAATGAGTGCTGCTCGATAGTGTTGTAACAAGCTAATGAGTGCTGCTCGATAGTGTTGTAACAAGCTAATGAGTGCTGCTCGATAGTGTTGTAACAAGCTAATGAGTGCTGCTCGATAGTGTTGTAACAAGCTAATGAGTGCTGCTCGATAGTGTTGTAACAAGCTTATGAGTGCTGCTCGATAGTGTTGTAACTATCTACTGAGTGTTGCTCCACTATCTCGCTCTGCTCAATAGTGTCGCTCGATAGTGTTAGTCAGTGCTGCTCCACTATTGAGTAGACTATAGTTAATGTGCTTTCCTTGACCCCTTTTTATGACTCTTTTCAAGACTCTCTTTTTTCTTATTTTTAGCCTAGTAGAACCTCCCAGCCCCATTCTTTCATTACATTAGTCCAATGAGTTCTTGATTCAATTCCACCCTCGTCGACTTTATTGGGTTGATCACCACCACTGTTCATAATGAACATCAAGTTTTTCAATGGATTATGATACTGATAAAAATGCTTTGTTTTGTCTCTACTTTGTTGGTCTTTGCGTTTCCACACTTCTTTAACAACCTCTACTCCTCTGTCTATACTCCCTAATGCCATTTTTTCCGCTAACACTTTCCATCTTGCAGTACACCAGTCTCTTTCTTCTCCTGGCTCGGCTTCACACGAAGCTACTAAAAGCGGAAATATATGGACAATCCCCAAATTGGACGAAACAGGAATCGATGACAATAGTACAAGTATCTTTTCTGCCAATACATGTGACGGTAAAGATGGAAGCTCGGGAACCCCTTGGTGTAAAAATAGCAATGCAGAGTTTCGATAAGCTTCTGCCGTGGCAATACACGATGCCAAATCCCATGTCTTTTTTAACCCGTTTCCTCCTGCTTCCTGGTCTACTGCACTAGAGTCAATACTTGGAACCCAATCTAGTAGCGCTTGTCTTAATACCGAAGCCTGTGTTATAGTATTCAATGAATTTCTCCTTTTCCAATTTTCTCGTGTTTTCGTCTTTCGAATTTTGGCAACTAAATTGGCAACCTTGCCTATAATTGAGAAAAGCCCTTGCCCACAACCAAGTAGAGGGTCAATGGAATCTGTGTTATATTGAAAACTATCAAACACGTCAAAAAAACTGGGGAAACTTTCCGTGGAGTCGCTTTGCACCGATGATGACGACAGAGAATCAACCTGTTGTTTTTCATTCCTCTGATCCTTATTCAACATTGTTGTTATTGTCGCCACAAGATCAATGCCTTTATCATCATGATTGGCGTCTGCTGTAACTCTAGCCAATACTTCCAAGTAGATCCATGCATTGAGTAAAAACCGGATACTTTGTGGAATAATCACACAGCTTTCATTACGTAAACTATCATGAACCATTTTCTCGTATTCAAGTTGATCGAATAAAATTAATTCAATCCCAATCTTGGACGCTTTCTTGTTTGGAGAATAACGTATAATTGGGGATTGCTTCTGCCGCTCCTCCCAAATTTCCGCTTGACATTCTTTCAACAATGCCAATATCTTATCAATTATACTTTTGGCCCCCTTTAAGTGTGCAATCCCACTAGAAGTATGTGTGCCCCACACTTCTGAAAAAGCCAAGTTCAAACACGTTGCTAGTGCTATGTCTGCCGGCAACTCACAATCGTCACCACTCTCAATTTTGGATAAGCCACTCGCCAACTCCAAAATACATCTTTTCATGTAATTACTTGCACGCGGACGCAATTCCTCTGGCGCACTAGCCAACTCACGTCTACCTGCAAGATGGAAAAGAGTCATCGAGGCAATGGAATTGAAAAGGCAATTGTACTTGCGAGCTAGCGGAACAATCATATTTCTCCATGGATTCTCGTGAGTTCCATTTTTTATTGACATGATGCCCGAGGTATGTTCACAATACAAAAAGAGAATTTGATCCTGTTCTGAAGACTTTGCTAACGATCTAACCAGGTCAGAATCGGGTGACGCCGCTGCCCATGCAACTTGTGCCCGATCTAAAGCCTGTGGTGTCAACAACTCCACTGAGGAAACATCTACTTCTTCGGGATTGTTAGCAAAACTTAATATGGCACTGAGTAATGGAGTACCAAAAACGTCAAAATCAGGATCTTTTGTAGTTTTTTTAGTCATAGATAGCGGCTCTGGGCTAAGTGAAGAAGGAGAAGCCTTGGTGAGCACTAGTGGAGACGATTCTGAAGTCTGTTTCCCCCCTATATCCACCACTGCCATATCAGCTGAAGAAATATTATCATTGTTATTATTGTTGTTTTCATACTTGCTCTTGACGCTTGAGAAGTCACTGAAACTGAATGTTTTGCTATATGGTTTTAATAACGGATTGGTAACATCACTACCACTACGCAGTGGCGACTCTCTTTGCGGCAAACTATATCTTTTTGCACTTGATAGCAGCAGCAGCAGCAGCAGAGTGAATAAAGCAGCGTTATTATTGTTACTATCTACTTCTTCTTCTTCTTCATCATCATCTTCTTCTTGTGCACTTTCAGGATTGAGACCCCTTGAAATCAACTCGCTTTCCTTACTTATTTTAGTGATACTTTTCCCAGTCACCGATAAACTTGCCAATTCTAAATGACGATTTAGCGACTTTTCATTAATCAACAGTTTTGTTTCTTTAAACAGCTTCCATTTGAAGTTCGTTGCATAACCACCACATCTGATATTTTTCTTTGTACAGTTTATACATGCCGGTTTGGTTTCATCGCACTTTAATCGTTTTTTCTTACAAGTCAAACATCCATTTCTCGATTTGGTTCTCGTCACAATCGTAGGAGTTGATGAAGAACAATGTGTTTTATCAAGTGCAAGAGACATACATTCAAAGTATATAAAAGTAAACTACACTTGATAAGACAATAACATTACACTTCTTAGATGCTATTGCCTATCAATTAAATCTACAACTTGTCTCTCTTTACAAAAAAGACTCCAACCTCCCTCTTTCCTTCCCCCCTCCTCTCCTCCCCCTCCCTTCTTCCTGCTTTTCCCTTTGTTTCAATCCTTATCAAAATCTAAATCAATAAATTAAAGTAATCTTAATAAAATTAAGCTTTATATAGCGTTTAGAGTTTCCCAAATAGGCAGAATTTCTCGGCTATAACCAGATTATGGTATCAAGGTTTGTAGTTTTGGTTTGAGGGGGTGCAAAAAACTAAAAAAAAAACTAAAAGTGGAGTAAGAGGGGTGTGGGGGATCAAGATGAGAAAACGTAAATAAGACTCGTTTGTGGGTTTGAACAAAATGCTTTTTATCCTTCTCATTGTACATTTCTATAAAATAACCTCTTAGCTCCTTAATTTTAGTCAATTACAAAGGAATTGATGCCAATTTTAAATCTATAATTACAATTTTGACCGTTAAAATAATTGGTATCATGCAGCAACTCTATTTCCTTGTAATCTGTACTCTTTGTAAGGTATCTTATCCATGGAAAGCATGAGTACTTCATTTGCTCTTCTTCAACAGAAAGATACGATAACTTCAAACCGGAATAAGTAAACATAGGTATTTTGAATGTCAATGCTATGTCGTCACTAACAAAGTTCCTCTTGATATTCTCCATTAAAAGTCGTCTGGCTGTGGTATTTTGATGGTGGCCACCATTTACTCCATAGAAATCATCAAGCTCATTTCGAGCTTCGTCTAATGCATCAGTGTCGTTGTCGTTGTCGTTGTCGTTGTATTTGTAGCTATCGCTATCGTTGTCGTTGTCGCTATAGTTACCGTTATCGTCGTTCTTATTGTCTGTAAATCCTGTTCCCATTAACTCTTCTTTAGTAACTCTTCTATTAATATAGTTTGATATCCTGGTTGGGGTTACTTGTGAACAGCTATGCAAAGACATTTCACACATCATCCTTACCGTTTGTTTACCATCGATACTCTCGATCTTCCATATCAATTCCATACTATCCACTTTCAAAGAAACAACACCATTTTCCGCCTTATATCTCAAATTGGTGTTTCCCAACTCAACTTCAAAAAAAAAGGGGTTCAAAGGAATTCGTACAATCAAGTCCCTGCAGTGACGTCTTCGTGGGAAATTTGTCAGTAGGGTACACATTATTTGTAAGGTCAGATTTGCACTGACCACTTTGAAAATAGGTTTTATTAGTATTAACGGCAATTTCTTCTTATTCTTTAGCTGCTCAACGGTATAAGTCATTAAGATAAATTTATCGTCGGGAGGAATAAATGTTACCAAATTTTCTCTATAAATCTTTGAAAGCTTTATGCATTGATGGAACTGAATATTTCGTATCGGAAACCTATGTTTCCGCTGTTTCTTGTTGTCACTATCATGTACCAGCTCTTCTTCTGTGTCATCTACGTCAGCTTCCTCAGGCACAATTTGGTTTCGCGGCAATGTATCTACATCTAATTGCAAAGATTCGGCAACATCCTTCTCTTTCTCCTTCTCCTCCTCCTCCTCCTTCCCCCCCTCCTCCTCCTTCCCCCCCTCCTCCTCCTTCCCCCCCTCCTTTTCTTCTTCTATGTCCTTTTCAATTGAGGTCATATAACTCTCGTTAAATCCAACGCGACAAATCGGTATACCTGACAAGTACGACTTCACCAAACAAACCCCATACACCTCGTTTCGTTTGACAACATCTGATCCTAAATCGTAAACAAATTCACAATTCTCAATGATATCCACAAATATCTCATTTTTTGCATAAAATATACCCTTAGGTCTCCAGTTAATAGACAGTGAGTATGTTCGTAGGATGGAACTGTTTATAACATCGGATCCTTTAGCTAAAACATCCGTTTTCACAGCTTGATTGTGTGTGGATTTAATGTTTTTGCTACTACGTCTACCTTTCTTATTCTTCTTGCTCTTTTTAGAGTGCAGACCAACTCCGAAAACGCCGCCATCACCATTTTCTTCTTCCACTCCATCATCATCATCATCATCGTCGTCTTTTTCTGCACTGTCTTCTTCACAAGAGTTCATGCGAGACTGATGACCATTCTCTCCACCAAATCTCGCTATATTTGGCTCAACTTTAATATACTCCTCAAGCAATTTATAATCTGTGATTTGCAATATGCCAAAATCCACACACTCGTCAAACAATTCGGATATAAGAACCAGGTTATCGAGAATAGCCTCCTTGGTCAAGGAATTTGCCGATTTTTTGCACAAATAATGTATCAAAATTAAATGGATGTTTTTCAAAAACACAATTACCAGCATCACATTCAAGTTCTTGGGAGTCACCGCCAATATTAGTATTCCATTCTCACATTGGATATATATGTATGATAATTTTTCAATATACAAAATCGGCAAATGTTCATGTACTGATGTACTTTCCAACCTCTTGTAAAACCGCGTCAAAATCTCAACATCCTCCATAAGGTGATCATCGTGAAACCGCCTACTCGTTAAACACTGGAAACTAGACAGGTTTTGAAATATACCACCACTACCATGATGATGATCCATTGGGTAGTGTAGTATGTAAATAGCAGAAACCATATTTCACCTTCTTTCAACCATTGATTATTCAACAAAAATTGAGCCTACTAATAACTCTATTGGCTCAAGTCTAAAAGTTCTCCTCCTAATACTTCAACAACTCTAATACATTCAATATCTATCTATTTCATATATATTTGAGTTGGCGCTTAACTTTTTTTGTTTTTTTCTTTTTCATGGTTGAAAAAAAACCTGGAGAAGTTTCACCTTGGTGAATAGGTGTTGAAGCTCTTGACTAGGAGTTGGTTTGGGAAGGTTAGTATGTCTAAATTGTTGCAAGAAAAGGCCATTCTTGAAGGCATTAAACGGATCAATAATCTTGGTCCGCCATTATGGTCTCTTCATACTATAAATCAAGCTCCTCTTTCTCAAGTTCTTCGAGCTCATTACCAACTAAAGAGTTTTAAAAGAAGTTGGGAATTCTTGAATGTAATAGCAAAACAAGCTAATTTGATGAAACATCATCCAACAATCATCACCACTTACAACAAGATAGATATCGAATTGACTACGCACGATTTAGAGAATAATATTTCTCAACTTGATATCGATTTGGCGCAAAAGATTCATCAGGAATACCTGGAGAATTTTTCATGAAAAATATATATAGATGGGGCAACAATAACTCCCTTTTGGAAAATGGGGGAGGGATAATAACCAAGTGTTGATCTTCCAGTAAAGGGGGGGGGGGGGGGGGTTAACTGTATCTATTATTCTATATAAGATACCGTCTTCACGGCCCGACAATACTTATCACTAACTTCGATTGCCTCGTAGGTTCCTTCGAGACTTGCCAAAACAGTATACTCTCGCTCTAGTATATCCAGTACAGACTCTTTTTCTAGCAACTTTTTAACCTTTTTGTGGCCTCTCTTCACCTCAATAGTTCTTATATATGTGAGCTGGAAAGGTGGCTCACCAACAAATGTGAAGATCAACTCAGTTTGATCTCCTTCGTGTAAATCTTCGATAATGTAGTCACCCTTGTTCACTTCAACGCTCGGCAATTCGTGTACTTCCAACAGTAATGAGTTAAATTTATCCAAAGATGTCGTGTAATCAACCATACATTGGTTTTCTCCAGAGTCAACCAAATTTTTGATATGGAGAACACCAGGCTTTGATGCCAATCTTTCAAAACGGTGATTCACTTCTGCCTTGCGCTCAACATTATTGTACTCATAAAAAACTTTAATTGGAGCCGCTCCTGTAAGGTTGTAGGCAACATGGTCGCCAACGCAGTAATGACTTCTTGATGGATCGGATTTGACAATATTTGGAGGTTCCATTATGGATAAAATATATTTAAGATTCGATTCCACTTCACTTGTGCAACCATTGCCATCTGTGACTTTGATTAGGGATATTGAATAATCTCCAAGGGTAAAAAAGTCCATACTCTTTAGTGCAAAGTGCAGTTCGATAATGTTTTTGAAATGAAGTAATTGTGTGTTTCCGGTTTCTTCATTTTTTACCAAAACGTCGATATCAAATGGATACTCGCCAAAAAATTTCACGGGAATATTACACAAGCTTTCTCCCATGTTTAATTTGTTTTCACATATCTGCGAAAAATGCTTATCTGAAAGAAATTGAACTTTTGGCAAAGCGTTGACCTTGTATAAAACCTTTGGCGTATTTGTCTCAACTACAATTCCCTTACCTTTTGTGTATATACTATCGTAAATACGCTTAAATGTGTGTTCATAAAGCCCATTTTCTTTTGTAAGTAATTTGACCTTGATCAGATCACCTTCAATGGACATTGAACGCGACTCGATCTTGCCACTGGGTAGCTTAATCTCATAGTCTATAACAAACGGAGCTTTCCCTTTTAAACTTAACTTGATTTCATTTTCACATCCAATACAAACAGGCTTCAAGTGTATGGTTGAGTCGTCTCTATGTTGTAAATATTCATTGCCAGGAACAATTGCCAAGCTTGGTTTTTCATGGTAAAATAACGTAACCTTCCTCTCAGAATCGGCAATTTTTCCCTTACATCCATTATTCTCAAAACTATGCAACCAATAAGTGCCTGCTTGCGATAATTGAATCGAGGATCCTTTTATACTGGCACGCTTGATTTGTGTATGATTTGCATCAACGGGTAGATATTTCATGTCAATAAAATCCTTGACATGCGGACCTATTGACGACTTATAATCTAGTGGTACTTCTACATGACCGCCTTCAACAATCATTAGCTGCTCATTGGGTTGTTTTAGTCTAACTTCGGGAATATCTGGTCTACTCACAACCCGAACTGGCTTATTCTGATTCAAAATTCTCACATTACAACCATATTTGTCCTTTGCATCTCTCAATACAACTTCATATGTCTTACCAATCAAAGAAGGCGGCGTCCTGATTACAAAGTTGCCTATCACATTATCCTCATGCGTGGACTTTATCAAATTTTTCTTGGACTGCGGATCAATAAAATCAAATGCAAAACTAAACGGATCATTGCCTTTAAAGTCAACAGGTATACTAGCAGATTCCCCATAGCATGTGTATAGTGTTCTCGACAGTGGCTTGAGGAAGATCTCCGATGCTTGCCTGAAGTACGTTTGGTATGAGAAGATTGTTTCGTTAACCGGTATTGGACGTTGATAGTAATTCGCGTCCCTTATGTTCTTAAAAATGATGGTATAACTTCCCTCGCTAGGAGGTCTAAACTCAAAAGAGTAACTATTCTGGTGGGAAAGTATTTCCCTCATTTTTTTGCCTGAATCAGAGACAATAGGTCTTAGAATGCCCGAATTGTTTGAATAAATTTGATATTGAACTTTGAATGGTGCTTTTCCTGTCAAGTTGAAGTCAAATTTGTATCCAACCACTCCAAGACATTTATCACTCACGGGTACTGCAATGATATCAAGATTGGGAGGTGTAGCTAGTTCAACCTCTACAGAAGATACGTTGGCAATTTCACAAGGACAAAAAGCATCATGAGCATTGAGCAATTGATAAGAGCCTGGTTGGCTAATGGAAATCCCCCTTTGCATAGCACTTACAGAGTTGAATTTTTGGGTAAAATTTGACCTATTGTTGGTAGTAGTAGTAGCGGCAACCGTTATTTCAATTGGGAAATCAGAGGCTTTGAATTGATCCATATGAGAAATACCAAGAGCCTTTGTCCCATTAATGATCAATTGCTTTTCTGGGTTTGGATCGAACAAACCAATAGTGGGCGATTTCCTCAAATTCAACCTGAACCACACGTCCAAATCTTTTGAAAGCGGTTGATATCGATGAATGTTTCCAAATATATCCAGCACAGATTTCAAATGAAATTCGATAACTGTATCTGCACCCAAATCTTTTGGATGCAGATTTTGCAAAACAATTGGCTCTAGTGAATTTCTCAACAATTTTACTGTTCGCAAGTAGCCAAAGTCTGTTTTCAAGCGATCTTTACTATTATCGGCATCTTGGCTAATACTGATATTGAATGACTTGAAATCATTGCCATTTACTCTTATTTCAAGGGCTACAAATAATTGCGGTGGCCCTGATACTTCCAACCATGGAATTGGGAATGTTTTTTCTTCTAAAGACGACAAACACATAAAGGTTTTACTTTTGTCAAAATGTGGCGGGTAATAGAATCTTGCCAGTGGGCACTCGGCTATCATAAACTCGGACTTGTACATTCTAATACTATTCCCCTTTTTGTCTAGAACGTTTTTCAATCGGTAGAAACCGGGCTCCCTTATGGGAAACTGTGCGTAAAAAATATTATTGCTATTCTTGTTTTTGTTCTTGTTCTTTGAATCTCCCCCGAGTTTATTCAAGTGCAAGTTGTTTTTTCGAAATAGCTTGTTCAACGCATGGCCTGTGTAATTATGCAATTTTATCTCATTGTTTGGAGTTGTTTGCTGGACTTGTAAAAATCCAATTCCAGACGTGGTATTGAACTCAACTGGCATCTCAATCTCAAACCCATTTTCGGACCCCAAACACGTTTGGTCAATATGGAAGGGGTTCATTTTAGCTGAAGAATCGGGCAAGTATTTAATGGTCAATTGTCCCTTAAAGTGAGAGTCCATGTCAATGGCATTTGCTCGAGTAATAGACTCCCCAACGATATTCAACTCCTTTTTCTGAAGCAAAACCTTCCATACCGGCAACACAATGTACGATAAAAGGGGCACAGCCCAAGAACTCACCAAAAACATTGAAATACCATTCATGAGTAAAATGCAAACAATTGTTTGCAATGGTGAAAAATTGATATGAGGTATTTTGAGGATGGGTAAGAGCCATAGAAATGTACCATCTATCACAGCATACTTTAGTATAAAAGTGAAGCTCGATAAGCTAGTTGAAGCAAGATCTGATTTTAATAATACTAAATCATAAATTTTCCAACTTTGTAATAGTATAAATACTGAAAAAACGAAAATCCGCTGCGAAGCTGCGTCCAACACTTTTGTCGAAATCAATGGTTTAGGAAAATCTCGTTCACGACTACGTCGCCTAAAACGTCTATTCGTCTCATATCTCTGTACCATGTGCCTTTTGAACCCCTGTTTATCTTCAAGATGATCATATAGCTTATAACGATGATGATGGAAAAAAAACATTTCAATTCTTCCCAATGCGGAAAAAATATGCCGATGCCATCGACACTATCGACACTATCGAGTGACACTATCCAGTGACACTATCGAGCAAAGCGAGATAGTGGAGCAGCACTTAGTAGTGATACTAGCTCGTGACACTATCGAGCAGAGCGAGATAGTGGAGAGTGGAGCAGCACTTAGTAGTGATACTATCGAGTAACACTATCGAGCTGAGCTAGTCGACACTATCGAGCTGAGCGAGATAGTGGAGTAGCACTTTGTAGACACTATGGACACTATTGAACAGAGTGAGATAGTGGAGATTCGTTTTTGGCGCTATATACCATGTACCTCTTATAGCTAGTGTGCTCCACTATCTCGCTCTGCTCGATAGTGTCAAGATGTAGTGTGCTCTACTATCTTGCTCTGCTCGATAGTATCGATAGTGTCGTGCGAAATGTAAGAAATGAGATGGATAGCAGCTACTTGAGGGGGTTGGACAATACCTTTGAGTATATTGAAATTGTAGAGATGTAAAAAAGAATCAACTCATAGTTATATATTTGGCCCTACACTATCAAGCAGAGCGAGATGGTGGAGGAGTACTAACTGACACTATTAAGCAGAGCGAGATGGCGGACGAGCACTAACTGACACTATCTTGCTCTGCTCGATAGTGTCAAGATGTAGTGTGCTCCACTATCTTGCTCTGCTCGATAGTGTCGGCGCTCGCTGGTAATTATCGACTATTCAACATTAATCCATTTACCATGCTTTTTTTCCTGAATCACTTTAATAGCAGGCAAGTCCCAACCTATACCGCCCGTACCTACTGCAGCGCCGAACCTTGGCACAACGTAGCACTCTCTTCTAGTAACAGACAAACTCTTTGGTGCATAGGGATGACCCAATGGCTTCGAGTAAGAAACTAATACCGAATTTTTGGCAACGTTTTCAAGTTGTTCACCGCTGATATCCACTAATGGCCTCATTCGGATCCTCGTCTTTTGATCTTCATCAGGTTTTTTCATGCTAAGATTCAAAAAAACAATATAGGGACTGGGCATACTTCTTGACCTAGCCATTAATGAGTTTGCATGTATGTAGACAAAAGGATCTTGGTCCAATGGGAAAACTGGACAATATGGTATATTTGTGACTCGTGTTTTGTTACTGACTTTGGCATCAACTGAAACCAAATCGCCTCGTATGGCAACTTGGTCTATAAATCCGGATGCAATCATCTGTTTGATTGCATCAATCTGTTTTTTGGAAGGCACTGCTAATGCCCCCTTGTTTCGAGTTAACAACGACAAATCAGTTCCTGGCATCAAATACAGCTGAACAATAACGCTAAGCTGTTTCCTCAATTTCTGAATCTCTTCCATAACTTTGGGTCGCAAAAAATTTGATTCCATATACTCCTGCAGCTTTCCTTGAGGAACATGATCTAAAGCACAAACTGTTGATAATAACATTATGCACTCACTGGAGGCATCCAACTTGGAAAGAATCGCTCTGGAATTGAAAAATTTACTCCGCAATTCCTTGCATTCCTCTTCGGTTCTATTCGCCATTATCTCATTTTCTGATAAAAGCGGGTCTCCAACAGACAAAGCCGAAACTATGGCAATCACGTAATTTAAGCATTCTTGCTGGTTTGCCGTAATAAGAATTCTAGCAAATCTTGGACTCAAAGGAAATGAAGCCATCTTCTTTCCTAGATCCGTGATCTGCTTCTGCTTGCTATCAAGAGCGCCAAGCATAACAAGTAGCCGTTCTGCTTTATCAAGTGCAGCTCTATCGGGAGGCGTGGGGAAAGGGAAATTGGTTATTTGGTCAATTCCTAAAGACTTCATGCTCAACACGACACTCTCAAATGGAGTTCGTAATATCTCAGGAACACTGAATTGTGGGAAAAATTCCTCAAAGACAGCAGAAGAATATAGACGATAACAATGTCCTGGACCAGTTCTTCCAGCTCTTCCAGCTCGTTGATTAGCAGAGGCTTTCGAAATCCAGTCAACTTCAAACGACTGCACCCCATTTTCTTTGTTGTACTTTCGTTCTTTTGCTCGACCACAGTCAATAACATAACGTATCCCTGGGATTGTTAAAGAAGTCTCGGCAACATTTGTTGAAACAATACATAACCTACTATTTTTTGGTGGAGTGTCAAAAACTTTCATTTGTTGTTTGGTAGGTAATAAGGAATACAACGGCAAAACATGGAGTGGGCCAACAATAGGCTCCTCCCCCTCCCCAAGCTTTGTCTCTTGAACTTCATCAAAACCTTCCTCTTCTTCTTCCTCCTCCTCCTCCTCCTCCTCCTCTTTTTCGTTGTCGTAGTCGTCATATTCCTCATAAGATTCCCTCGTGTTTTCTTCAACACTAAATTCAAAATCTTCAGCTTCTTGTTGTACGTTCTCTGACAAACGCATCTTTGTAGTATCAGTGTCATCTTGGCCATTTGGTATACTACTTTTCAGCGAGAATTCGTCGCGTAGCTTTTTCACCAAGGCAGAAATTTCGGACTGACCTGTTAAAAATATCAAGATACCTCCTGGTGGAAGTTTACGATGTATTTTGCAAGCTTTTCTAAAAGCTTCCTCCATGTAGTTGAATTGTGTTTTCTTGTTGAAATGGATTGACACAGGATGTTGCCTGGCCAGAACGTTTATTATTGGAGGTGCTTTTTGAAATAGTGCCAGGTTCTCTGCAAAATCAGAGACTCTCAATGTGGCTGACATGATCACCAATTTCAAAGGTTTGGCCTTCTCTGTATCCTGGGTATAGTATTTTCTTCGCAATTTGACAACCCTGGTCAACATCCCAATCAAAATATCCGTGTTGATGTTCCTTTCGTGTGCTTCGTCAATAATGATAACTGAATACTTTGTCAACAAAAAGTCTGACATCATCTCCCTGAGCAATACACCATCTGTCATAAACTTCAAGGCTGTGCCCTTCTCTGTACCTTCGTTCTTGATGGTAGAATCGAATCTAATTTGATATCCTACTTTGCTTCCATGATCACCCAACTCATTTTGAACTCTTTTTGCCATAGAAACTGCGGCAACTCGCCTAGGTTGGGTCACCCCAATCATACCTGGATGTAGGGTATGCTTCAAGTTGCCAAATCCAGCCTCATACAAAAACTGCGGAACTTGAGTTGTTTTACCAGATCCTGTTTCCCCGCATAGTATAATGCAATCGTGGTGATAAATAGCCTCCATGATCCTATGTTCCTCAGCAAAGACGGGTAATGCAATGCGCTGCTCTTGGACATTGTCTGGTCTTTGTACATCCACCACAAAAGCATCACGTTTCAAATTTTCATCAATTGGTATATAATCTTCCTCATCGGATGGATGATCAAAGTCTTCACTATGAAATGTTGGCTTTGAGTATTTCTTTTTTATGTCATCAGATATTTCCGCTCTAAGGGGCACATTTTCCCTCCCTTCAGCACGTTTCAACTGCTCCTCAGCCCATTCCTTGAATGAACTTGCAACACTCGAGTGTTTTGGTTTGTTGCTCATAAGTCTTGGTTCATTCTCTTCATCCTCCTCGTCCTCGTCGTCTAAGGAGGTATTATCATCCTCACTTTCATCCTCAATACTTTCTTCTTCTTCATCAACTGAAGATCCATTTTCCAGTTTCTCAGTTTCAGACATTTTGGGTTTATTTGTCAAACTTTTGTCTGCTTGTAACTCTCCAGTAATGCTCTCATTATCTTGTTCTTGTTCTTCTTCTTGTTCTTCTTCTTCTTCGTCTTCTTCTTGTTCTTCGTCTTCTTCTTGTTCTTGTTCTTCGTCTTCTTCTTCTTCTTCTTCGTCTTCTTCGTCTTCTTCGTCATCATCATTGCTTTTCTCATCGCTTACCAATTGTTCATCAGAAGAACTAACAAAGTCATCCAAATCCTCCTGCATTCGGTGCTTTTTCTCTTCAAGCTCTAGTCGCTTTCTCCAACCATATTTCTTCTTAGAAATGGGTTGTTCTCTTTTGACGAGGGAGATGTTTCGAAATCCAAATCCAATACCAGAACCCCCAAACTTCGAGGGCCTATTGTCAATAAAGGTTGATGTTGTTGTCAGGTTGATTTCATGTTCTTTCTTGTTATTAATATCATCATCTTGCTCGCTTTCATCTGCGGAATATTCTTTCACTTCTCTAGGCTCGTATAATACTTCTTGAGTGTGTTCATCAGCCCTGCCTTGTTTCTCTAGACTCAATGCTTCTTCCATTTCCTCCCTTCTAGTCAATTTTCCCTTCCCCAAGTCTTTTAGTGCAGATAAGTTTGAGGTATCCATCTTTGTTTCAGCAAGTTTCTCCAATAATAGTTTTCTCTCTTCTCTTTTAAGTTGGTGGTCTATGTACTTGTCCAACCTTTTCTTCTTTGCCCTTGATAGCTTAACCTCCTTGTCATTTGGGGAAAAAAGTCTCTCTTCCATCGCTCGTTTTCTTCTAAGGCGCTCATCTTCTGGTATAACTTGTAAAATTTCAGCATTAGGGTCTTCTTTATCAGCCTGCGACAAAGTATCCAAACGAGTATCATCTCCTTCTTCTTCTTCTTTTTCTTCTTCTCGTTGTTGTGTGAAAAATTGCTTATTTCTAGCCCTCTTTAATGCCGCTTGCTTAGCAAGCATTCCTGATCTAGCTTTCTCATTGAACCGTTTTCTATACTTCCCCATCGCTATACTAGCATTATATGAAATATTCACGTATTCTATTGATGATCTTTTTTTTTTTCTGTCTGAGATGAGATGAGATGAGATGAGATGAGATGAGATGAGATGAGATGGATTTATGATTTTATTGATAAACCAGGTGTAGCACACTTGGAAAGAAAGAGTGGGGTAAAGGTGAAGAGACTGTAAGGTCTGACTTTATCCAGATATTTCTATGTATTTTTCTAGTTGACACTTTGGTCATTGAAAAGTATTTCACTATCGAGCAGAACGAGATAGTGGAGCAACACTTTGTAGACACTATCGAGCAGAGCGAGATAGTGGAGCACACTAGCTGCCACCGACTAGTTCTGCTCGATAGTGGAGCCACCGACTAGTTCTGCTCGATAGTGGAACCACCGACACTATCTTTCATTGAATCTATATGAGGATTTTCTATAGGGGTGGGACAATAAGAGGTATAGGAACAATTGAACAAATCCATACTACATTCTGTTTTCCCTTTAGCCGACACCCTTGTTGGGTTTTGTTATCCCATTTTCAAGGCCGGGGGTACTACATACTGCTCCACTAGGGAGCGAAGCGAGCTAGTGTCGCCTAAAGTAGTGTTGATACTACATACTGTTCTGCCTTCAGCCTAAAGTAGTGTTGATACTACATACTGTTTTGCCTTCAGCCTAAAGTAGTGTTGATACTACATACTCTGCCTTCAGCCTAAAGTAGTGTTGATACTACATACTGTTTTGCCTTCAGCCTAAAGTAGTGTTGGGTTTTGTTGTCCCATTTTCAAGACCGGGGGGCACTACATACTGCTCCACTAGCTCGCTTCGCTTCCTAGTGTCGCCCCTGGAACCCTTTTTTTTCGCAGCAATAGAAAAGACGTGTAAAAGTTCCAAGTTGTTAAGAGCCGCGCGATCTTCCACCAAATTCAGTTTTGTTAGTGGCTCTTTTTTATTCTAGATATCAAGTTATATCAAGTTCAAGTAGGGATGTCTTCCATAGATATACACAAGCATTTGATATGTTGCACGTTAACGATAAATTCCACTACTCTATACACTTACGAAAACCAGCAGCTTACGTCACATCTCAACAAGTTAAATTGTTCAGAGATAATATCTCAAGAATTAGGGCTTATCAATTCGTCAAAGACATTGGTTGGCTCTATCCCAGTTTCAACAAATACGTCGCTTAAACTTTCGCTATACTTTATGAAGAAATTCCTCAATATTGATGGCAGTCGCGATTTAATCACAGTTGTCGCTATAGCACATGTCGATGTGAACAAAACTTTTATATTAATCGTTTTGAGAAATATCATGGATAAGTACATTGAGTTTAAGATGAGGCAGGAGGATAATAAGAGCGACCGGACCCAAAAGTCGAAACCAGGAGAGTTCAAGTTGTTTATGAACCAGATCATCAAGTATGAGGAGATGAACTATAATCTGAATGAACAAGTATATGGCTATGGATCAACAAATGGAAACGATAACGAAGCTGATGCCGAAGCCAGCGGCAACAACAACAGCAACAACAACACTGGGTTGATCAACGCTAACCAGCTACTATTGGCTAATGAGGAAGTGGGAGAAGTGAGGCAGTTGATGCTAGAGAACATAAACAAATTATTGAAACGTGGGGACAAGATTAACTCCCTAGTTGATCAAACGGACAGATTGAACACTTCATCGCTGCTTTTCCAAAAAAAAGCCCAGCAGATCAAAAGAAAAATGTGGTTCCACAAAACGAAATTTATTGCATCAATTACAGGCGGGGCAATGATTGTAGTTTACTTGCTTATTGGAAGTGAATGCGGTTACCCCTTATTTGACAGCTGTAGAAGCTAGAGTAATACTTGCATGTAAGATCATAATTCTTCATTATCGCTCAGTTGGTTGATCCCTTCTTCTTCTTCTTCTTCTTCTTCTTCTTCCATTTTCTCGCCTTGTAAGTCGTCTTCATCTTTAGAAGATGCAGCAATGGGGTTCATTAAAACAGCCTCCTCTTCCTCCCCAGCGTCGTCTTCCTCAATGTCGTCCTCAATGTCGTCCTCAACATGACCCTCATCTTCCTCTACTTCGTCAATGATGATATCATCATCTTGTCGCTCCTCGTCAGATTCTAAACCTTTAACATTCTCGTCGTCAGATGCTTGACTCTCAGCTTCCTGCACAAGACCAGGCTTGTCCTTTCCTTCACTTATTTTTGCCCTCTTGGCTTTGTCCTCATCCCTCTCTCCCTCTTGGCCCTCCTCCTCTTCCTCCTCCTCCTCCTCTTCCTCCTTGAGGCTCCTCTTTTCCTCCAACTTCTTTTGTCTTTTCATCTTCACAATTGCTTCAAAACTACCCAACTTCTGTTTGATTTCCGGAATGAATCCAGAAAACTCGGCTCTTTCTAATGCACCCATCATATCCTGAGCAGTAACAGTTTTACGTCCAGTATCCTTACATATCGGTCTCGCGTGGAAAAGAAGATAACTCACAAAAACCGTCGCAGATCGCTGGAGCGCCAACATTGAGTCCTTAGCTAATATCATACTATTTTGACCTTGTTCATCTAATAAGATCGTTTTCGCTAGTTTCTGAAGTGTTGATCTTGGAAATAGGATATCTTCTATAGATACAAGTTCCAATTCTTTCTGCCGCTGCGTAGTACTAGGATCCCCATTCTTCTTCCATCCTTTTGGCGGCATTATTGACAACTACTCGACTTTGGTTCTGGTACTATGTAGTTTGTTTTTTTTTTCTTTTTTTTTTCATTTTTCATTTATAGAATCTCACGCGTTGATCTTAAGCGCCGTATAAACTTCTTTTTGTATAAGGCCATCTCAATTGGAATTTTCATTTGATGCGTTTAAGTTACCCCCTATCAACTTACACGTGTATAGAGAAAAGCTGGGGCTATTAAGAGAGACGGTGACTATCCGAAGACTAGCTGTGACTAGCAAGACAAAGCTGTGAACATTTAATAACTGTGTGACTATCAAAAAGGGGGAGACTGACACCACTCCATGGGTTTGAATGCTGAGAACAACTACTTTTGAGTCCCCGAAAACTGTGACGGCAGCTTCTAAAGCGGTAACTTTTTATGGTCAATGCAAAAAACCAAGTATTGGGAAGGTTTTGTTTGGAAAATATGAGTTTGAACCATGGTTTGGGAACGCGGCATATTTTTACCCGCACGAAGGGCCCCACGATGTGTTGGGATTTGAATATGCCAACCAGATAGCCTCCAATCCCACGTCCCGAATGCGGCTGAAGGCCGCTTATAATGAGAAGGAGTACTGGATAGAGAATTTGACGGTTTGCGAATATTGTTTCAAATACAGCGCTAGGCGAGACGAAGTGACTAATCATACACGGCGGTGCAAACTCAATAGAGCTAAACCTAATATCGGGAAATTGGTCTACTATGATTTCCACAAGGACATAATTATTAGGGAGATAAGAGGGTTTCAAGAACCTTTGCTTTGTCAAAATCTATGTTTGTTTGGAAAGTTGTTTTTGGACGACAAGTCAGTATATTACAATATTGACCATTTTAACTTCTACATTTATTACGGAAAAGACGGTGAAGAAAACTTTAAACCCATGGCGTTTTTCTCAAAAGAAATGATATCATACGAGCTGGCAAACAATTTGGCTTGCATCTGTGTATTTCCGCCATTTCAACGCAGACATATTGGTGCAATGTTGATTGAATTTCTGTACAAAATTGCAAAAAGCTTGTCTGAAGAGAGCAGTGGTCCAGAAGTGCCCCTTTCGCCTTTTGGAAAGGTTGCTTATTTGAGATTTTGGTCCAAAAGTGTTGCTTCGATATTGACCAAAAAACAAAAGGCCTCTAAATCTTTCACTTTGGAAGAGTTATCAAAAACAACTGGTTATCGAAAAGAAGATATCTTGTATACCCTAGAGCATATGAATATTTTAGTGTTAAAGCCCAACAATGAACTTATTATATCAATGCCTCGATTCAAGAAGTGGATAGCGGCTAATAAATACAATCCCAAGCTGCAACATGACTTGCTTGAAGCCAAGTACATGCACTTTTAAGTGTAGTAGCAAAATTATCATAAATCAAAGAGGAAAGAAAAAACAAAACAAAACAAAACAGATATAGACGTAATGTTATTGTTTATATATATGATGTATATATGACCACACCCTCCCCCACCACACACACACACACACGCACACACACACGCACGCAGACCTCTTAACGGAGTTGCAGGAATGCACCCAATAAAACTGAGGATGGTAAATCATTATTCCTATTCTTTTCAAAAACGTTCCAGAATCTCAATGTCTCATCACCTGCACCAGTGACTATTGTTTCACCGTCTGGTGATAAAGATAAATATAACACTCTATAGGTATGACCCGTCAATTGAGCAATCTGTTGCATCGACGGATACTTCCACACAATGATCTGGTTTCTTGAATAACCATGAGTGGAAACGAGCTCATTAGAGTTTTTTGACCAAATCAAGTTGCAAACTTGAGAGCCGGTATTGATATCATGAATCATATTCCCCGTCAACGTGTTCCAAGTCTTGATTGTTTTGTCGGCTGTACCGCCTCCGGAAGCTAGTATTCCTCTTTGATGTGGTGACCACGCAATAGCTTTGATAGCAGCAGTATGACCAGTAAACTGATATAACGGTTTAGTATTCAAACCTTCCCATACAAACAAATTATTGTCGTTGCCACCACTAGCCAACTTATTTTCCTCAACATTCCACTTGAGACCACAAATTTCTTGCTTGTGGCTCTCTAATTTATTCACGAAATGATCCTCAATTCTAACGTCTCTATTTAGTATGGTTCGATCTCTAGACCCGCTCGACAATATATGCTCATTCCAAGCCAATGAGCTAACACGTAACGAATGACCCGTCATTGTTCTTACACATTTTATCTTTGTCGCGTCCCAGATTTCAACCAATCCTCTTGATGTGCCTATGGCCAAATGTGAGCCTGAGCCAATCCAGTTTAGACTAGTAACTTTATCCTTATTTGCTAAATTGCACAATCTGTCGACGGATTGAGTTGCCCCGTCCCACAAATAAACACTGTCCCCTAAACCAACCGCTAGCACATCTTGTTGACCCCAGTCTATTAGGTTTAAATAAAAGTCATCTGAAAGTTCTGGTGCATCAAGCACCCTATATGGCACTTTCGATATTGTGCGGGGCTTTTTCTGCGGCGATAGTAGTAGCTTTTGTGAGTCTTGTCGCACTGGAGACAAGGAATATAGTTCTTGTTGCAAATCTCGTGATATTGGTCGTGTTTTCTTGGGCGATTGGTATGTGAATAAATTAGTTCTTCTGCGTGGAGTAGATATGCCATCTTCGTTATCATAAGCAGTAGTTCCGGTGGTGGTGGTGGCAATGGATGATGACGACGAGAACGAGTTTGTACCAGAGACATGATGATGGCTATTTGTAGCAATTGAAGAAAACGATGAACTGGTAGGCACTGAAGATAACGAATTTGAGCCGGATAATCTGGTAGGAGTGTCTGAAACAGCAGATATTGGTCTATTATTATTATTGTTGTTGTTGTTGTTGTTATTATTATTATGTCCCTGACTCACGGGGTTGAATCTAATCCCACTACTCAAACTCGTACTTGTCAATAAATTTGCTGTCACCGTTGGCACATTATCTCCAAAGAGCTCAGCTTTCAAAACCGTTGAAAAAGTTCTATTGGCTTCTTCTTCGCGTCTGCGTTCGATCTCATTGTCTCCGTTGTTATTATTACGCAAGTCCGGTAGGATTTCCTCGTTGGTTAGACTAAATGCTGTTTGCAAATCTACCCCGGTTCTATTTGGTATATATCGGTCACTAAATATGGGGTTATTATTTCTTTTTCGCGATGGAGAAGACGAAACTATAGATGGAAGCAAATCACTTCTCTTGGTTGACCGTGACGGCGAGCCGGGTGTCTCAAATGGATGTAGCGACCCTTTGCCATACTTATTGTTCATTGTTTTTACCTTTTGATATGCTATTCTAGTGATTATATTACTCGCAAAAAACTTTACTTTTCATTGTGGTACCTTTTTTTTTTTCGGGTACTTTTTGCTGCTACCATCCAGACACAGTAGCCAGGATAAGGGTGAGGAAAGGGGGAAAGAGGGTGAGGAAAGAGGGAAGGAGGTTAAGAAAAGAGGGTAAGAGGTTAAGGAAAAGGGTATAGAGGTCAAGAGAAACGGTCAATGTGTTTTTTTCGATATTGAATTATAAAATACAGTAAGCTAGTTGTGAAAGTACTATGTATACAGGTTAAACGAAAAGTGTGCGACAACTATAACAACTTACTATTAGCGATTTCGATACTTGTGGTAGCTTTAAATGCTGTCAATATTGGCTTTTAGCAGTAATGCTGACTTCTAACAGGATGTGTCAATAAAGTACTAAAATCAACCACTATCGAGCAACACTATCGAGCAACACTATCGAGCAACACTATCGAGCAGAGCGAGATAGTGTTGTAACAACCTAAAAAGCTTTAAACACTTTCGAGCAACACTATCGAGCAGAGCGAGATAGTGTTGTAATAATATAAAAAGCTTTGAACACTATCCACCAAAGCGAGATGGTATTATAACAAGCTAATAAGCTTTGAACACTATCGAGCAGAGCGAGATGGTATTATAACAAGCTAATAAGCTTTGAACACTATCGAGCAGAGCGAGATGGTATTATAACAAGCTAATAAGCTTTGAACACTATCGAGCAGAGCGAGATGGTATTATAACAAGCTAATAAGCTTTGAACACTATCGAGCAGAGCGAGATGGTATTATAACAAGTTAGTCGGTACTGCACCACTATCTCGCTCTGCTCGATAGTGTCGCTCAATAGTGTCTCACAGTGTTGTCTCCAGTGTGGTAGCAAGCTAGTAAGTACTGCACCACTATCTCGCTTCGCTCGATAGTGTAGCTCGATAGTGTCGTGCCTAATGTTTCATGAACAGCATCAAATCGAGCGACTCAAGACTCACTGAACTGCCTCTCACGTTAGGCTCTTTTTCTTTCTTCACTTTTCCTTTCCTACTCAACAGCTCTACTTTACGCTTGGGCTCCACTTTCTTCTTCTTAGGCTCCACTTTTTTCTCCTTAGGCTCCACTTTTTTCTCCTTGGGCTCCACTTTTTTCTCTATCACCTCATAATGTACATAATTGCAGGTCAAACACTTGCTTCTTAGCCTCCTCCTTGCCCCCTTCTGCCCATACTTGATCCTATGTGTTTGGTTCACTCCAGGTATTTGTAATGCTCCACATCTTCCACAGATCTTGCGTCTTATCACTGGATCATGGTAATCATTATTGTACTGTTCAAATTGCACACTATACTGTTTATGAACTGGATTGGTGACACTATGTATAAGATTATACATATGCGCAGCCCTGCTAAGATCGTTCATAGGATTATAGATTCTAGATTGTAGATTATAGATTGTAGGATTGTAGGATTGTAAGATTGTAGGTTGTAGATTGTAGAAATTGAAAGAAAAAAGATTGCAGCACGAGAGTTTCGCGTATGGTCTCCCACTGTCGAGCGAGACTATCGAGCAGAGCGAGACTATCGAGCAGAGCGAGACTATCGAGCAGAGCGAGACTATCGAGCAGAGCGAGACTATCGAGCAGAGCGAAATAGTGTTGTAACAAGCTACTAGGTGTCGCTCCACTATCTCGCTCTGCTCGATAGTGTTGTTTCTCCCTCTGCTCAATAGTAACTCCAACCACCCTTCTCTTACTTTAAGAAAATTGAGAACAATTGATCTATTCGATAATATAAAATAAAATATGACAAAAAAAAAGAAAAGGAAAGCTCCTGACTACCCCCTAAAAACATTGTACTAGAGAAAAATTATTACCAATTGTTGAAAATATAGATTTAATTAAAGGTGATGTATTAAACCCGTGTGCTTTACAACAACGGACACTATCGTGCAACACCTCGTAGCTTGTTTCGACACTATTGAGCGGAGCGAAATAGTGTTGCTCGATAGTGGAGCAACACCTAGTAGCTTGTTTCGACATTATCGAGCAGAGAGAGATAGTGTTGCTCGATAGTGTTGCTCAATAGTGGAGCAACACTTAGTAGCTTGTTTCGACACTATCTCGCTTTGCTCGATAGTGCTGCTCGATAGTGTTGCTCGATAAGGTCGCTCGATAAGGTCGCTCGATAAGGTCGCTTGATTGTTCATGTGTCTGTAGACACATTTAGGGCCAAAGTTTCCTCAAAAGTGTTTAGAGGAAGGGGCAGATAAAATTAATGTAAAAAGAAGCGAGGAGATGTATAAGGCAATTTATTAGCAGCGGAATCACCCAGTGCGATGATTCTCTTTATCAAAATCAATGACAGAATGGCCCAAATAAACAGTTTTGGTCTTTTTATTTTGTTTCATAACTTGTTTAAAAATATCCATTAATTTGCATGTCAAAGGTTCCTCAAATACAAACACGTTTTCGAGAGATGAATACATACAATAGTACAAGCCTGGAGACTAACCATATCTAGTCCCATTGAAAAAATCTACTATTGTTGGTTCTTAAATGGGTAATATTTTGAAAACCTTTGATTTCGATCGCACGTTTTGGACTGGCTGCGAAAAACAGAAAAAAAAATATTTAGCATCAACCAAGCAATACTTCCAAATTTCCTCTTTAAATTGCACAGGGAGAATTGACACATTATATATCTTTCTTTTTCAGTAAAACTATACTTAAACCGTTCTTAAACCGGTTCGGATTTGGAAGGCAAGATGTGAATCGGAAATATATATATATATATATATATAATGTGTAGGACTTTTCTCTTTTCAAAATTGAGTCTCCATTTTCTTTAAACAAGGATGATTCTCAAACCCACAGCATTTTTAATAGCTTTACAAACAGTTATAGCGGTACCATTGGCGTATCCACAAAGTTTTCAGTTCGATCTTGTCTTGAAAGACTTGTACTACATCCAAGATTTATATCTAGGCACGCCACCTCAAAAACTAGAAAATACAATCTTGGATACTGGATCAACCGATTTGGTTTTGCTTACTCCTTATTTCAAACCCAATGATTCATCTACTTTTCACAACACAACTAATGAGTTTGAAGGAGTATACGGAACAATCGCCCCCTTTATTATGTACCAAGCATCAGATATCTTATCGTCACCAAATGGGTTTTTAGTTAACAACGAGACATTTGGTGTTTCCAACATTTCCTCTAATGATTTTGATGGTCATTACGGTATATGTGGTGTAGGATTCACAGCTACCGAGTTTATTCAGCCAGAGTACAAGAGTTTTCCTTATCTCCTTAAGGAACAAGGTCGTATTGAAAGAGTTTTGTTTTCCATTGATGGTAAGCCTCAAAATGGTTCAATAATATTTGGTGGCATTCATAGTGGAATATTCCAAGGATCATTAACAAAAGTTCCCATGATTGAAAGAATTAGCTCCAAAACCGGTCAAAAAGCTGGATATTATCTAGTGCCAAACTTTACAGTCAATGAGATTAAATTAGGAGATATCGTCATCTCCAATGAAAACACATTATATACCATTGATAGTGGAGCTAATGTATTTGCTCCACCTGATCCAGTGTTGGCTAATCTTTTTGTAGCAATTGGAGCAGACTCATTCAGTGACGATGATGAAGGGTACACTTATTTCAACGTTGAACAGGTAAATGGCAAACAATTGAGTTTCGATGTACAAGGTTTTGAGTTGAAGTTCCCCTTGAAAGATTTGATTCAAGATACTAGGGAAGTAAATGGCACTACATATGTTGGTATTCCTCAATTTACAGTTGATATCGGAGTCAATGCTGATACTGGTACTTTACCAAATTTCCTACTACAATATTATTATACAGTTTGGGATTACGAAAATCATCAGATGTATTTTGCAAATTACAGCTCGATTGATCAAGGATCGAAAGGTAAAATTGGCGTTGCTTCGGGAACAGATTTGCCTGTGCCGACACAAAATCCACCTCATCCATTAGCTACTTATTCTGTAGTCTACAATCCAAGTTTAGAGACAACCTTGACTGCTTCACCTACTAGTGACGGATATAAAAATAGTTCGAGTGTAACTGGTGCAGAACACACCACCTCGGTAACTGAAGCAGAACACACCACCTCGGTAACTGAAGCAGAACACACCACCTCGGTAACTTTATCCAAAACATTGACTTTAACTTCTATATATTGGTCCGCCAGCAGCAGCTCCAGCTCCGCAACTACAAGAACTTCAAAACCTGGGAAAGAGTCACAATATGTAAAACCTGGGAAAGAGTCACAACATGAAAAACCGTCGTTTGTAATTTCTACAGTTACAGAGATAGTTTATGCTTGTCCTACAACATAATAGAATAAACGAGTTTGATTTTTTTTTTTGATTTATTTTAAGCTAAAAAGAAACAAAAAACACACAACTACAAAATATCTCCTTTTCATTTCTTCACCATAGAAATATACCCCAAAATGATTCCATTTTATGACAACAATACTTTTCCTCTTCAAAAAGCAGTAATTTACCTCTGTCACCCTAACAAGTTGATGAAATCATCAATATGATCTTCATCATCGTCGTCGGCAAAGTTGTAAGTAGTAGAATTAGCTAAATCCTTTTTTCCCTGTGGAATGGCGCGGCTGCTACCATCATCTTTTTCCTTATTCTTGACATCATCGGTACCTGGGTATCCTTTAGGACTGCCAAAATGTAAATGTGGCAAAGAACTAAACAAACTTGAATGATGTTCATAAGTTCTCGATTCACGATGTTCAGGGAAATCCCCATTATCATCGTCATTGTCCACTTGTGCTTGTTTCATATAGTCCTGCTGATTCTGACTATTTGGCTCAAATGTCTGCTGATTCTGACTATTTGGACCACCATATGTCTGTTGATTCTGACTATTTGGACCATATGTCTTACTTCTTAACCTCTTTTTCTCTAAATTGTGCTCCCAAGAACCATCAGGGACGGAATAATCCGCTTGCAAATGTTCATCAAGGGGGAAAATGTCGGATTTCGTGTCGTGCTGATCTTGATTTGAATTCATTGGCATTGCTACTGAAGGAGAGGAACAACAAAGAGTAAGAGCAAAATCAGAGTGATTATTGAATAGAAACATCTTTTTATACTTTTTTACTTACAACAGATCCTTCATACTAAGTAAATGATACATTTACTTACAACAGATCCTTCATACCAAGTGAATGATACATTTACTTCTCCTCACGTTCATTTATGCAACTTTGTCACATCTATTGAATGTACATGTATTACATCGCGGGGATTCTTAGATACGCACGCTACCAATCAATAACATCCCCTAGTAATTCATTTTTTGCAGTATTAAGGAAAACTGTCACTCAGAAGAGGGCAGAGGGGAACAAATAATAGCTCAACGCTTTTATTCAGGGAGCAGAGGGGAAGACATTACAGCTCAATATTTTCATCTAAGAATCAGAGGGGTAAGAACTATACCTCAATACTTTCCTTTCAACTGTAAGAAATCTATCAATGGTTTCCTTTCAACTGTAAGAAATCTACCAATACTTTCCTTTCAACTGTAATAAATCTAAATCTATCAATGGTTTCCTTTCAACTGTAAGAAATCTAGCTATCTATTTAATGTAAATTGGTAGCTTATTTTTACAGGAGCCAATCAAATATTTTTCAAACAAAATTACATGAAGTGAAAAGAAAAGTAATATGGGAAAAAAAAAAAATAGGTGAATATATACTATAGGTGATTAGTAGAGTATTTGATTTCCACCATTTGAGGTCTAGTTGAATATAGGCGAGGACAAAGACGAAAATTGAAAAATTGAAAACTCAACAAAAGTCTTGTAGATAGTCCCTTCAAATTTGAACCAAAAACGGATTTTCCAATTTCCATTTCTATTACAAGTTACTATTAGACATTATGTTATCACGAATTGTTAGCCACAATTTGGGGAGACCCACTACATATACAGCATCTCAAATTGGTAAGAGATTTTCATCCATAATTTCGGTTCATAGAGAAACAAAAGAAGACAATACAAATATCCCATTTGAGTTCAACTCTGAAAATAAAAAGAGAGCAGAAGAGATTATAAAAAAGTATCCACCACAGTACAAGAAATCAGCATGTATGCCTTTATTGGATTTGGGACAACGTCAATTAGGTTTCACTTCTATATCGGTAATGAACTATGTTGCCAAATTGTTGGATATGCCCCCAATGAGAGTATACGAAGTTGCTACTTTCTACACAATGTATAATAGACATCCTATGGGTAAGTACAATATCCAGGTATGCACCACTACACCATGTCAACTATGTGGCAGTGATGGCATAATGAAGGCTATAAAGGATGAGTTGCAAATCAAGCCGGGACAAACTACCCCCGATAAGCTATTCACATTACAAGAAGTAGAATGTTTAGGTGCTTGTGTGAATGCACCAATGATAGCTATAAATGACGATTACCATGAAGATTTAACACCCGAGGCTACAGTTGCTCTTCTAAAACAATTGAAAGAGGGTAAAGAATTGACTGAAGTAGGCCCAGTATTGAATAAGAGAAAATCATGCGAACCATTTAGCGGTCAAAAAGTCTTACTTGGTAAGGAGCCAAATGATATGAGAAAATTCACTAGATCCGATTTATAATAAAAGGAAAAGAAAAGAAAAGAGGCTCCACTGACACTATCGACACTATTGACACTATCGAGCAGAGCGAGATAGTGAAGCACATTGACTAGTTACGGCACTACTGACACTATCGAGCAGAGCGAGATAGTGTAGCACATTGACTAGTTACGACACTATCGAGCAGAGCGAGATAGTGTCGCTCGATAGTATCAGTGGTAGCTAGTGTGCTCCACTATCGACCAGAGCGAGATAATATAAATCAGTAGAATGCAATTTCTATAGAATGCGATTTCTATACAAGTCTAAAAACTGACATAGTTTTTTCATGGTGTGTAATATATTATCTCTTTGAAAATAAACTACATCTATAAACGCTTCTTATATATATGTATCTCGCTCTGTTCAATAACTGCCACCACTAGCAGGTATATGAAACATAGCGCCAAAAACGAATCTCAATAGAGTGAGGTGAAAAATTAAAAGTAAAGAAAAAATGGTAGTGGTTAAAGAGAATAGTAAAGAAAGATTAGTAGAGGTAATAAAAGAACAGTTGTATGTAGATTACTCTGCTAGCGAGTAGGCAAAGAAGAAGCTAGAAAGCACCAGCAGGAGTCGAAGGCGATGTTGGTGGAAGAAGCTAAAAAGCTAAAAGGGTGTTTATCACCATCAATAGTCAAAGGCGACGCAATACTTGTGGTGTAGAAAGGGCAGAATCACCACCAACATCGCCTTCGGCTCCTGTTGGTGGAAAAAGCTCAAAGGGGTATTTGAAGCCGAAGGTGTCGCCTTCGGCTCCTGTTGGTAGAAGAAGCTCAAGGGGGTATTTGTCACCTTCGGCTCCTGTTGGTAGAAGAAGCTCAAGGGGGTATTTGTCACCTTCGGCTCCTGTTGGTAGAAGAAGCTCAAGGGGGTATTTGTCACCTTCGGCTCCTGTTGGTAGAAGAAGCTCAAGGGGGTATTTGTCACCTTCGGCTCCTGTTGGTAGAAGAAGCTCAAGGGGGTATTTGTCACCTTCGGCTCCTGTTGGTGACACTTTTACTCTCTACTCTACTCCATCAACTATAATGTTGGTGTAGTTAGTGTCGGTGTAGACAGTATGCTCCACTATCTCGCCATGCTCTTAGTAGCTTAGCAGCTCAGTAGCTCAGTAGCTTAGCAGCTTAGCAGCTTAAGAGCTTAACAGCTTAGCAGCTTGTTACAACACTATCTCGCTCTGCTCGATAGTGTTCGATAGTGTTCGTGTTGGTTAGTCTTCTTCATGTCACGTGCCATTATATCGTGATGATGCAATTCCAATTTTGACTCAGAAGGAAAAATATTAAACACACATTTTCCATTATAGTTACGACAAAGAGAAATAAGTTTTCAAGGTAAAACCATTGACTTCCAAAAGAGTAGCACCGGTTAGGTATTTTTCCGCATAGATATTTGATTCTTTTTCTTTGCCAAATCACTAGAATAAAGCAAAATGGCACCAAAGAAAAACTATAGTCTTGAGACGGAGTTGGTGTTATCAAACTCTGGGGACCAATATAATGCTTCGGTGGCTCCATTATACCAATCTGCAACTTTCAAACAACCGTCCTTGTCCAATATGGGAGAGTATGACTACACGAGATCAGGCAACCCCACAAGGACTCATTTGCAACACCACCTTGCCAAGATCATGAAGGCTAAACAAGCATTTGCTGTATCGTCTGGGATGGGGTGTCTTGATGTTATAACTAGATTATTGAAACCGGGCGACGAAGTGATTGCAGGTGACGATTTATACGGCGGGACTCATAGATTGTTAACTTACTTGAATAAAAAGGGAGATTTAGTAGCTCATCATTACGATACCACTAATACAGAACTAATCAAGTCCAAGATAAATGACAAAACAAAAATGATTTTTCTAGAATCTCCTACGAACCCGTTAATCAAAGTTGTTGATGTCAAGAGTATAACGGAATATGCACATCTGGTGAATCCCAATTTGGTTGTGGTGTTTGATAATACAATGATGTCTCCTGTGTTTATGACACCATTGGATTTAGGTGTTGATATACAATACGAATCGGGTACAAAGTACCTCAACGGACACCATGATATTATGGCTGGAGTAATAGCTACAAGGTCGTCAAAACTAGCAGACCAAATCTACTATATAATAAATTCCACCGGCTGTGGTTTATCACCATTTGATTGCTGGTTACTAGGTAGAGGCTTAAAGACACTAGCAGTAAGAGTTGAAAGACAACAAGAGAATTGTATAAAGATTGCCAAATTCTTGGAAAACATTGGCTTCAAAGTAAGATATCCCGGATTAAAGTCGCATCCACAATATGAGTTGCATAACTCAATGTGTTCTGGGTATGGGGCAGTATTGTCGTTTGAAACAGGTTCTATAAAGTTGAGCGAGAAGATTGTTGAAAGCACGGACGTTTTTGGTATTGCCGTATCATTTGGCTGTGTTAATTCGTTAATATCAATGCCTTGCAGAATGTCCCACGCATCAATAGATGCCAAGACTAGGAAAGAAAGGGAGTTCCCTGAAGATTTGATCCGATTGTGTATTGGAATCGAGAATGTCGATGACTTAATTGACGATTTGACAAAGGCCTTGTTAAAAAGTGGTGCTGTTAAAGTTAATTACAAAGACGAATTGTTTAACGTCGTAGATATACAACCCAAATTATAGTTGTAGGTTACGACACTATCGAGCAGAGCGAGATAGTGGAGCATTGCTAGCTGCAATCGTATCAGACAGAGGAGGAGGGGGGGGGGGGAACAATAAGACAAAGGAGGGGGCGGGGGGGAAAAACAATAAGACAGAGGGCGAGGGACAATAATACAGAGGGCGGGGGACAATAAGACAGATGGGACGACAATACGACATCCTAAACATAACCTCTTCCTTCTTTCTCTAGATTACAAAAGGGTTTTTACTTGTTACCTCTAATGTCTTTTGCTAATAGGGGATAACAATACAACATCCTAGACATAACCTCTTCCCTCTTTCTCTAGATTACAAAGAGCTTTTACTTGTTAACTCTAATGCCTTTACTAAGAGTTCCAGCTGGGTGCAAAATAATCTCACAATCGAGCAACACTATCGAGCAACACTATCGAGCAGAGCGAGATAGTGTTGTAACAAGCTACTGAGTGTTGCTCTACTATCACGCTCTGCTCGATAGTGGAGTACTATCACAGTTTATAGAGAGATTTGAAATGATATAAGCGATAGAAAAAATAAAAATTAAACATCAAGAAGCAATATTTCGCTCCGCTCGATAATGCTGTAACAAGCTCCTGAGTGTTGCTCCACTATCGAGAGACACTGTTTCGCTCCGCTCGATAATGCTGTAACAAGCTCCTGAGTGTTGCTCCACTATCGAGAGACACTGTTTCGCTCCGCTCGATGGTGCTGTAACAAGCTCTTGAGTGTTGCTCCACTATTTCGCTCTGCTCGATACAAAAGGGCTTTTACTTCTTATCTCTATTGCCTTTTACTAATAGAGTTCTCCAGCTGGGTGCAAAATAATCTTTCATTTTTTTTTTTCGCCAGCAGTACACGCGTACGCGTCAACACGTGACCAACAAATGAATCAAAAATGAAAACGCGTTTGGTAAAAATTGAACAGGCGTCAATACCCCCGTGTTGTAGAGGTAAGAAGGTGTATTACTGGATATATTTGTAGAGAGGACTAGTTGCAGCAATATGACTTCGTTCCAATTATCTAGAGGTACTTTAAAGGAGGTTTTTTCAAAGAATGGAGAAAGTAAGGTTCGTTGTCCGTTGATTTATCAAATCACCAATATGAAATTGATCAATACCATCAATAATCAGAGAAAGTACAGAATCTTGTTAACGGATGGTATTTACTCGACACAGGGTATTATCGATGAGAAGTGCACTCCGTATCTTGAAAATAACAACTGCTCGAGATATGCCACTATACAGGTGAATAAGTTTACTTTGTTGACCACCACGAAGCATTTTTTTTTAATTGAAGATTTTGAGGTATTGAGTAACAGAGGTGAAAAATTGGTGGAACAGCCGATCCTTGTGGATAACTATTTTGCTGAACACCCAGAGGAGGCTGAACATCCAACTACTAAAAGACAGGACTCGGTTGAATCAAAAAACGAGTCACCAGGACCTAGTGTTTCTACTCCGCCAGTTGCTCAATCTACAGCACTTGGCCAACAACAACAACAGCAGCAGCAGCAGCAACAGCAGCAGCAACAACAGCAGCAGCAAAAATACCCCAAACCAAGAGGAGCACCTGCAGGATCTGGTCCTGGTTCCGGTCCAAGAATTTCCCCCATTGAAACGTTATCACCATATCAAAACAACTGGACAATTAAAGCAAGAGTCTCATACAAGGGAGATCTTAGAACTTGGTCAAATGCAAAAGGTGATGGAAAAGTATTGAGTATTAACTTCCTCGACGAGTCTGATGAAATAAAAGCCTCTGCTTTTAATGAAGCTGCAGAGAGAGCTTATAATTTGTTAGAGGAAGGTAAAGTCTATTACATCTCCAAGGCTAAGGTGTCTGCTGCAAGGAAAAAGTTTAACAATTTGACTCATCCATATGAGTTAACCTTGGATAAAGATGTTGAAATTACCGAGTGTTTTGATGAAACTGATGTACCAAAATTAAACTTCAATTTTGTCAAACTAGATCAAATTCAGAATTTAGAGCAAAATGCTATTGTTGATGTTATAGGTGTTTTAAAAACTGTCAATCCTGCTTTTCAAATTACCGCAAAATCTACAGGAAAAGCTTTTGATAGAAGAGACGTTACCATTGTTGATGAGACTGGATTTGCAATAGATATTGGATTATGGAATAATACCGCTGTAGATTTCAATATTGAGGAAGGAACAGTGATTGCATTTAAAGCATGTAAAGTGTCCGATTTCAACGGAAGAAGCTTAGGATTAACTCAAGCAGGCTCGTTGATATCCAACCCTGGAACCCCAGAGTCCCACGTACTTAAAGGTTGGTACGATAACGTTGGTGTTAAAGAAGATTTTAAAACCATAAAAACCGAAGGCGGGGCTGGCGCACTATCATCAATGGAAAAGATGGCCCAGCGTAAATTGATAGCTCAAGCTGAAGAAGAACAAATAGGCACTCACGGAGGAGATAAGCCAGAATATTTCACTACAAAGGCAAGTTTCTCGTATGCCAAACCGGAAAATTTTGCCTATGCAGCATGTCCAAATGTCATTTCCACTTCTGGTGATAGAGCGCCAAATTCATGTAATAAGAAATTACAGGAATACGATGGTCAATGGAGATGCGAAAGATGTGATAAGAACTACGATGAACCTACTTGGAGGTATATCTTGTATTGTGCCATTATGGACAGTTCGGGACAAATTTGGGTTACATTATTCGATGAACAAGCCAAGAAATTGTTGGGTATGGACGCTGGTGAGTTAGTTGCCTTGAGTCATTCAGATTCAATGATTGACAAAAATCCGGTTGCCGAAGTTATCCAAAAGAATTATTTCAAAGAATTCAACTTCAGAATAAAGGCTAAGCAAGACACTTATAACGATCAAATGAGAACCAGATATCAATGCGTTGGATTGACTGAAATGGATTTTAATGCCGAGTGCGATTACTTGTGCAAGGAGTTGGATTCCATGCTTGGGTAAGGAATAATGTAACTGTTACTTGATATGTTTGTTTGTTTGTTGTTTTGTAGTTTTGCTTGTTTGGTTTGGTTTGTGTTTTCGTTAGTTTAGGAAATTTCGTTGTAACTTGACAGGGCTTAATAAATAGGCTTAGAATTCTACCAACTTGTTAATCTTCAACCAATACTCTTTAAGAATAGTGTTGGCCATACGTTGACCTCGAGTGACCATTAGTTTATTAACAAACTGCTGTATCTCAGATTCAGTAAAGCGAACTTTGCCTACTTGCAAATTGCTTGCAGTGTGAATCAACCACTTTTTGAATTCCATGGGATACTTGGCAATCAAAGTTCGAAATAGCAGATAATAATGATCTAAACTAGATCGAGGACTCAATACGAATGCTTTCAATAAACTCTCACAAAGTCTCAACCCCATTGATGATGATGATGATGATGATGATGCTCCTGCTGACGACGAAACTGAAAGTGAAAATGAAGATGAAGATGAAGATGATAATGGATTTTGTTTGTCTTCCTCAACCATTAGTTGACGTACAAATAATTGGTCTTGTTGAGAACCTTTCTTTAGTTTGAGTAAAACATCCCAGAAACTCACTAGAGCTCGAGTTATTGAAACTTCGTGTTTCTCAAACGACTTGAGAGCAAATGGAAGAATGCAATTGGGGAATATGTTTGTATGTAGAAGTAGTCTCGGATTTAAATCAAGTATTATCGTAGACACTTCAAGCGATGTTTTTATAAGGTCGATATCACTTAGAATGATTTCAACAACATTAACAAAAACACTCGATAGAACAAGCTCAATTTGACTTTGACTCAAGTCCTTTGCGTGTGTGAGGACAGTGCTGATCAATAAACTATGTAGAAATTCAATCGAGGCAGGCGTTGAAATTTGAACCTTGGCTATGATGTACTGTAAAATCGACTCTAAATCAAATGTAAAAGGTCCAGGAAGGGGCTCATTAAACCCAGATTTTAAAATGTTACAGCAAATTTCAGTAACAATCGTCTTTTGGGATAGAAATGGTGAATCTAGTGAAAAATGCTTTAGATTGGTCAAAATTGTTAGTTTGATTCCCAAGGGGTCTTCATTCCAATAGTTTGTGATTTCTCGGATTTGAAAAGAGGTTAAATGGTTTTCAATTGGCTCCGGGTAGACACATGCTTTTCCAATCTCGCTAATGCAAGCTATCAAACTAACTGTGTAATCTTCTAAACCCTCGGGGACATTTAAATGTAAAGTGTGTTGTTCTATTTCAAATAGTATAGCCCGTATTTTAGTAGCCAACTCCACCGGATTTTTTGATGATTTTACTACTGAGATATATGAAAAAGTAATTCGTTCACGAATGAAGTTGTCTATAGCAGGGTTTCTCAACATTGCAATTAAAATAGCTTCCAACTGCGGCAAAAACTCCTCGCCTGTATTCTTACAGATCCGAGAAATTGTCCTTGATGCAACTAACGATAAATTCCCCTTTGGTTGATTAGTGACTAGTTTGAAAAGAAAATCAAAACTTGATGCTAAATATTGTTTCCCTGTTGGCGATTTATAGAAAAATGTCAAGTTTGACATTAGATTGAGGAGACTTGTAGTCAATTGTTGATCTGCCTCATTACTGTTCACTAAGCTCAAGACATTCCTATCAAAAATGGTCTTTATGTCTTTTATCAATGCTGATGTTTTACTGTTTTCATCTACCCCTTCCTCCTCCTCGTCATCATCGTAAAATTGTAAATCACTTGTTATTTTATAAACCAAATAAATGGCAGCCTCAGTTTCCATCAAGTTTGGTCCAACAATATCACACAATGTGGTAAACAAAGGAAGTCCCAAAATTGTATAAAACAAAATGAACAAATCGGCCGCTAGGGTTCGAAACCTGATAAATTCCTGCGTGGTTGGTTTGTTTGAAGGGCGCTGTATCTTTTTGAAATATACAATTGCAACTTCCATTAAAATTACATTTTTGCGTTGGCCATAAGCTTCTTTAGCAGTTGGGTTTGTTAAAATTTCTGCTAAAGCATCTTCGTCATCAATAAGAGTATTTGCAAAATCGTCCCAAAAACTCGTTAGTTGAGAACTGATGTTTTCTTCGGCTATAGCCATTCCAGGTGCATTAGTCAAGGTTATCATTGTTTCAATGATCCTATACGTATCGTCATCTAGCAAATTCCTCACAATTTGAACTAAATACAAGGTCAAGTAATTAACTATCAAATTGATATAGTTATCGATCTCCGCTTGGTTCTCTTCGAGGATATCCTTATTCGAAAACACAGTGTTCAAAAACGTGAGCCCAAATTCGTCATTACCAAAAAATATGGAAAGAATTTCTGCTTTGAATGGGTTTAGCACTCTTGGTATATTGTCGACAAATTCAGACAATGCAGAAAATGACTTGTTATAGATTTCAATCTTGTCTAAAAACCCATCACTCTTGTCACCGTCCCCACCACCGCCACTGCCACCGCCACCACCTAATGGTTTCAAAGTGAATGTGATAAATATTGACAAGTCGTCTGTATACCGTACCTCAGACTGGCTCTCTGCGGAAGATATATAAACAATCCATGCATTTAGACAATCTATCAGTAGTAATAGTATATCTATAGGTAAATTCGAATACCGGGTTAATAAGTATTGAAAAAGTGTCCGAACATGGATAAACACGGATTTATGTACAATTTGGTGTAGTTCTGAGACTTTGTTTGAGTATTTCAAAATATCTTCAATAAAGATTTGAAAAAATGTAATCAAAAGCTCCAATTTGATAGGAGTATCCAAGTTTTCAAGCAAATCCTCCAATGTAGTAGAGCTCTTGTTTTTCATTGTGCCAATAAAGAGCAACACAGGATCGAAACTGGTGTAGTTTTGAGCATATATCAACGACAAGCAGCTTAATAACTTTTTGATAATAAAGGCATTTGCATGAAAATTTTCTATAGTCAATTGGTTAACAATTGTCAGCAATTGTTGGAATGGGTGCAAATAATCAGATTCACTTGGAAAAGTGTTAAAATAAACAGTAATAGTGAGTGCTCCAAAATACTTCACTGTGCTATTATCGTTATGCAATAGCTCTAGCCCCAATTGGTACCCTTGAGAGCTTTTTTGATAAGTCTGTAACTTTTGCTGAATCGATTCGATTTGAGATGTATCTTTCGATGTATATAGTATTTCTATATCCTGTCAATAAAAAGGGTTAGAATAGCTCAAAGTTTTGGTTTTTTACACAGTAGGTTCAACATACACGTATGACATCATCTATACACGACTGACTAGACATTAGAGACTGAAAACTGACAAGAAGAAGAAGAAGATGATGATGATGATGAACTCGGATATATCGAGTAATAATTACCAAAAAAAGAAAGCAAATGAGATGAGATGAGCATTCGTTATTAACTTCCTAATTGGGTAATCCGTCTGATGTCATAAAATGCAAAGTAAAATAGATTTAGTCACGTGAGAAGTCAAGCTAGAAAAGTAGGCTCCACCTATCGAGCAGAGTGAGATAGTAGAGCAAAACTAACTAGCCTGTTACGACACTAACTAGCCTGTTACGACACTAACTAGCCTGTTACAACACTATCGAGCAGAGCGAGATAGTGTTGCTCGATAGTGTTGCTCGATAGTGTTGCTCGATAGTGTTGCTCGATGGTGTTGCTCGATGGTGTTGCTCGATGGTGTTGCTCGATAGTGTTGCTCGATAGTGTTGCTCGATGGTGTCGCTCGATAGTGTTGCTCGATGGTGTTGCTCGATGGTGCTATTTGACTAATTACCAAAATTAATAATCTTAAACATCTAATCAACAATAATATAAATCCAAACAATAAATAAGATCTAGTCACGTGAGTGTAAACTGTGTAATATTGATACCTACAAAGTAGAGTGTTGTCAATTATTGCTTGATACAAATAGAGAGCTAATAAAGTATTGGGTATATGATGAATTATAGAATCTATATATGCAATTACTTGTTTCAAGATATACGACTAATCACTGTTTCTCAATCACTGTATCTTCTCTGTATTTCACTCTACATACAAATCCTGTATCACTCTATATACAATAACTCTCTCTTACAATTACTCTCTTCACACTCTTACAATTACTCTCTTCACACTCTTACAATTACTCTCTTCACTCTATGTATCTTCACAAAGATTACTTGTATGTTCACTCTATAATAACTTGTTTCAAGGTATATTCACACTTGTATCATTTGTTTCTCACAATCATTTGTATCTTTAAGCTATATACAATCACTTATTTCTTAGAAACACATTTCTTAGCAACACTTGTTTCTTAGAATCTCTTTTCACTACAATCACTAATCTTCACTACAATCACTAATCTTCACTACAATCGCTGTATCTTCTCACTGTATCTTCTCTACAATCACTGTAACTCAATCACTATACCTTCTCTCTATCTCGCTCTGCTCGATAGTGGAGCACACTAGCTGCCACTATCGAGCAATGGAAAAGGAGTAGCCCTCTGTTGAGCATCATTACCATCTCCGCCATTACCAGAGCGAAATTGACCATTACTGTATTGAGTGAAAGAGAGTAGTAAAGTAGAATCTAGTAGAGATTAAAGTAGAGGAGAGGAGAGTAGAGCAGGAGCCCTGCAGATAATAGTGGAAGCTAGTCAGTGCTACTCCACTATCTCGCTCTGCTCGTTGACTATATGCATTATTAGCAGTTGCCAACAGTTGCCATTACTGTACACCATTACTGTACACCATTACTGTACACCATTACTGTACACCATTACTGTACACCATTACTGTACACCATTACTGTACACCATTACTGTACACCATTACTGTATAGACATTACTGTATAGACCATTACTGTATAGACATTACTGTATAGACCATTACTGTATTACAGCTGTATTGATACTGATTGAGCAGAGTGAGATAATGTTGTTACAAGCTACAAAGTGTACGTGACAGTTAGTAAGTACTTCTCCACTATCTCGCTTTGCTTGATAGTGTAGCTGCTCAATAGTGTCAACTGTTGTAACAACTACTGAGTACTACTCCACTATCCCGCTCTGCTCGATAGTGTCACCCTGCTCAATAGTGTCTCTCTGCTCAATAGCTGTTCCAACCAGTCAACGTTCACTTTACTAAACTTGCATCACGTGACCATTCACGTGACGTTAATTGCCATGATCATCGATTTCAAAATAAGGAGAAGTTCAATGAGATGGCAATAACATAACCCCCCTCCATATTTGTATTCAACAAGACAGTACTTTGATACTCGATAGGTTTTTGCTGCTTTGTTGTTAGTTACCCTTTGTTTATACATAATGTCAAGAGTAGCAAGAGCACAATGTGCCAACTGTACCTGCTCGCCCGGCTTGTTATCAAGAACTAATAGGAAATCTTCAGTATTTGCTAAAAGGATTAATCTCAATCGTATCAACTCCGGTTACAAGGATCCAAATTCCCCTTCAAGGAAAGGGTCGGTATTCACCTTGAATCCTTCATCCTTGTGTTTGCCGGAAGCTAAGGAAGTCAACACAACTAAGAGATTGGAAAAATTGAGAAATGAAATGAAACAATATGATTTAGCTGTTTATATTGTACCAAGCGAAGATCAGCACCAATCGGAATATACTTCAGCATACGATCAAAAGAGAAGTTTTATTAGCGGTTTTAGTGGAAGTGCCGGTATTGCTATTGTCACTAGAGACTTGAACAGTGTTGGACTTGGAGGAAAAGGAAACAGCAATAATGTTACTGCTGCTGCTGCTGCTGCTGATGATGATGATGATATTGTGCCCCAGGGGGGAAGTGCCGCATTGTCTACCGATGGAAGATATTTTACTCAAGCATTGGACGAAATGGACTTTAATTGGACCTTGTTGAAACAAGGCGCAAAGGGTGAACCTACATGGGAAAAATGGACTGTTCAACAAGCTGCCCAATTAAGTTTAGATAGTGGCAGTACCGCCAAAATTGGTGTTGATCCGAAATTAGTCACTTTTGAACAAGTAAAAAACTTGAATAAAGTGATAGATGAACAGAAGTTGGAAACCCCAAAAGCGCAAGTTGAGTTGGTTGCAGTGAATGAAAACTTGATAAATAATATATGGGAATCATTTGAAACTTTGCCTGTATCAAATGCAGGTGAAATCAAAGAATTGGATATAACATTTACCGGGAAATCGGCAAAGGCCAAGATTGAAGAAGTTAGAAAAGAAGTATTTAAAGACTCCCGTATCAAAGGATTGGTTATTACAGCATTAGATGAAATCGCCTGGCTCTTAAACTTACGTGGACTGGATATTCCCTATAACCCTGTTTTCTACAGTTTTATTATACTTACTCCAGATACCATAAATCTTTACATTGGAAAAGAACGGTTGTCGTCGAGAATTACTGAAAACTTGGAAGCTATTGATATTTCGATTAAACCATATTCTGATTTCTACAACGACTTGAACGTTATATCAAAAGACTTTGCAAATTCAAAAAGCAAATTCTTTATCCCCAAGAATGCCAACTGGGAAGTGATTCGAAATTTGAACTGTGCGTTTTCAGAAGGTTTATCAACTATAGAATTACTAAAATCACAAAAGAACGAAACTGAATTGCAAGGAGCAAAATTGGCCCATTTGAAAGACGGAAGAGCATTGATTAAATTCTTTGCATGGCTTGAAGATACCCTTATTAATGAACAAGATATCATTGATGAAATTGCCGCAGATGAAAAGCTTTTGGAGTTTAGGAAACAAGAAGATAATTTCGTGGGGTTGTCATTTGACACCATAAGTGCGAGCGGTGCAAATGGTGCAGTTATACACTACAAACCTGTGAAGGGCTCTGCTGCAATGATCAATCCTCACAAAATCTACTTGAACGATTCAGGCTCACAATTTTTAGAAGGAACCACAGATACAACTAGAACTGTTCATTTTGCTAAACCGTCACTGGAGCAAATAAGAAATTATACATTGGTATTAAAAGGCAACATTGCACTTGCAACATTGAAATTTCCTGAGGGGACTACGGGTAACTTGATTGATTCCATTGCTAGACAATTTCTTTGGAAATACGGTTTAGACTATGGCCACGGTACATCACACGGGGTAGGGGCATATCTTAATGTTCACGAAGGACCTATTGGAATTGGACGCAGACCAAACGCAGCAAAAAATGAATTGAAACCAGGAAACTTGATTTCTAATGAACCCGGCTTTTACAAAGAAGGATCTTACGGAATAAGATTAGAAAATGTAATGCTTATTAAACAATCTGATCATTCATTCAATGGAAAGAAATTTCTCCAGTTTGAAACTATTACGAAAGTGCCGTTCTGTAAAAAATTGATTGATGTATGTTTATTAACTGATGATGAATTGAGTTGGTTAAATAGATATCATGCAGTGATTTGGAATGAATTGAGTGGTAACTTTGATAAGAACAGTATGACTTACAAGTGGTTACGCAGAGAAACTGAACCCATTTCCAGATACTAATGCAACATCACCAATGATAACAAATATATACATACACACACACACACAAACATATATATACCTTTTTTGTTCTTGTTTTTGTTCTTTATTTGTTTTGGTTTACTCTTCGAACAATATCTGTATCTCCTCGATTCGTCTCCTACGTCTCTCCTCTTCCTCAACACCAACAGCTTCACCAATCTGTTTCTTCCTCTCCTGTATTCTCAACATCTTAGTTTCAATACTGTTTTCCATTATAAATCTAACAACTTTAACTGTTTCATTTTGACCAATTCTATGTATTCTATCAATGGCTTGGTCTTCGATACTTGGACTCCACCAAGGATCCATCATGAATGCTCTTGAGGCTGTTGTAAGATTCAATCCAACCCCTCCTGCTTTCAAACTTAGCAATAAAATGGAAATTTTGCCACCAGTGATTGGCTCGGTAAATGACTTGAGGAGTTTTGATCGATCATTCATGTTTAATCGTCCATCAAATTTATAAACCACAAAATTATCACTTGTAAGTTTCAAGTCGGTTTCCATAATGTCTAAATATGAAGCAAATTGTGAGAATACAATAACTTTCAGATTAGGTGATTGCTGTTGCAATTGTTTCAAATGGCGGATTAGTGCTTGGATTTTAGAACTTGATCGGTTTGGATCATACAAATATATTTGAAAGTCGTATTCCTTGGAAGGACCGTCACGTTGTTGAGTATGAAATCTGATTTCGTTACTGGTTGTATGCTGATTTCTTAACCGGAACAACTTGTATTTGGATATGGGTTCTCGACAATTGGGACAAAGCTTTTTCTTGTGGAGATCGGATTGGAATTCTAAATGTTCTAATATACATGATATACAAAATGTATGGCCGCATGGAGTAAGGGTTAGCTCACTGTATGGGATGGGAGACGTGGTGCAAATGGAACATTCATTTTCCTCCTTCACACATTCATACAACTGGTACATTTTCTGCTTCACCTCAGTGTCATTAACAAACCTCTGACTGTGCTCTTTGATAGATTTTAAAAACTTTTTCATTTCTTCATCAGCTTCGAGATCAATCACTTCGTCATCCATTTCATGAGCACCGCCAATTAAGTCCACATGACAACAAACCTGTCTCAATCTTAAAATGTGTGTTAAGATCTGGGTATATTGACGTAGCAACTGCCCACTTTTGACACCTTCGGCAAATGATTCGTATGCTCTTGTTTTAAACCACTGGTAAAGCTTAGATTCTTGGTCGTTAAACTTTATTTCCTCAATAATAACTTCTTTTTCAGGTAATTCTACCAATGGCTTGCCATTCTTCTTTTGATTCTTGGTTCTTCTTAGAAAAATCGGCTCCAAGATTGACTTGATAACATCTAACGTTTGTGAAATCTTCTTTTGCTCAAATGGTAATGTAACAAATGTTTTCCAATATGAAAAATTATTCCATGGATCAAGTTCCAAAAATTTAACCAATGAATATAAATCGTCTAGGCGATTGACAATTGGAGTACCGGTTAATACCCATTTCCTACTCAGTTGTAGTTCATATACTGATTTTGCAGTTTTGGTGTTTCGGTTACGAATATTATGACCTTCATCGAGAATAATTCTGAAAAATCGAACGGAATAAAGACCAATCTTGGGCAAATCTCCCTTGAAATTTCGATTTTTGGATATTCTTGTATACTCACTCAAAACTGTACCATATGTTGTGAGCACCACAATTGGCATTTTCGTAGATCCCCTCTTTATATTACACAATACAGACATTAAGTCCGTTGATGTATCATCACCATAGTACAAGTGACAAACGTGATTCGGATTATTGTTTGCTGTGTCAAACTCTTCCTTCCATTGAGCTAACAAGGACATCGGAACAACAATCAAGGTAGTTTGAGAAGCGTACCTTCTATCATTTGAGGCACCTCCACTTGTATCGTAAGGAACAGAATTTATCAACGCTAAAGTTGCAATAGTCTTTCCTAATCCCATCTCATCTGCCAATATTCCGCCTTTAACACTTGTTTTAATAATCGGCCTCTCAAGTGATAGTTCTCCATTGTATAAATTAGCATAAAAACAAGGAGAGCTAGAGCTACTTTGACTTTGACTTTGGGTGGCATATTGTGTATGTGGGATATCTTGCAGAATGGTCTCTGAAGAAGTAGGCCACCTATACTTTCGCCACAAGGGATTCATAGTTCCTGTCTCTTCTATACTTTTTCTAGACTCGATTGATAATTCCTGACCCCCCGAGCATTGTTCCAATACGTCAATTTCTTTCTCTCTGGCTAGCATCCAGGATAATCCATGTTTTTGATATTCTCTCAATTTCAATTTGAAATTTTCTTTTGGCGGTGTTGTTGTATCTGGTAAGCTTTCTAAAACTTTAGATTGATTATTAGCTTGGTAGAATTGTTTTAGTTGATCAAGATTCACTTCATCCACAGGTTCCTCATCTTCAGAGTCAAAACTAACATCAGCGGTAATAACTTGCGAATCAATGGAATCCTCGATTTTACTCTCACTGTTTAACTTCAATGGCTTCAACTTCAATCTGTCAAATAGATTGGACACTGCAAACTGCCTCAATCTCAAAGCAGCTTCCCCTTCACTCTCGGTAGCAAAATTAAAATTTACTCCTTTCTTGGTTGGTGCTTGGTTCAACACTTCTTCAATATTCTTAACGAATCCTGTATCCTTCAAATATATCTCTATTTGAACAAAGAAGGAGTCTCCCGTTGATAACCTTTTTTTTGTCGTTTCTAAAACAGTAGCATCAAAATCTGCTATATTTAAGTCAATCAAGGGACTGAATATTCTGGTTAAATCTTCAGGCAACCTTCCAATCTCACGATCATTTGAACATAGTCGAATTATTGAACTTTTCTGCATTGAGGAGTTTCTCGGTATCAACCGTTTCACGACTAAAGATGATTTGTAATTTAATGGTTTTATTGTAGGTCTTGTTGCCCACGCTTGCACTTCTATTGTTCCTACGTATTTGCGCCATGATTGCGTATCGTTTTTCTCCACCTCCTCCTTTAGCTCTTTCCCTTCCTTTTCTTCTCCTCTCTCCTGTGTCAATTGAACCCGCTTATGTAGCCCGTTCTCCTGAATTTTTAAATCTGATTCCAACTTCCGCTTCTGCGACTGAAGCTCCACATTTGTATTTGTCTCTGAAGCGGAAGTATGTAATACGGGGTGTTGTAATTGCCGACGCGTGAATTCATCTTGTTGCAACAACTCATCAACATCTGGTGGGTTAGTGAACAATTCCTCCGTGGCGGCTTGTACACTTTTCTCCGATGTTGAGTATTTGTTGTACAAATAGTTCAAGATAACAGGTGATACATCTCCAACCACGGCTTTCAAACCTTTGGCAAATTTTTCAATGGTGATCACCGCTAGTTGAGTTTGTGAAACTTGGCAATAATGTGCATTAGTATCTTCATTTTCATCTTTCACCTCCTCTTCCTCTTCCTCATCTGAAACAAATAGACTTTTTTCCTTGCTTCTGGGAGGTGACAGCGGCTCCTTCTTTACTTCCTTCTCGGTGGTTTGAGGCAAGAAAAACCTCGTCTTTCTAATTTGCATTTGTTTTGCAATTAAATCTGTATACTTCTTTAATGAAGCCCTTCTCTTTGCACTTTGAATGAAAAAAAAACTATTAGAGTCATTTGGTAGCACGCGTTTACATTATGGAGCACCCATCCATAATGTTGTCTCTGTGAGGCACAGGACCAAATATAGAGGCAGGGGAGAGGGTTAAACTTGAAGATGAATTACGTATCTACAGTTCTTTTTTTCCCGCTTTCCCTAACTCCAACTGCGTTGGGAAAAGTTGCCTTGTACATACAATTCACAATGGAATGAAAAGTGTACTAGATCTTCTAATCTGAGTTTGCTAACAAGTTTTTTAAGTTAGATGGGTCATATGTTCTTAATGAATGCAACTAGTTTTTATTATCTCTTTGTAGTGATTTAAATGTGAATTTGAACTGGCTTGTTGCAATTATCGTCACTTGTTGCAATCATCAACACTGGTTGCAAAATTGCAAAAAAAAAAAAAAAAATTTGCAGCCATTAAGATTAACTAACAAGTACAATTCTGACCATTACAAATTTATAGCTTGCCTACACTTAGAACCCCTTGAACCCCTTACCCTTATATATTAAAGCACGCATATGACTATAAGCCTACCCTTTTACTTTAAAGCATAACGCATATGACTTATAAGTCTAACCATTACACAGCTCAAAGCTCATTTACATTCTTTGCTTTACTTTCGGTTCAGCATTACAGGGAGAGAATTCCCTGGATCCCTGGATCCACCTCAAGGATTTCTTTGCGCTCATTGCTTCGCTTAGCGGGAAAAAAAAAAATAAATAAATAAATAAATAAATAAAAAAAAAAAAACAGTGGCATTTTCTATCACGTGAACCTAGTCACGTGTTATAAAGCTAATACGAATAAATTGTTACATTCGACACGACCGATCTTTCTTTTTCCCATTAAGCGGTAAGCGGTAAACTCCGCACACATATATACCAAAAAGAGGTGACAATAACGTATACCCAGGATTTCTCCATAAAAAGATACTTCAACGTAGTTCTTTTATGCGTGTAGTTGCCCTTATACACACAGACCGGTGCCATGCTGGAGATTCCAAAGTTGCGCCGTATTGTATTTCTTGCATTATTTCTTTCTTTCTTTCAAACCTTCCTTCCTTTCTTCTTTCCTTTTTTTGGCCCGTGCCAAAATTTTTCACTTTTCTTATCCGCCTATAGCCTTTTTTTCTTTGTTCTAACCCCAAATTCTTTAATTCCATTATTACTAATTTTCAAGGAAATTCATTTGAGTCATTATAACTGAGTGATTCATAGAGGTGTATAGGGTGTATATATATATTGTAGTAATCAATATCAAGGTGGTAATTTAGATAGGTACTTATTCCCACAACAGTACACAGTATTGAAAAGAAACTTTGCTTTGCTTGAAGGGAAAAAACTGATTAACAAATATGACTCAAGGAAATATTTACAAGTCCAAGGATTTGACACACTTGTTGTCATCTGAGGCCAAATCTAGGCAAAACTCGCCATTAAAAGAAGCATTCAGGTATTTCAAATTACCAGGTATGACCTTTTTAGGAGGCGGATTACCATTATCTGATTATTTCCCATTTGATAAAATTTCTGCTGATATTCCAAAACCACCATTTACAAAAGGTATTGGTGCTCCATTGACAGAGGAGACCAAAACAACAATTGAAGTTTACAAAAAGGCTGGTGAGAATAAAGCCAATGAAATTGAGTTGGCAAGATCCTTGCAGTATGGATATACAGAGGGACAGCCCGAATTAGTTGCATTTTTGAAAGAACACACTGAAATGATTCATAAGGTACCCTATGAGGATTGGGATGTGATTGCTTCAGTGGGAAACACCGAGTCGTGGGACTCTACTTTGAGGACTTTTTGTTCTAGAGGTGATACAGTTTTAGTTGAGGAGTATACTTTTTCTTCTGCTTTGGAAACTGCAAATGGGCAAGGTGTTAATACTGTGCCTGTAGCCATGGATGAATACGGTATCATCCCTCGTGCTTTGGAAACATTGATGGCCCAATGGAAAGGAAACAAACCTAAATTGTTATACACAATCCCAACTGGTCAAAATCCAACAGGGTCCTCTTTGAGTGGCGAAAGGAGGCAAGAGATTTATGACATTGCTTGTAAATACGATTTTATTATTGTTGAAGACGAGCCATACTATTTCTTACAAATGGAATCATATACAGAAGATAAGTCCAAGAGAGAGGGAAAGCATGTTCATGGACATGAAGAGTTCATCAAGGCATTGGTTCCATCGTTTGTTTCTATGGATAAGGAAGGTAGAGTAATTAGATTGGACTCTTTCTCCAAAGTTTTGGCACCTGGTACAAGAATCGGTTGGATCGTGGGACAAGCCAAATTATTAGAAAGATATGTTCGTTTACACGAAGTTTCTATACAATGTCCATCTGGTTTGGCACAAAGTGTAACCAATTCCTTGTTGTATAACTGGGGACAATCAGGATACTTGGACTGGCTTATTGGACTTAGAGCAGAGTACACACACAAGAGAGATGTTGCAATCGACTCATTGAAAGAGTATTTCCCAAAGGAAGTATGTTCCTATGTTCCACCGGTGGCTGGTATGTTTTTCACAGTTAGCATTGATGCTTCCAAACACCCAAGATTCAAAGAGTTGGGAGAAGATCCAATAAAGGTGGAATCCTTGATCTTCGAACAGGGCACAAAACAAGGAACTTTAATGATTCCTGGTTCTTGGTTCAAGAGTGAAGGACAATCTACACCACCTCAAAAGAATTTACCTCAAAACCCAACTCAAAGAAGTCATATTTTCTTTAGAGGCACCTATGCTGCTGTGCCTTTAGACCAATTGGTCTTTGGATTGGAAAAATTTGGTAAAGCTATCAAGATTGAATTTGGATTATCATGATACTTCATCTCTTTTTTGTAAAGGAACTACTTAGATGTGATATATACAAAGTATATAATAACCAAGTAAAGCAATCTAACAGCAGAGCGACACTATCGAGCAGAGCGAGATAGCAGAGCACCACTTTGTAGACACAATCACCACTTTGTAGACACTATCTCGCTCTGCTCGATAGTGTTTATTCAACGGTTTGCAAAATCTCCGAAATGAAAAATGAATCTTGGCGTGCGGAAAATTTGAAGTTGTATAGAAAAATTTATCTAGTAACCAGTTTTAAAAGAATAAAAGTGTTTACCCTTGTGGGTTTGGTAAAATGCAGATATTGAAGATACCATGGCTAGGTCATAGGAGTATGTGTTTCGAGATATTTGGGTACACTGTGTTTTATCTTTACTAACCAATTGCAGCGGAGAATAAAAATATCGAATGCTATTCAGTCACTATCAACAGTGCAGGTTCTAGGCTCGCTTCAGGTGGTCTTGATGGGTACATCAAAATATGGGACACCAACACCATCAACCTGTTTTTCAAGATGCTGGATAAACCGTATACAAAGTCCAAGAAAAGCTCTTCATCTACAACGCCTGCTGCTACCGCTGCTGCTGCTGCTGCTTCTTTATCCCCAACATCAGCGCTTTTGGACGCTGAGCAAACACCAGATTTACCAGATAAATCTCTCCGGCGACCTTTATGTTCAATGTCGAGGCATAACGGAGTAGTCACGTCACTAAAGTTCTCGCCCGATGGACGTTGGTTGGCTAGTGGGTCCGATGATAAAATCGTTTTGATTTGGGAAAAGGATAATGATCAAAGACCCAAGTCTTTTGGTGTGGAGCAAGAGGACCTTGAGCATTGGACAGTGCGGAAGAGACTTGTTGCTCACGACAACGATATCCAGGATATTTGCTGGTCGCCAGATGGGAATTTGCTAGTCACTGTAGGGCTCGATAGGTCGATTATTATATGGAATGCACTCACTTTTGAAAGAATAAAAAGATATGATATACATCAATCAATGGTCAAGGGGATAGTATTTGATCCCGCTAATAAATTTTTTGCCACAGCTTCAGACGATCGAACCGTTCGGATATTCAGATATTACAAGAAATTGAACGAGTACAACAAGTATGAATTTCAAATGGAACATGTTGTGGTGGATCCATTTAAAAAATCGCCATTAACTTCGTATTTCAGGAGGATGAGCTGGTCTCCAGATGGCCAACATATTGCCGTTCCCAATGCAACAAACGGACCTGTGCCCTCAGTAGCAATAATAAATAGAGGTAACTGGGGCTCGGATGTATCTTTGATTGGCCACGAAGCTCCCGTTGAAGTGTGCTCTTTTTCTCCGAGTCTATTTCAAGTGGGATCAACCTCAAACAAAGAAGAACAAGAACCGAAATTTCAGACTGTTTTGGCCACGGGTGGGCAAGATAGAACTTTGGCTGTTTGGTCTACTTACAATTCAAAACCAATAGTTGTATGTCTGGACATTGTATACAACTCAATTACAGATATTTGTTGGGCTCCAGATGGCGAAACGCTCTATTTTAGTTGCCTAGATGGTTCAATTACTTGTGTTCGTTTTGACAAGGGTGAATTGGGATTTGTTGTTAGTACTGACTTGATTGATAAACAATTGAATAGGTATGGAACTGATCGTGAGTCTACAATATTACCAGAGAGTGTTGAGCAGTTGTTATTGGAGGAGAAATCAAGAGATACCAGAGCTCTTGCGATACGACAAATGATGCCTGTCAATAAATCACCAAAGAAACCGGTGGATAAAAAAGTAGAAGCTACCTCCGTTTTACTGCCTAGTCAAACATTGGTTCCCGCAAAAACTATTGATACAGCAAGACTTCGAAAACAAGCAATCACCATAACAAAATCGGGTAAGAAAAGAGTTGCTCCATTATTAGTTTCATCTTCGTCTTCTTCAACTCCAATTTCTGCTGTTCCGTTATCAACTGGAAACTTTGAACCTAGTATTGCAACATCGAAAAAGTACAAGCGCACCATAAACTCCAAATTATCTTATCCAAATTATACTCTCAGCAAGTTGGGGTTACAGACAGCAGTATGTGGTATTAAGAAAAGAGATACGGACACAACTATATCAGCACCTGCAGAGGAAGAAGTTAACGATTACGATGATATGGGAGGTGCAAACACACTACCAGATGAAGCCAATACTGCTCAATTATCAGAAGCCGCATTAAGAAGGTTGAAGAATCGACAGAAACGAAAATGGCTAGAGTCTAAGTATCCAAGCTCATTTAAGGAAATATCGCATTTACCTGAGAATTTATTTAGTAATGTTGCTTTACAAAATGTTGAAATTGGGAAGATTTACAAAGCATATGCTAATAATAAAGATATTCTGGGAGAAATATCAACAAGCTCGGCGATTGATTTTGATGAAGATTTGCTATTTTCGGTTGTTTTCCAAAAAACTCTGTATAAGCAAAGGACGGCGGCAGCGCTGGTGGAGGTGACTGAGGTGGCTGAGGGGGCTGAGGGGGCTGCAGCGGCGGCGCCGATTCCCATACTGATGGAAGAAGGTCAGGATAACTTAATTACCACCACTATTGAGATTCGGAATGGAAAACCGTGGCATGAAGATGATCCTGAACAAGAGGATCGAGATTTTGATGACCCTACAAAAGTGATTGTTTATGATAATGATCAAGAAAAGAGAAGATTTGTTTTGTTTTTCCCCTTTAGAATACAGCTGGTGTTGCCTATTGTGGAAGATAATCTGTTGAAGTACTATGTACTCTGCTCATTTAATGGGAGCATACAAATCATATCTGCTAGCACGGGGAGGTATATTTTACCAGCGATTGAATTGCATGAAAATGTAGTCTTTTTGAAATATGGCAATGGCCATCTATTAGTCTTGACGAGTTCCGGGTTGTTTTACGGTTGGAATTTGAAAACAATGAAAATTTACTTGAACAAAGTGGCAATTGCCAATGTTCTTAATAACCTTGTGGAGATTAATGAACTGCTGAAACATGGTGTAATTTCCCCAACAGTTAAAGCAGTCGATATTAATCTCCATGATGGTACTCCCTATGTGATGACAGATGTTAGCAATGACATATATGGGTACTCGTTAGATCTCAATTCCTGGATCAAAGTGATTGACTCATGGTACTTTAATGTCGACGAATCTATTCCACACCAGTCTAATAAAAACAAGGCATTAGGTAGAGTTTTGATACAACTGAAACTCAATTATAAAAAGGATGCATTGTTGGGTAACATATATACCTACAAATTTAGCACTAATCAAAGTAAAAAATTGCAGGATGTTATGATCATGAAGAGTAAAGAAATGATGGAAATGATTCAGTGAAAGAAAAATGCATATATATGTATTAGTATATATCACATAATCCTCTTATATCATCTTATTTTTTTCTTCTTCTTCTCCTCCTCCTCCTCCTCCTCCTCCTCTCTCCTTCAATTCTTCAACATTTTTCTCCTCGATATTTTCCTTTGGTTTAACGGGTTTAGCAACGCTGGGTTCAAATGGGAAAGTGATCAATACTAACAAATTGCTCAATACTGAGTTTGCGACAAATATCCAACAAGTTAGCCCAATAGTACCGGTTTTGAAAAACGGCAAGGCCAAGGCCCATTCAAGATAATACGGTAATATCCCCTTTCTCAAGTAAAACAAAGGAACTTTCCTACAAAAAATTCTCAAAATCCAAATGGGCAAAGTAACCATCAAGGTTATCAACAAATTAGTCAATTGATCAACACGAGTTTTTTCACCACTAATCGTTTCATTCAATTGTTGCGCTTCCAACTTCAATTTATCCAAACTACGGTTCAATTTGGTCCATTTGGCATACTCGTCCAGGGCACTAGTGAGCTTCTGCTGTCTTGACAACTGTCTAATCTCCAATTGCACCGAGTTGTACTGCTTTATAGATTTGCTCTGAGATAGATAATTTATATAGAGATGCCATATAAAGTTTCTTATTCTGGCCTTGCCTATAAGAGATATAAGCTTTTGAAAAAATAGAATAAGAAAGCTTGAAGCTATAATAGTGTATGGGTCTATATCAAGCACAAACATATCCTCAATCACTTGTCAACAACTAGTACCTATAGAAATCACCAGCCAGATTTACAAAACTAATCTAATGTCTAATACTTCAACTAAAAGCTTCTTTTTAATTTCTTTGATTGGCGCTTAATTTTTTTTTTTCATAGATGACGTCACGTGACTGAACACTATTGAGCCAAGGGAGATAGTGGTGCAGTACTGACTAACTACATCGACACTAGCGACACGATCGAGCAAATGAGCTGATTGCCACCGATACTAGCAACACGATCGAGCAAATGCGCTGATCGCCACCGATACTAGCCACACGATCGAGCGAATACGCTGATTGCAACCGATACTAGCGACACGATCGAGCAAATGCGCTGATTGCCACCTACACTAGCGATTTTAATTTCGAGTTAAATTGTTTATTCTTCTCATTAATAAAACCATCAACATTCTCATTTTTTTATTAAATTATGTCACGTGGCTTGTAATATCTCATTTTTCACACCAAGAACTAGTTTTGTAGAGATAAAGGTGATTTGTGGCACGTGACTTGTTCGACCAGAGGGAAATAGTGGGCAACACTAGAAAGCACTAGCTGCCAGCATACAATTGCAAAAGAGTGTATATGTAGTATATGTAGTACTCCATTATCGAGCGAAGCAAAATAGTGTACTGGCAGCTAGTGTAGTGGCAGCTAATTTACACCAATAGCTCGCTTCGCTCGGTGGTATTGGTGGCAGCTAGTGTGCTCCACTATCTCGCTTCGCTCGATAGTGTCGCTTGATAGTGTCGCACAAAAAAACAAATTTTTTACGACACTGTCAATTGCCCGAAAAGTAAAACGAGCAAAAGGTGAAGCGATGGGGCCATTAATTCCCCTTAACCTTCATTTACCATACAACTCTAGGTTGAAGTCTACTGGTTGTGAGTCTATTTTGGCCCTACTTCCACGTCCTAAGACGACTTAATCACTTAGGTAGAACTTGCAACTCTCGATACTTAGTCACGTGTCGGTTAAAAGCATAGATAGAATAGATCTTGTAATTGAGCCTCATATTTAAAGGCTTACTTTCCTATAGCTGTTTTTTTCCCTTTGATTAAACGAGTAAAAGCAGAGGATTGAAATTTGGCAAAGGGCCTATTGACACTATCGAATAGAGCGAGATAGCGGAGCACACTGACTAGCTTGTTACCCGATTAGAAAGGACACATTTTGACTAGCTTGTTACTTGACACACTGATTTGATTAGAGAAGGCCCATTTGATTAGACAGTTACTCTGGCCATTTGATTAAACAATTGTTCAGGCCATTTCACAGTATCATTTTTTTCCCGCTGCACTAACGATGCCCAGCGATCCCGAGGATGATTATATACCTTGGATACAACAATTTTGTCAATTGTTTGGCCATGACTATTTTGTACAGGTATCACAGGAATTCATTGAGGACGATTTTAATTTAACAGGTTTGTCGCTGCAGGTGCCGTTTTATAGAGAAGCATTATACACAATACTAGATTATCAAGTTGAGACGGCCGAAGATCACAATACGTCGACCACCAACACAACAACAACAACAACAACAACAACAACAACTGCAACAGCAACAACAACAACAACAACTGCCGCTGCCGCTGCCGCCGCTAATGCCAATAAGAACCCAGCAAACAATAATATGGCCAATAACCACAACGACACGCGAGGTGGCGGAAATGGCAAGTCCAAGTCATCGAATACTGCCAATTCCGAATTGCCCAATCAGGCATTATTAGCACATCTGGCAGAGCTATTATACGGCTTGATTCATGCCCGTTATATAGTATCTAAACAAGGGTTAACCGCCATGGCATCAAAGTTTGAGAAAAACGATTTTGGCTCGTGTCCAAGATATTTTTGTGATGGAATGCATTTAATCCCCGTGGGGTCAACAGATATCCCTGGCCAGGAAACAGTTCGATTATATTGTCCATGTTGCAATGACATATATATTCCTTCAAGCTCGAGGTATTTGAATATCGATGGTGCCTATTTCGGTACAACGTTTCCCGGGTTATTAGTCAAGATGTTCCCAGAAATTGAAAATCAATGTAGAATTAGAATAAATAAATTTAGTCAAAACGATTTCGGATTGAAGTTATTTGGATTCAAGATTAATGAATTGAGCTCAACTGGACCAAGAATGAAATGGTTGAGAATGCATCCAAAGACATCTGAAGAGAAAAAGGAATATGATTTTTGTGAGTATACTGTACCCAAATTGACATATGATGATGAGGAGGAGGAGAAGGAGGATAAAGAAGAAGATGGTGATGATGATGATGACGAAGAGGACGAAGATGAAATGGATGAGGACGAAGAAAATGATAATGATGATGATGATAAAACAATGGCAAGTGAATAATAAACTATTCCCGAAGCAGATGATGGAACTAATACACTACTATCTTCTGCTTCATCACCCTCAGTGGGTCAAGTGTACCGGTTTACCGGGTTCCCAATCCTTTATTCCATTCTGTATATTTACCCAATATTTCAACTTTATAGCATCCATGATCAATTCATCCCAATTAATATCATCAACGTTTTTTTTACTCAACTCTTTATCTATTTTTTCCTCTGCTTGTTCTATTCGCTCACTGTTCTCAGCTTCTAATCCTTCCAATTCGTTTTCCAATTCAGCTAGTTCCAATTGTTCGTGTGCTTCCATCACCTGCATCAACATTTCCTTATACTGCGCAGAATTCTCCGTCCTTTCAGTTTGATATTTACGAATCATTTCCTTTGATACAGAATCATTAGTGATGTCTTTACCGTGTAAGTTCTGGATTAAATGAGCTAGTCTTAGGTAAGGGTTCTTCAAAGTTGTGAATGCTTTATTTATATTCAGCGATTTCAAAGTGTCCTGTGAAATATCCGGATGATGAGAGCTTTGCAAAGCACGGTATTCTCTACGAAGCAGCTTATCGTTGATCTTAAATGGATCTCGAGGTGGACCTCCGTTGGGGAACGTACGAGGGAATAATTTGAAAAACGATTCAGATGATGAACTGGTTTCCGTGGCAAAGAAGCGCGTACCATGTCTCTGATTCAAGACTGCTCGACAACTAATAATTATCCTACTCCTTATTAACAATCTCATTGTGGCAAACCTTTCTTCTGTCTTCCTTCCTTTACCAGCTTTGTTTGAGGTTTCAACAAGCTTAACTAAAGGAAAATTGATAGAGCGGAAAATTACTCCAAACTTGAAAAATTCCTTTTCCGGTTTGGTCATCGCACCAAGTCATAGTACATTGATCTGCCGCCACCACCACAATGTTCAAAAAGAGAGTGCTAAAGGATACAAATGTAGGAACAAAGAGGAAATCACTGGCTAAATACGAAGACCTTATCGGGGATGAATCGCTGTCCTCCAACAATACGGCTTTTAAAAAGAGAGCAAAGTTAGGCTACACAAACACATCGTCAACAACAACATCTACAACAACATCTACAAGAATAAAATCTACGCAAGAAGAGCTTGACATCGATCCACTGCCGTCCCATGATAAAGCTACAACCCTACTTATTCAGAAATCCTCCTCCTCTTCCTCACTAAAGCCTATAGCGGAAAATATCAAAATCACAACCATAACCGATTTTCAACCTGATGTATGTAAAGATTTCCAACAAACTGGATACTGCGGGTATGGAGACACTTGCAAATTTTTACATACAAGGGAAGAATCCAAGCAGAAGAAACCAATTAAAAAGGATTGGGAGGATATAGTAACTGAAAAGAGCCTATCTAGGAAAAACACTAAAAAACTACAACTGCAACTACAACCATTCAAATGTGTTATTTGCAAAAAAGATTACCAAAATCCAATAAAGACACAGTGTAAACATTTATTCTGTCAGTCTTGTTTCTTGAATCGCTATAAGAAACAGAAGAAACTGGGGTGCTTTATATGTAGTAAAGATGTGGATGGTATTATGATACCTGTGCTGAAGAATGAATTGGATAAGTTGATCAATGGCACTAGCTGACTCAACACTATCGAGCAGAGCGAGATGGTGGAGCACACTGCGTTGTTGCTAGTACTTTACTGAAATTAGTTAGTCCCTTACTGTAAGCTAGTCCTTTACTAAACTACTCTTGAAGAGGTAAATTTGATTTGTCTGGGGTAAACTTGTTGTACATTTGGTATCGGCTATAAACGGCTATAAGAATTTTCCAGCCGAAGCCTGCTCTAAAACTTTTTAATTTCTCATTCTGTCAGACTGAGGCAAGCATATCTATTGTAAATAGTTGATCGTAAATAGTTGATTGTCTTTACCCCTCTCTTCAGCCCCATTCCAGCTGTTAAAGCCACTCCAAGGTTGTGAAAGGGGCCCTTTTTCTTATTAGTATCTTCTTTTTCTTTCTTTCCTTCTTTCTTTCTTTCTGTGCCAGTACCAAAATGTCCAACATACAAGGTCAATTGGAAAGCATACCTGGCTATGGATTGGCTATGGATAAATTTAACGAGTATGCAGAAGAACATTGGAACGGTAAAACAAACCCATACTATGATGAATCGGGAAAGAAAGTAAAACTCCCTCCTGATATAACTACTAAACAAGAACAAAAAGCATGGAAGAGGATACAAAGTCAAGCATGGCAACACGATAAATGTTTATTTGGATCATGTGGTGTAGGGATGGATTGTGGTGTAGGTCTTGTGCCCTTTGTTGTGTTGTTCTTCCCCGTTTTGGGTCCGTTGGTGATGTATGCGTTACATTCTAGATTAATAGAGATTGCAAATAAAGATTTTCACCTACCCAATAAACTTATAGCTCAAATGCAGGCTAATATAGGGATGGATTTATTGATTACTTTTCCGCCCGTGATTGGTAGTTTTTTTGGTTGGTTACATGGTTGTTCCACTAGAAATGCTGGTTTGATATATGTCTATATTGTCAAAATGGCTAAGGAGAGAGCTGCCGAGGGCGGGGGTGCTAAATATGCTGGGAGAGGAACTGCGGGAACATACAGAGAAGGACAGTATTTTGGTGATCTACAGCCGCAGCTGCAGCGACAACTACAACAGCAACTGACAAGTCCATTGTATCAACTACAACAGATGCAACCTGCGTACACTCAACTGAGAGGGTTCAAGAGATCTAATCAAAATACTATTGTAGTTGATCAGCAACAACAATCAGGGTTTATGTAGAGAAACCGGTATATAATTGGAACAATAACAATCATAACCAAAGTGATTCTTGCCATATTGAACAAGCCTTTCAATCTCATCTCTAATAAATTAAGTTGAGCCGAATTTGGTGTCGTGCCCCGGAAAAACAAAAAATGGAAAAATAAGGAATATGGAAAATCATTAATTCTGGTAATGTGAAGCAAAGATTGAGCCCCCATTACATTGAACTTTCCCTTGACCATGTTTGAAAAACCAGAAGGAATTGAAAACTGTCGGATCTGGATTGACGGGTGTTTTGATTTTGCCCATCATGGTATGTTCTAAAACACATTGCTAATGTACAAAATCCCAAATCTTGTTTATATGTAACATAGATTTTGTACTTTTACTTGGTTTTACTAACGTCTTTTGTTAGGACACGCAGGAGCAATGTTGCAAGCACGGCAATTGGGTAAAGAGCTCTATGTTGGAGTTCACTCTGATGAGGAGATACTCGCTAATAAAGGGCCCACGGTTATGACGCTAGAAGAACGATTAACCGCCGTTGATGCGTGTAAATGGTCAACTAGGGCGATTGCCAATGCGCCGTATGTCACTGATCCCAAAGTTATGGACGAATATGACTGTAAATATGTTGTCCATGGAGATGATATAACCACCGATGCTAATGGGGAAGATTGTTACCAATTGGTTAAGGATTTGGGTCGCTTTGTTGTAGTTGAAAGAACCCCAAATATATCTACTACGGATTTAGTAGGACGGATGTTGTTGATGTCAAAGAATCACCATTATCCTGATTTGAACAAAAATTGGAAGAAATTGTTAACTGAGGGGAATTTGGATAGATTTAGAAAATACGCCACGGATGAAACTGGGTTGAATTTGGGATCTATAGTCTGGTTGAACACTGTTGATGGATTAAATGTTATAGTAGAGCCTAAAAGGGGAGAATTTGATGCAAACCAGAAACTAGTTTATATTGATGGTGGGTTTGACTTGTTTCACCCAGGTCATATAGAAGCCTTAAAAACCGCTTATCAAAAAGCAAGAGAATTTAGTGGTAAAGTTATAGTTGGCATCCATGATGATTTAACAGTTAATCAATACAAGGGGTTAAATTATCCAATCATGAACATTTTTGAAAGGTCATTATGTGTGTTGCAGTGTGGCTATGTTGATGGAATAGTATTAAATGCACCCTATATACCAACCATGGACTTTTTATCAAAACTAGGAAATGTCATAAAAGTGTATCATGGACCTACCGAAATTGACGCAGATGAAGTATACAATAAGGTTAAGCAAGAGTTTGAATTTTTACCAAAACATAAATACGATAATATTAATACCGAAGTTATTGTGAATAGAGTGTTGAAGAATAAAGCTGCTTATGAAGAGAGACAAAAAAAGAAAGGTTGGAAGGCGAATATAGAAAAAGTTTTGGAAGCTAATGAGAGAAACCTTAGAGAAAAGTCGCGAGCAGGATAATCGTCAAGTTAACATCAACAACAACAACAACAACAACAACAACAACAACAATAACAACAATAATAACAGTAAAAGAATGGATGTTATATAAAGCACTTTTTTTTCTTTTTTTTTTCTTTTTTTTTTTTAATTTTTCAATAAGGCGGCTAATAATAATTGAACCCTCTAATTGGTAAGAGATTGACGAACAAAGTTGTAAATGTGAATTTCAAGATTGTAGAAGAATCTTTTGCAATTACATAGGGTCAAATATCGCATTAGCATGGCTACAAGGAAAAGGCTCTTTTGCTGTTCCACTATCGAGCAGAGCGAAAAGCGACACTATTGAGCAGGGCGAGAAGCGACACTATCGAGCAGAGCGAGATAGTGTTGTAACAAGCTACTAGGCGAGATAGTGTTGTAACAAGCTACTAGGCGAGATGGTGTTGTAACAAGCTATTAGGCGAGATAGTGTCGCTTTTCACTCTGCTCTTTTGCCTGTAAGTTGCGGATAATCGGTTTTAACCAAATCTGGCATATTTTTGTTACCATTGGTATTACTCAGCAAGTTTCCTTTAGCAATTTTCCTTCAGGAATTTTTTTTTCCAGCAATTTTCCATCAGCGATTTTCCATCAGCAATATTTTACCAACAAGGAATTTCATTATTAGCATTCTGTAGTTTAAGGCAAAAATAATTGCTTTGTTATCCGTACACTAATGTAACCTCCTTTCGCAAGACTCTTTTCTACAATTGTATATAAATACAGCCTAAAATATTTTCTTACTCTTGGTTTCTCTAGTTCTACACCAGTATTTGCATAATTAGGACAATGACATCGTTCAAGTCAGATACCATTACTTATAAAGCTTATGCTTACCAGAATGGAAACTATCCCATTGAGATTGTTGATGAGACCATCAAGTTGGTTAAGGGACCCGGACCCTCAGACGAGTTTGTTGCGCCACCAGGGAAAATCCTTTTGAAGATCAACTATGCCGCATTGAATCCCGTGGATTATAAGTTGTACCACATGAAGCCATCATTCTTGCGTTTCTACAACAATAAGCAAGGTTTTGGTAGGGATTTTAGTGGTGAGGTATTGTCAATTGGGGCAAATACAAGTACACAAGTAAAAGTTGGCGATTTCGTCGAAGGTATTTACACTCCTGTATTAGATAAAGGGTCATGTGCTCAGTACTTGTTGCTCGATCCTAAGGTATCGCCAATTACCACAAAACCTAGTAATATTGATCTTGTGCAAGCATCTGCATGGCCATTGGTTTTGGGAACTGCGATGCAATTGAGTAAAGGATTGCAATACAAGGACAGTAAAGTATTGGTTTTGGGTGCAGGAACCTCTGTCGGTAGGTATGTTGTGCAATTGGCTAGAATTGGAGGAGCACGCGAGGTTGTCACAACAAACTCGGCAAGGGCAGAGAGCTTGATAAGAGAATTGGGCGCAACTGAGCAGATTGATTATAGAAAACACCCCAACTTTTTGAACCCGGTGTTGGAAAGTGTCAAGACAAGTGGGGAATTCAACTACATTATTGATTGTTGGGGTGGTGCACAACTATTCCCTGAAATCGATAACATTTTGGTAAAAGGAGGCGAATACCGTACAATTGTTGGAGACACTCCGGGCCATGGGTTGGGTGCTGTGTTTGGAACTATCAAATCTGCCTTGAGAACTATCGTTTCGAAATTGGGACTCCTCGATTATTTGTACCAATTTGCATTCTTGAAAAATACGGATAATTGGATAGATAATGCAAGAGATCTTATAGAGGAGGGAAAAGTAAAGATATTTGTTGATCACATTTATCCCTTTGAACAGCTAAAGGAAGCTGTGGAACGATTAGTGAGCGGGAAAGCAGAGGGGAAGGTTATTTTGGAAGTTGCAAAACCAGAGAATTGAAAATATAAATATATATATATATATATATACTATCATCAGACACCACTCTTTATTTTTTATTTTTACTTCTTCTTCGTTTTTTTATTGTACTAATGAGTGTTATTAAGAGCTTCATAAATCATCCGCATGTCCCATCGCTTGGTAATGTTTGTTTCAAGGCAACCAACCACAATATCATACAACACTTTATATCTTGTTCTATCTGTGTAATTTCTCCACTCTATTTGCAATTCGTTCAACTGCTTTTGTCTAGACAAGTCCACCATTGAAGGAGACAGAAGAATCAATGATGCCGGAATATCATCGTTGCTTTCCAGAGCAGATTTGAGCTTTGAATCTTTCAAGATCCATTCCATCAAACAAGCCTTTTTTAGATCATCTTTATTGTATTGACCAGCAGTGATCATTGCTCTTAATCGGGGTTCGTAATGATGTTGAAATGGTAACCTTCCAACACACATGGCATAAAGCATGATCCCCAAAGCCCAAACATCTGCCAGAGGACCCAATGGTGGTGGGCAAGGTTGGAGCAATTCCGGTGACGCATAAGGTAACGATCCGATGTGCGAATGTGGTAACTCCGAATCAATGCCGCTGACACGTTTTTCTTTGCGTAGATAATTTTTACTAAATTCAAAAAACGATGCAGATGATGGCGACTGTGGCACAGATGCCAATGGACTCAAGTGGACAGACTGGACAGATGGTCCGTGATTTTTGAATAAGCTTGAAATGCCAATTCGAGAGTCGTCTCTAATGCAAAAGTCCAATTGTTTACTGCTAGTTGTCTCTCCTCCAGTATAAGGTTTTCGAATCTCGGTATTGGTCGACTTGCTTCTCAATATTTCTTCACTTTCTGTTATCAAGTGGTTGTCATTATATTTCATTGAAGACTTGCGGCTGAGGCGAGTGCTAAAAATCCTGGACATACCAAAATCACATAGAATCATCTTGTATCTATCATGATCATCATGGTTAAGAAGAAGAAGAAGAAGAAGAAGAAGAAGAAGAAGAAGAAGAAGAAGAAGAAGAATTTCTACCAAAACATTTTCTAGCTTTAAGTCTCCATGTACGATTCCTTTCTCCTCATGCATATAGAGAAGAGCGTCTACAATTTGCATAGCACAATAAATAACTTGCTCTAGTCTCCTTCGCTGTTTTCCAATCAGAAACTCAATTTTGCCAGTGCTTTCATAAACTCCAGTATTGTACTGACCCCATTCCGAAACAAGCTCAAAAACAGTGCCTCCATTAATCCTGTTCATTACACAAAAGATGGTATCTTCTGTTTCCAAATAATCGATAAGCGGAAGTATGTTTGGGTGATTCAATTGTTTCCATATCTGTATTTCTTTCTTGAACACTTCGAGAATTTTTGGAAAATGACGATTTTCCGCACCAGTCTCCCGTGGACTACTTTTGCAGCCTGGTCTCGTGTCCGTATCTCGACAGGACTTTACGATTTTCATAGCTTTGATACATCCATTAGGACCAGTACATTCTCGAATTGTACCCCAGGCTCCAAACCCTATTATTTTTCCCAATTCGTAACCTAAAACAATGGCGCCCTTTTCATCCACGTTATGTTTTGGTTTTATTTCCGGAGCTTTTCTCACATCTGTTGTCGATGTCCTTGCAAGAAGACGACCTGCCAAAGTATTAGAACTACTTGCACGCAGTCTTCGAGTAAGGCTTCCCTCGTGCGAATCAGTTATACTTCCGTTTTTTGGGGTCTTGCTCGAACCAAACGAGTTGCCCCAATAGTTTTTTGCAAATAATGAAAATTGTGAATAGTCAATGCTCTCAGAAAATGCGTGCACCCATTTCTTTCTTTGTGAATAAGGTAATTCACTAAAGTTTGCTGGTAAACTGTTTAATATCATCTCATAATCAACCTCGCTTATTTTAGAGTCAACAACAGATGGCCTTAGTTTCTTAGATTTTATGGAGGAAGACATTAAGCCTGCTTGTAATGTTTTGCGTTTACTGATATCCGATGGCGACGGTGGTGTCATTTCAATATCGGCTTTAGACAAGCTTCCTTGTGGCGTTAGATCTTCTTCGCATCGATTCTGGACACCTTCCTCGTTCTGCTCTGAACGCCTAGTTTTTATATAATCGTGTAGCTTTGTATATGAGAACTTAGAGGGGTGTTGAGAACTCGGCCGTATTGGTTGTGGGGCTACTTGGGCATGCAAAAGGTTTAAATCTAGATAGGAAACATTGTTGCTATGTGGTGTGTTTGAGCTGGTGCTGTGATTGCTTGAAGTGGGGATCCTCGACAAGTTCAAATCTTGAGTGCTCGCATTATTATTCCACCTGTAAACTATATCACCAAAGTCTAGTCCTGGAATATATTCATCTTCCAAACCTTGGGAGTAGGTTAGTCCTACATCGATATTGCTATTGTGCGATCGCGAGTATAGTTTTCCCAGGACGGAATCTTCCATATGTGGAGTATTGTTAAAGAATTGAGTTGCCGAATGTCTTGGACCACTCCTCTCGTGTCTAATTGTTTGAGGCCGAATTTTTCCATCTTCGTGTATTCTATGACCAGTTTCCAGATCAAAGTTATTCTTCTCTGTTTCCGAATATCTTCTAGGGCGTCTAATGTCATTATAAGCAACCGAGGCAACCGAGATATCGGTTTGATTACTAGCATCTTTTTGCAAAATTGGGATATTGCGCCGTAGTTTCAGCTGACCCTGATGAGCATTTGTACCTTCTTTCTCCTTCTCCTTCTCCTTCTCCGACTCAAATCGAAAAGTCGAGTCTCCCCTTGTTATGCGCGAGGAAACTTGGTTTTGATAATCATTTGGAATCTGAAAATTAGACTCGTCCAATAAGTTGACTGTAGAAACCTTGGGACGTGATTTCAAAGGTATCTCCATTTATCACATAAAGTAAAAACCAACCTCTTCTCTTTCTCTAACTGAGACAAACCAAAAGAAAAAAAAAAAAATATAAATAAAAATAAAGCGGACCAAAGCTTTCCCAAAATGTGAGTGTTGAAATAATACCAAGCAATATGAAGTTGACCAGGCAGATATTGAAAGAATCGGGTTGTACCTATTCTTAATTGGTAAAAGTGAAAAGTGCAATTTCTCTAATTATAGGATCCGGTACTTATTCTTTAATTATAGGGTCTGGACTTATTCTCTAATTATAGGATCTGGTACTTATTCTCTAAGTGATGGTACATTACAAAAGAGAGAGAGAGATGGATAAGTCAGAACGGGGTTATTTAATTGTCTGAGGGGGGGGGGAGTAGGGGGTTTTAAAGAATCATCTTTATTTTTCGTTTTTGGTCCAAGAGAAAAAATGAAACCTTAATCTTCATGGTGCAATGTAACGTAACGTAGTTTGTAGTTTAAGTCCCACATAATTAGGTTGAAAAAACAATAAGAAAAAAAAAGATGACATAGGAAAATAATAGGGAAGGATATTGTTTTCTGAAGGGTTGACTGCGATCAAGTTGACTGAGATTGGTCTTGACTGCGATTGTGTTGACTGAGATTGGTCTTGACTGCGATTGTGTTGACTGAGATTGGTCTTGACTGCGATTGTGTTGACTGAGATTGGTCTTGACTGCGATTGTGTTGACTGAGATTGGTCTTGACTGCGATTGTGTTGACTGAGATTGGTCTTGACTGCGATTAAGTTGACTGCGATCGGTAGTCAGTGGTGCTCCACTATCGAGCGAAGCGAGATAGTATTGTTAGTCAGTGCTGCTCCACTATCTCGCTTCGCTCGATAGTTTGCTCGATAGTTTGCTCGATAGTTTGCTCGATAGTTTGCTCGATAGTTTGCTCGATAGTGTCATAGAAAGTAACCATTAAAACTATATCCTATATATCGACTCTCTTATAGCTTTAATTTGTTTGCATAGATTCTTATATACCAATAGTACTACTCCCCTTTCTACTGTTTTGACATAATCAACGGATTCAAAAATTGATCAGGTAATAACTCAACTGCATTAGGCCTCTTTTCGAAATTTAATTCAAACGTCTTTTTCAAAAATGCTTTTGCTTCCATAGTGCACCATTCAGGTATCTCCGGCGACACGTGGTTCCCAATCTTGAAAAGAGCCTGCATTTGACTAAGGCCAGGGAAAGGGTGTCTTCCAGTAAACATTTCTACAATAACACAACCAACAGACCAAATATCGGCTTTTTTCGTGTATGTAGTTTGCTTAACAACTTCGGGAGCCATCCAAAACACAGAGCCCTGCAACGATGCCCTCTTACCTGTCTTTTTAAAATCGTCATCTTCCTCGTTAATAGTACTCACTTTCTTAGAAATACCAAAGTCTCCAATCTTTACAGTTCCTTTGATATCAATCAAAATATTGGCACCCTTGATGTCCCTATGAATTATATCTTCGCCATGCAAATAACTCAAACCAATCAATACTTGCCGAATAAAGTTTCTAATTAACGGTTCCTCAAATGGCCCATACGAATTCAACATACTTTGTACCGATCCACCAGGAATGTACTCCAAGAATATATTTAAATACTGGTCATCTATCGAGCTTCCAAAGTATCTAACTATATTTTCATGATTCAACTCTTTCAAAAATGTCATTTCTCTTTGTTGCTCAGCCATAATTTTCTGCAAAGGGTCACTCGAAGACGATGACGACGACAACGATTGCTTCTGCTTCTGCTTCTGCTGCTCTTGCTGCTGCTGCTGCTGCTGCCCAAAAGCACTCCTTTTTTGCATTCCATGCTCTTCAGTTTGGTGCTGCTGTTGTGACGACTGCGTTGACTGCAGATTTGGCCTCAAAGGAATCTGTTTCACAACCATTAACTCACCTGTGTAAGGATTCATGCCAAGATAAACTGTTCCAAAACTTCCAGAACCAATTTTTGCTCCTTTCAACCAATTCTCAGGTACACGGTTCTCCGTGTCGCTAGCTAATAAACCTGATTCTGAGGCAACATATTCGTTATATTCATCCTCTTCACCTTCGGAATCATCACTAGTATTCATCAATTCAATGGTAGAGTGTCTATTGTTGATAGGATTGTCGCTGTAGTTTGTAGAAATCGATATCCGATGAATTGCTTTACTACTACTACCACCACCACCACCACCACCACCGCTAAAGCTCCTTAAACTTGCGTCAAGGTTCGGAGCTGCTGAATTTGTGTGGGATTGTGCCAACATGGGTGGCGATAATCCAATATTTAAACCTTGATTATTGAAGCTAGTAGAAGGCTTGTTGAACATATTCAAAGTATCTCTTGAGTTTACGGCTTCGTCAATGGATGTGATATTATTCATTACAATATCTCCAACCGTCTTTTGCCCCTGACGTATTCCTCCGGTAATCTGTTCCGCGGAGGATATACTCAAAGTTCTTTGCGAAGGAATTCCAGTTGAATTGCTCATAATTGAAGCTCTTTTATGAACGGCAACAGAGCTTGATGAAAATGCTCCTAGAGGTAAATTAAAGCGTCTACTTAATCTCACACTGTGTCGTACGGAATTTCGTACAGTCTTTTCAAGATCACTTTGTCTGGTATCTGGAAAATACTCGGCCAAGTTTGACGAGATCAATTCACTAGGCGGTCGCTGGCCAAAAAAGTTTCGTAAAGTTGACTTTTGCAATCTTCTTTCTCTTTCTTTGTATTGTTTCGATGGACTATTACTTTCCCCTAGTGCATTGCTGTGGCTCACACCTTTGGAGTATTTATCCATAATCATCCTAGAAGTCTCTATCGCGGCTTGTGTGGGGGTTTCATCTTTTGGAACCAATATTATCCTATGTTTTTCCAATCGTTCCGGTGAATAACAAATTGTCACCAACTCAACGTCATATAACATTATCACTGAAGGCTCATATCGTTCATAATAGTTTCTATTTTCGTCGTGAGAGGAATGTATATATGTGTCGAATTGAGCTTCTTGCGTCTTGAATCCCAATTTCTTTGCAACTTTGCGCTTGATTGCCTGCGCGTTGAAACAACCTGCCACATTGACTCTCTTTATGCTTCCATCATGTAAAATAAAAGTTATATTCTTGTTTGTGTCCTTAACAGGAGCTGAATTTTGTTGTGCTAAGTTCGCCTGGCTAACATCTTTATAACTCAGCTGTAGTGCAAAAGTCCCGTCACTTGGAGTATACCGATTTAATTCACCAGAACTACTTGCGCCTACTTGAGAACTCATTTCAAGGTGCAATTTTTGGTATAACTCATTTATATCAATACATTTTTCCAAGTGTTGGGTTTTTAGTTCGCTTATAGCGATTTCTAACCTTAGTCGATCTCCAACCTTTGAAACACCCAATTCTTTCAAACCAAACGAGTCCAACGCGGGTAAAAGATCAAAAGTAATCCCGTTTTCCACAAACTTCGATAACAAATGTTGGCAATTCGACTTCGCCAACCAAGCTTTCAAGTCCTTGTACTCATTTTTATTACTCAGTTGAACCGATTCTACCTCAACTTCATTCGACATAATATATACCCTTCTTTTTTTTTTTTTTTTTTTTTTTTTTTTTTTTTTTTTTTTTTTTTTTTTTTTTTTTTTATT